AATCAAACAGAGAACCACAGGACACAAAATGCTTATTAAAGCAATTTAACATAGTGGCCCTGTCCGATATAGAGCCAGATGCTGTGGTAAGGCACGGAGGTAGCTCATTACGTATCTCACCGGTCGAAATCGATTTTATGGCTTTCCAAAATTTCCTAGGATTATTTAGGTTTTCTGTGGTTACTGACAAATAGTACTTCGACTTAGCACTTTTGACATGTGAAGTGAAGCTATTCCTTAGCTGCCTAAAACGCAGCCATTCTACCTCTGAACCTGATTGCCTTTGCCCTTGTTTCTCTCATGAAGGAGACTAGACAGTTCAGCAGAAAACCAAGGATTGTCTCGTCCCTTTACTCTAAATGTACGCAGGGGTGCATGTCTATCAATGATCTCCATACAACCAAGATAAAAATAAGACCATGCAGTTTCTAAATCAGCACACAGATCGATTTTTCCCCAATCAAACCCAAACAGATCATGCACAAAACCCTGCTCCACAAAATGTTTTGTGTCTCTCTCAATAATAATATGAGGTTTAACCTTTTGGACCTTAGTGTCCCTAATTGTGGCTACAGCACAGTGGTCACTCACATCATTCACAAATACTCCCACAGATGAGTATTTATAGGGAACATTAGTTAGAATGAGATCAATTAGGGAGGATTTATTAGGGGATTTAATGTTAGGGCGAGTAGGACTGTCAACAATCTGAGTAACATTTAAAGAGATACAAAGGTTTTTAAAATCCTCTGACACTGTAGTTAACCAGTCCCAGTTAAAATCTCTAAGTAGCACTATTTCCTTGTAGTCTAGTTGCGATAAAAGATTTGCTAGCGAAGACAAGGAGTCCTTGACAGCTGAGGGGGGTCTGTAACAGCCCACCACCATGACCTGTTGCCCCTTTGCCACTTCTATATTTAAGGAAAACAATTTGAATTGCTTACTGATAGATTTGGAAACTAATGTGGATACACCTATTCTTAACATAAATGGCAACGCCACCACCTTTATTAGGCCGGTCGGAACGATACACATTATAACCATTTAAGGCAATGTCAGAGGCCAAAATAGATTTATTTAGCCATGTTTCTGATAAAACAATGACGTCAGCGTCAGTCGAGCCCAAATGCGGACAGTCTAGTTTACCTAACAGACTGCGGACATTCAAATGGATGAAACCCAACCAAGACCTAGCTTTAAAATCAGCAGGAGTAGCGATCTGACTACTACTACTGGGCGGACCAGGGTTAGGTTGTACATTTCCTGACAGTAATAGCAACAAAAAAAACAGGCATCTTTTCCTCTTAAGCGACACAGATACATTGTCATCTACTTTAGAAACACCGGAAAAGTCTGCGAGAGTGTGATTTGAGCTTAAGAAGTAGTGCTGAAGAACCATCATCGCAGGAAAACAAAAAAGACAAACATATTTTGTCGAGCAAATTGTCTGTGACTAGGCAACCGGTAATTGTTTGTGCAACACATCCGAACCTTTGAAGGGGATGCCCACTGCCGGTGGCAGAACAGACCTGAACCTAGTAGACTTCTCAGAAAGACTAGAGATCTTCTCATAGTCCAAAACAGTTAACAGGCACAGCAGAATCCCGATATGGGCCATTTCCCCAGACCAGCACACAGTATCCGTGATGTTCCTGGGGCAAAATCAGCACAGCAGCAACGGACAGGCGAAAGCAGCAGCGTGGAAGTGCTCCGGTCCCTCTGTGGTATCCCCGGGGTGAAAGCAGGCCTCTGCAACAGCAGAACCAGGACAGGTGGAAAGCAGGCCCCAGCGGTGGTAAAATCATCCTCCGCACAGCAGCACACGCCCGGTGGAAGCAGGCCAAGCCCGAAGCGTGGATCCACTCCGTCTCTCTGCGACGACTCCGGGGTAAAAACCTCTCCAGTACAGCCGTACTCTACAGGTGGGAGCAGGCCTCGGTAGTTCGCAGATCGCAGATCGCAGATCGCAGAACGCAGAACGCAGAACGCAGAACGCAGAACGCAGAACGCAGAACGCAGAACGCAGAACGCAGAACGCAGAACGCAGAACGCAGAACGCAGGCAGCAACAGGTGTAGCCGCTCCGTCTCTGCGCTCCGTCTCCGGGGGAAAAACACCTCAACACAGCCGTACTCGACAGGTGGGAGTAGGCCTCCGTAGATCGCAGACAACTAAAAATACTACTTGTATAAGCAGGGATGGCTAAATGTTTGTAAGCAGGAGAGCTAGATGTTAACAGATGCCAGATGCTAACAGGTAGTGGGAGCCTGTCAAAATTGCGACTGCCTCATGCGAGAGGTGTGTCTGCCACTGATACTCATATAACTGTGGCCGACCTTCGTTTTATTCTCGGTGGAAAATGCCTATTGTAAGGTTGGTTTGGCTATTAAAATGCGTTTTGATGTCATTTGATGCGAGAAATATGAGTTGTTATTTCAGACTATTTGTGCAGTGGATGTACATGGTCTTTAGTTTGCTAGTTATTATGAAGATTACTACAGGAAATTGTACACATCATTTTCATGGTTGCTAAGGTGGTTGCCATGGACACTGCTATCCAGTGCTGTTGCAACGCTGTCTGCTAAAAATTACGTTCCCACAAAACTAAACTGCATTCTCAATTACGTTTAGCCAGAAACGTATTTTCTCCCACGTTACGTTTGTTATGAATGTATCTTAAATACGTTTATTTTCTACATATCTATGCCATTTATTGTCTTGCTTATAATAATGATAATAGTCATTTATAAATATAATACACATTTGAAATCGACAATCGGGCTCGATATATGGTTAAATTCAAATCAGTAGGCGAGGCTGTAATTTCGCCAGCTGTCATGAGCGAGGCAGAAAATAATAGTTTTAACATGCCAAAAAGCTGCTGTGTCGTTTATTGCACCTCAAACATTCAAACAAATCCAGAGTTACGTGTTTCTGTACTTCCTCTAAGAAGAAAGGACAGTAACAGAAGATCTCTGTGGCTTCAGGCTTGATCGCCGTTCAAATGACAGCGTTGGTTTCCCCAAAAGTGGGTGGGGCTGTAAAGTGATGTAGATTTTACTCTCATCTATTATTCAAAACCATTCTATTTATTCTAACGTAAATTACATGCCAGTGTTTTATCTTTTTATTTAGCGATTTGTTTTTGCATGTTTAACTGGGAATGTTTTCATGTTCGCTGATTGGATGTTATAGCCGCAATGCAAAAATTCAGAGTTTAGGATGGCCGAAGACACTCCACTACCCATAATCCCCAGCTATCGTTTGGGACTATAGTCCCATTGACAAACCCCGTGATTAATCTTCAAGCTCTGGGATTGGATGTTGGAGTGGCAGTGCGCCAAGGTTACGCCGAGCATCAAGCTCTTTGAAATGGAACAAAACCACGGCAAACTATTCAAAACTGGACGCGAACGCCCCCCGAGAACTACACATGCTGGCTATTGTTTTTCGCAACATGTTCTCTATGGCACGTCTCTACTGGGAATTGTAGTTTTAAAAGACGTTTTAGTTTTTCCCAAAATTAGAAGTTGACAGTATTAAACTGTGTACAGCCCTGGAGGTTTAGTTAATAGGAAACAAATTGGTGCTTTTGGTGATTACTAAATGGGTGAAAATCGCTTGTATCCATAATGGGCAGCATTAATATATACCCACATGACTGCTCACTGTTACTTTGTAATTCTACTCCACTACAATTCAAAGGTTAACCTGGTATTTTTACTCCACTACATTTATTTTAGTTACTTTCCAGATTCTGATTAATAATGTGAAATACTGTATAAACAACCCTTAAAGCAGACTTTAGTTACACCTTAGTACAATTCAGGGAAGGTGATTGTCAAGTGCCAACAATCAGGAGAGATATTTGATAGTTGGAGCTTGAGAAGACTAAACATTTATCTGCAGATCTCTATAAAGTCTATTCATTAATCTCTACTAATAGTTAATTAAGAACTGTATATAATTGCTATTTTGCACATCCTTTTCAAGATTTCAAGATTTTCTAAGGTTTATTGACATATCATATACACAACTATGGTGTAGTTATGCAATGAATAAAAAACTTGGGTCGCAGGTTCCTCAACAGTGCATTACAAGACATCTATCAATATGTGTGAATACCTCCACCATTAAACTGTCATATTCTGCACATTTCTTATACTATCTACATATCTACAAAATGATTAAACTAACCTTGAAAAAAACCTGAAAACCCCATTCAATGAAACTGGACACAACTGAAACAGTAAAAATATGTATTGTTCATCTGAGAAAATATAATCCAGATAAGGAACTAGTTTTTGTCCAGATCAGGATGTTATGTTCACTAAATAAAGTTAAAATGTCTTTATCTCTCTTTGAGTTCGAGAAGCAGCTCAAGGAGGAGAAGACCATAAGAGAGAAGGCTGAGAAGAAACTGAAGGACCTAAAGGAAGAGGTGGAGCGCAAGGCACACTTTTCACAAAATATTTAATCATCTTACTTTCTTTTAATTTTCTTTTGAATTTGGTGATATTGGAGACACACACGCATAAACACACACACACACACACCAACATCATGACCAACGGCACAAATATATCCATCTCATAAACACTTCCACTGAAGTAATATTGTTTGTGTGAATGACCTCTGTATAAGTACTTTAAGTGTGAACAATATCTAAATGTACTTTTCTCTCTCTTGTTTTCATGTCATCCATTAACATACGCCCAATATTGTTGTAAGATTTTTCCTCTATATTAAAATATTCCAAGTGTAAAAACAAATAGTAATTTATTCCGTCTGATGAGTGTGAACTTGTATTTTACAGATCTGGGTGCCAATGTCTGATCCCAGTTATCCTGAAACTGACCTGGAGCTCTGGAGACATGCTGTGGTTCAGCCTCCACCGCAAAAAGGGCCTGATACAATCGATACATCGAATCTGTATAAAATCCCCTGAAAGACAATAACTAACCCCTTCTTTTCTGCTCATATTATTTTCCTTCAGCTGATCTTACACTGGTTTTATTAAAGGTTGCAAATAAGCTCCTGCTCATCATCTACATAGCAACAAAAGTAGATTCGCGACTTTGATGCTCTTGTCCGTCGCCTCATGAAAAAGATCTGCAACGTCTGAAGAGATGTATCAGCAACAGGAAAGAGTCATAAGAGAAGTTACCACATCATAAACATCATACATCAGGAACAGAATGACAGTAGTGATGCTCAAACAAACATTTTACTTTTATTATTCTGGTATTTCAACCATTCAAAAAATATTTTTCTTAAAATGTGGTGAACATATCTTTATTTTATAATATATTGTTATAAAAACATACTTTTCTTCAGTCAAAACATTCTTATGAAAGGTGAGAATATGGAAATTAACAAAATAAAAGGCTTTGAGTTTACTGGATTTGAAATGTACATACGATCATTGCAGAACTTATGAATCGTGTATTGTTGTCATTGTATACGTTAAAACTATTATACAGCACTATATTTTCTGCTATGAAGATAAAAACAATTTCAAATGGTATTTTAATTTGAAAAGTTCAGATGCCGATGTACAGTTTTTATATTTCTTTTGGAAATACCAACTTCCAAATATGTTTCTGTATATATGTCCTGTCAGTTAAATTAACAATATACTAAAAATACCATTTTGTATTTGTAAATTGATTTGTGAGTTGTTGACCCCTTCAGTTACCCAATAAAACCATACACGTTTTGCTGTTTCTACAAAGCCTCTTCTACTCCCATTTACATACAATATGTTCTGCGGGTTGTGTCTGAGAAGCTGAAAAGTATCACCAGTATCTGTGGAGTCTAAAATAAAACTCAGAACAACAAACCCTCAGCTCGCCTTTAAAAATAAATGCATGTGTCAGTCAGTACCTCTGTGGTTTTTAACTTTGTCTTGAGTGTGAGAAAGTCTAACAGCTGCTGCTCGTACCATCATGAGACACAGAGAAGTTACCTCACACTCAACCTGAGCAGAAGAAGAGATACAACGCTGAAGAAGTGATCATGTCCTCGGCTTGTGGTGTTCTTTATCTTGATGACCAAACTATCTCTGATCTTTTTACATGAGTTATTTCTGTGTGACCCTGAGTTTCCCACAATGCAGCAGTCCCACCAGCAGCAGCAGCAGAGCCACCATCACTACGGTGAACACAGTCCTTAAGACGAGGAGGACGAGAAGGGAGTGATCCGAGGAGGGAACAGCTGCAAACACAACACAACGTAAATATATATATAACCCTAAACTCCAGATGTATCCCCAAAATATTAGCTTTAATGCAATATCTCACCTCTGACAGCCAGCCAGCTCTCTGGTGATTCTCCATCTTCAGAGATGCTGCACTTGTAGAGTCCTTCATCAGATTTAGAAACCCTGTGGATGGTGATGTTTCCTGTAGAGCTGTTCCTGATGAGGCGGCCATCTTTATAGAAGTCAGCTGAGAGGATGGAGGAAGTGATCGTCTTTTTTCTGCAGCTCAGAGTCACAGATTCTCCCTCCATCACAGGAAGCACAGGACTCTCCAGAATCACAGAGCCACCTGAACAACAAAGGTTTTAAAGCCTTTCATAACATTTGAAGAAACTACGTTAATAGAAACAACGCTACAGTCAACTAATCATGAACGCAAAATCTGCCATGAAATGTTTTGGCCCCAATCAATAAAAAGCCCCATTACATGTTTGCCCCATGTTTGTTCAACACTTCACTTTGTTAAGTGTCAAACAGCCTCACATGGAGCACTGAACTCCCTCAGTATAACACACACGCCTGGCAGGAAGTAGATCACTCGGAACGTTTGCGAGATAATCGAAACTCAGAAACGTATAAACAAAATGGTGTCTGTCATGACAGTGATTGCTCACTTTGTGTGCACTAGTTTTGACTTACCTCTTCTTTTAGCTTTCTCTTAACGTCTTTTTCGTTTCATTCCCAGAGAAAATCTCATACATTTCTGATCTCACCTCTGACAGCCAGTCGGCTCTCTGGTGATTCTCCACCATCAGGGATGCTGCACTTGTAGAGTCCTTCATCAGATTTAGAAACCCTGCAGATGTTCATGTTCTCCGTAGAGCTGCTCCTGATGAGGCGGCCATCTTTGTAGAAGTCAGCTGACAGGATGGAGGAAGTGGTCGTCTTGTTTCTGCAGCTCAGAGTCACAGATTCTCCCTCCTTCACAGGAAGCACAGGACTCTCCAGGATCACAGAGCCAGCTGAACAACATCGGGACAAAACATTCAGTTTGAGTTTTGTAGGAGGAGTTATTTACAATAGATTTAGACAAAGGCATTGTGAAGATGCTGTGATGTAAAGTCAGGTTGTCACATGCCCAGAATAATTGAAAATATCAGAAATAAACAAAACACATTGATGAAGGAATCTGAAATGAAACAGTAATGTTTAGCAGTGTATCGTCTGCATAGAGGTTCATAATATGAAACTGTTCCTGATTTAGTTGCAGCATTGAACGTTGAGTGTGTTATTTATATAATATTTGTAGACAATTATTAAAATGACATCAGAGACAGGAGAAAAACCACAATTTGGTTTAGATTTGAAATAACTTGAAACATATCTGTTTGCAATTTTATTACTTTAATCCAATAGTAGGCTTTGCTTAATGACTACGCTCAGCTTTGGGCACGCTGTTTGCTTTCATTGCACATTCTTCATGAATTCTGTTCTTTTTATATTAAGATATACAAATGTTTCGTGCTTAAAGAGTACATGTGTATTATATAGTATATAGTATAACCTTGGCATCATAGCACTTTTTAAGTTCTTCTAAAAACATTGTCTAGAATCACGTTTATTGCTAAGTTGTTTTCCACATACAGGGAATTGTTGTTGTTGTTTAATATGTCATACATACACACAGAAAGAGAGTGTTGCTGAGTTAATGTCAACATACCGGTGATAATGACGTTCACATAGTTGCTTTTCTTCCCTCCAGCCTCACACCAGTAATCTCCACTGTCCTCTTTATAAGGAGATTTAATGTTGCAATTAAACTCATGAAACGAGCCCCATTTTGAACCGTCACAAGTTTCCTTTCCTGCTTTGTTCCGCCGTGAAATGTTCACATCGGTCAAACCATCGAAGCCCACACATCTTAAAGAGAAAGGCTCGTATTCAAAGACTTGAAGTCTGGATGGTTCGATCCAAACATCTGCATCTGAAACTGAGAAATAAATGCGTTGTTGAGATTAATATATAGCACTTTAAATAAAGTTATGATTTTTTTTTGCTTTCTTTTTGGTGAACAAGCTTCTTACCAACTTTCTGTTCACAGAGCTGCAGAAACACCGTCATCCCTGCAGAGACAACAGAGACAAACATCACACAGAGTTCTTAAATTAGATTTTATTACCTTGACTTTATTGTTTACATGTATCTTTGATAGATAATACTTTTAAAACAATTTGAAAAATGTTAATCATTTTTGTCTTTTGTTGAGATTTGTCTCAATATGATGTGTTCGGACGGATCAACAACCCGTGTGTAAATGTAAAAAAAACATACACAAATACCAAAAAGGATTTTTAAAATCACAAAAATATGAATGGAAATGTGTAAAGAATTTATAAAATGCACGTCAAGCAGCAATTATTTTTCAGACTGCATCTAAAAATGCTTGAAACCCTGTCATCGTCCCAAAATGGCAGTGACGCGCGTAGACTTTTTTTTACATTTACACACGGGTTAGTGATCTGTTCTCACAAATAATATTGACACAAATCTACCTCCATATGTTCCTTCAGCTAATATGATCTATTAACATCTTTGATGTGAAAAACAGCAGATGAGGACTCAGTACTCACACAGTGTGATGCAGAGCGCTGTGGCCTCCATGGCGTCTGGCTGCTGACTGAGTGAACCTCACACTGAAATATAAAAGAAGAAGAGGGGTGGTCTCTTCCTGTGTGGCTCACTAATGAAACGCCTTGTAGCTCAGACGCGTGTCATGGAAGTAAATACGTGTCAGTGGTGGGGTTAATATTAGAGGCTGAGGCCAAAACTCTCATGTGAGAAAGACAACTTTACGTCTTGATGTGTAGAACAGACAAAACGCATTATGACAGGACGGAAAACTACATTTTAACACAACTACTTTCACAGAATTAAACATTGTTATGATGCTGTTTTTAAAATATGGAGTACCATAAGGCTCAATTATTGCCACATCTTTATTGCCAAATTTGCCAAATTCCCCCGAGAAACATAATTGGCAGTTTTGATTTTGTTTTTAAATCCTTCTTATGCACTCCATATATGTGTTGATTCATAATAATAATATTAACAATAACATTAAATCTTTTTTGAAAAAGTGATTTAAACATAAATAACATCTGGCCAATGACCTGGTCCTTTGTTTGATTTGGTCAGAATAAAGCAACATCTACAATAGACCTGCATATTAAAGTCAAATCTTTCATTTTAAATGTAATTCACATACTTAAATAATAATATTTAAAAAACTGCCGCCTCTATTACTTTCATCTGTTATGCAAGTGATTGTAGAACTAAATGAGAAAAAAAGACGCCAATATATACTAATGCATGACTCTTGTGATTAGCAGTCCCTTTGTTATTAACACAACTTTGATCAGCCCTTCACTTAACCACACGGTACATCAGGCTACCTTAAAGTACTCAGTGTCCAGATACATTTAGATTTACTGCACGTGTTTGCCGGGTGGTTTTCAGACGCTGGCTGCACGTGAGCTGAGGGGCCCGTCTACCTGTTTCTGTCTGTGGGTTCCTTGTGTGGTTTTTATTCTGAAAGTTAAAGAATAAGAAGCCGAAACTATAACGAGGGGCTAAAGCTACAAGAGGAAGAACAGTGGCCCCCATGTTGAAGACAAGTCTGCTAAAAGTTCACTATCTGTCAGTGGCTGCTAAGGGAAATGACCCACATGCAAACAAGCTAGTTACATTTCAGTGTTTGATTACAAAAAGCTTAAAGACAGACAGAGGCTGCAGGATACTTATACTCTGAAGGCTGATGAGGGGAAGTGGAAACAGGTGAGCAGGTGAACCAGGGTCATGTGACTGGACTCTGAGAAGTGAGGAGTTAAACATGAATCTGAGAGTGTGGAGACATCTGGTGGACAGAGGGAGGAAATACACTGCATCCATTTTTTATGCAGCTAGAAGCTGTAAGGTTTAACATAAAAATGTAGTTATTATACCTGAAAGCATGCAGATGTTTCCATTACAAATAAAGTAGGTTTATTTATTAATATGTAATATTCAAAGGAAGGTCATATGATCAACAAATCTGTCTCCTTAATGGTCAGTTGACTAAAACACTGCAGATGATTAGATGTCATAACAAAAATGATAAAAAAAATCTTATTTCATCTTATCTTATAATAATAGAACTAAAATCAATTTCATAAGCTTCAGTGAAACCCGTCCAGCTAGCTTGCTAAGGACTGTGCTATGTAGGCCACCCTCTTATTAATTGGTGTGAAAATGGAGACAATTGGACAATGTCAAATATTTTAGATATAGGCATATCTCGATTATGCCTTGACACAGGGAGCTGATACTTGGACTGTGCTATTTTGGCCACCCTGTAATTAATTGGTGTGAAAATTGTGACAATTTGAAAATGTCAAATATTTAGCTGTTTTCAGGACCCTGTAATGTTGGTACAGGAACACGGGCATATCTCGATTATGCCTTGACACAGGGAGCTGATACTTGGACTGTGCTATGTTGGCCACCCTATAATTAGTTCGTGTGAAAATTGTGACAATTTGAAAATGTCAAATATTTAGCTGTTTTCAGGACCCTGTAATGTTGGTACAGGAACACGGGCATATCTCGATTATGCCTTGACACAGGGAGCTGATACTTGGACTGTGCTATGTTGGCCACCCTCTAATTAATTGGTGTGAAAATTGTGACAATTTGAAAATGTCAAATATTTAGCTGTTTTCAGGACCCTGTAATGTTGGTACAGGAACACGGGAACATCTCGATTATGCCTTGACACAGGGAGCTGATACTTGGACTGTGCTATGTTGGCCACCCTATAATTAATTGGTGTGAACATGAAGACAATTGGACAATGTCAAATATTTAGCTTTTTTGAGGACCCTGTAATCTTGGTATAGGGACAGGCATATCTCGATTATGCCTTGACACAGGGAGCTGAAACTTGGACTGCGATATGTAGGACACCCTCGTATTAATTGGTGTGAAAATTGAAACATTTGGAAAACGTCACATATTTTGCTTTTTTGAGGACCCTGTAATGTTGGTACAGGGACACGGGCATATCTCGACACAGGAGCTGATACTTGGACTGTGCTTTATTGGCCACCATCTTATTATTTGGTGTGGAAATGGAGACAATTGGACAATGTCAAATATTTAGCTTTTTTGAGGACGCTGTAATCAGGGCTCAAGCTTAACCTGTTAAGCCCGAGAGACCCCAGTACCGGGGCACTGCCGCAACATCTTGCAGGAAACAGTGTCTGAGGGCATGTTCATTTAATAAACTATGAATGTTTTATATCCATGTAACGAGAAGAAACTCATCTAACTGATCATTATTTTATTTTTTTCAAAATAAAACCCACAATGCTAACGCTGAGCCTCTGAATTAGCAACGAGCGAAAAATGCTAACAGATGACTGCACCGAAATTCACTCACAAAACCTTATTATTTATCTTTGCTGCACATCCAACCCATCGTTTCACATCGTGAGGTGACACAGAATCGAAGGGTACCCTCATTATCACTCAATTATACGAAATTGCGACTTTATACACAAAAACAGACATCAAAACATGTGGCGCTAGGTAGCTAAAAATGCTAACATGGCTCACCTGTGTGGTAGTCTGGTCAAAAGTGGTCTTCAATGGCATTAAAACGATAAAAACGACACTGAACTTAATCCATAGGTTAATCTAATGTGTCTGTGTCACTTTGAATGATTTCTGATAATCCATGAGCAATAAACCTGCTTTTCCGTTTCCAGATGTCAGAGCAAGAGACAGCTTCACTCTCATGCAAAACTGGGAGGGCAAAGCCCACACCTTTTTGTTTTACCATGTGTGTGATTGGGGAGATTCCCCTTCAATTCTATTGGCTCTAACGGTCAGAAAGAGATGTCAATCACCAAAATCGACCAATGGGTTCCAGAGAAACGGTAAAACCCCCATTTCCACCCAAATCACCTCAGAGGTGGAGTTTCTTTGGCTAAACCTCTCTAAAAAGGTCAAATGTCACTTGTTTTGCATCAATCTTGATACAGGGTACTTATTATATGTTGTACTTTGGATTCCTAAAGCTTTTAGTCTACTATCCCATCATTCAAGGGTAGTTTTCACTATAAGTAAAAAAGAACGTTTGGACGGACACTATAATTTACAGTTTTTTACTATGTTCAATCTGAATTTTCTTTAAAATAAAAAACATCTATATTGATTCTGACTTTTCTCCATCCAACTCACAGGTTTATCATTACTTTGAGAACAAAGATTATTAATGTAACCCTTTTAGAAGATATGGTCATTTGTTCTGGGAATGTCATTTTCTTTTACTTTTCTTTCTTTTGTTACTTTTTTTTTTTAATGAAAAACTTGAGAAACTTGAGAAACTGTGTCTCAGGGCTTCTTAATATTTAAATATGTATTAATGTGTCATACTCACTTAACGGTTAGAAACTCAGCTAACTGAAGATATGAATGGTTTTTACTAACCGGTATCAGTATGTAGTTACTTCAGCATCATTTTGAAATTAAATCAGGGTAGAATATGTTCATTTTGTTGTAGTTGGTATCTACCATAAGTGCAGTGAGTTCCAAAATATGCAGCATTGCTTTAAGTCAGTCTATTATTTTCAGGAGCGACAGGGATTGTCTCAAAGATACGTCAATCAAGTGGCACATGCTAACGGGGTGGTGGATGATAGGCTTACATCTAAAAACGTTATTAAAAAAAAACATTATTAGTTTTTTATTTTACTTTTCTTTCTGTTGTTACTTTTTTTTTTTTTAACGGTACGCGATCAACTGCGACCGGTCAATCGCGAGTGTGGTGCGGGTGGACTGGCTGGTGACCACTGCTCTAATATGTCAAATTATACTCAAATGGTTTAGGGTTAACCTGTTAAGCCCGAGAGGCCCCTAATCCGGGTCTGAAGGGTAGTTTTTTCACGAAACTGTATCTCAGGGCTTCTTAATATTTAAATATCTATTAATGTGTCATACTCACTTAACGGTTAGAAACTCAGCTAACTGAAGATATGAACAATTGTTACCGAAACAAAGCACAAGTCTCACAAGAAGTGTTTAAATTAGCCCTGAGTGAAAGAATGCTAACGCACTTAGCACAGAACTCAAGGTATAAATACCCTTATTACTTATCGTAACTGCACAAACAAGATATCCGATTAAAGCTGATATTACTCAGATTCTATAGGTATTGGCATCATCACTGAGTGATCAGAACTCGTGAAAGGGGAAGCAAACACAGACAACACAACACGTAGCATAACAGAGCATTCACGGGACATCTCTTATCTTAGCTGTTGGTTTCTGATCAAAAGTCGTGTTCAATGGCATTAAAACGATAAAAACGCGACTGAAGGTTAATCCATAGGTTAATCCAATGTGTCTGTCACTTTGAAAAAAGTATTGATAATCAATAATTCCATTTTTATGTAAAAATCAGAGAATTAATATTAGCTGCTAATGGTAGCCACCAGAGTGTATTGCAGCTTCCGGTTCCGGGGCATTCTGGCTGTGCAGCACTCCATCACCAATGGGTAATGTTGAGATGGATTTTAGGAACTTCCCCTCGATTCTATTGGCTCTAACGGTTAAAAAGAGATGGCAATCATCAAAATCGACCGAGGGGGGCCAGAGATATGAAAATGCACCCAAATGACCCCAGAAGTGTTTTTTTTTTCTTCTAAATCTCTCTAAAAAGCATCAAGAATCAATATTAGCTGCTAATGGCAGCCACCAGAGTGCAACAAGTCCTCCAACTCATACGACCACATGGGCCGATTGTTCAAGCCCTTATTACGACCAAATGTGTCGTTTGTTCAAGCGCTTAATATGTCCTACAATTACGTTTTAAAGTTTTCGCCCTCTCGTGCTCCCGTTGAATGCTAACGTTACAGATTGTCGTTTATTCACAAATAACCCTCTCTGTAAAATCCTAAATTGTAGGATAGTTTGGCCATTAATGTAAATAGTACACATCTGCCGTAGTTCTTTATTTATAGAGCCCTGATCAGAAGACCTTTTGACGAACTGTAAGAAATGCAGCCAAAACTGAATACGTGACGTGGATCATAAATATATTAGCAATTAAACAACATCTTCCATTTCTTTTCACACAATATGTCTCCTTGCAGTATCAACACTAATTCAGCTGACTTTTATATTTGATCCAATTGGTAGATAGGTTATATTTACACCATAACGGTGCACAGCTGATAGAAAGGGATTTTTTTGTAGTTTTTAAAGATATTATTTACTACCTTTCCAACTCCTCATGCAGTTGACTGTTACAGGTATTTACAGGTTCATGGTACAATGCATAAGCTTCAAATCGAGAGACTGAAACTCTATTTTCCTTAACCGTTCTGTATTAATTTCACAATAAAGTTAATAGTCATATTATGTTTGATATTATTATGTTTTATTAATTACACCACTGGTTTTTTAACCCGCACCGCCTAGTGGTTAAAGCACGTTATTGAATTGTGTTGTTGAATACGTTTTATTTGATGAAACCATTTAAATATTAAGAGTAGCCTACATACAAAATTGGGGGAAAGAAGAAGGCATGATAGAAATATAGAATAGAAAATATCAAGAAGATACTGTTGTGATCTCTGCAATAAAACAGTTTAGTGCAGGACGTCCAAAGATATTCACAGGAGGATGTGCAAAACAGACAAACTAATAAGGTTTTATTTAAACATTAAAGAACACTTTAAGTTAAGGTCTTCTTTTGAATAAGAAAAAAACGTTGGGGTTATCCACAGATAAATATGAAGTCTGACAAAGTACTTAACGTCTAATATATTGCATAGTTTATTTTGTCACTTGACAATCACCTTCCCTGAATTTGGCTCAGGTGTAACTAAAGTCTGATTTAAGGGTTGTTTATATTTCACATCATTAATCAGAATCTGCAAAGTAACTACAATAAATGTAGTGGAGTAAAAATACCGGGTTAACCTCTGAATTGTAGTGGAGTAGAACAAAGTAGTATGCTGCTGTAACAAAAACATTTCCCAACTTGGGATCAATAAAGTATATCTTATCTTAAGATGATCGATGGCTACTGCAATATTTGCAAAATGTGCCTCTGAACCTTGACAAGTGCATGTTTCAGGCTTATCAATTAACAACAGGAGGGGTCACAGATATAAGACCAGCTGTTAAGTAAAGCTCTTCTGACCTTAGCTGGCATGTGGGTATATTAATTCACCCATTTATTAATTATATGTTTTAAATTTGATAACACCACTGTGTTTTGTATCCCCTAAACCGCCAGGGTGTACACAGTTTAATACTGGCAACTTCTAATTGTGAGAAATACGAAAACGTCTTATAAAGAGACGGGGGCTGGACCCTTTCAATTCAATTTTTGGAAAGTCTGCCGTGGTTCCATTCCATTTCATAGACCTGTTTGACGCTCAGCGTAACCTTGTCGCATTGCCACTCGCAACATCCAATCACAGGGCTTGATGACTAATCACGGGGTTTGTAAAGCAAGGCGGATGTTGTAGTCCCAAACGATAGCTGGGGATTCTGGGTAGTGTACTGTCTTCGGAAACTCTGTAGTGTCTAAACTCCGAAAAAACTATTTGTTTCTCTGAATCGAAGGTTAAAAACACAAAAGCATTCTACACAATTTAAACCAATCAATATTGTGTAATTAACAAGGGTAAACTGTTTTTTAGCGGATGAGTAATGCAGATATCACTGTGTAATCATTTGACAGTGAGGGGAATATATCCGGTTTCATTATGAAAACTTAGAGACCGGAAAAACTGTTTTCACCCACGCTAACTTTACATGGAAGCTGCATACACGTTATCCTGGCGAGACCTCAACTCATCTTCGTAATATCTATCAAACTATAGATCCTACACATCGACTGGAGGTGGATTCTAAAACTACAATATACACTTCTCGCCAGAAATCTAATCAAAAAGCATTTTAATGGCCAAACTATTCTACAATTTAGGATTTTCCAGAGAGGGTTATTTGTGAATAAACGTCCCTCCGGAGCATTTGCAATGAACGGGCAGGGAGCATGTTGTTTCTCACACGACCACTAGAGCGTGTAAGAAACAACATACACTTTAAAACGTGTCTCTGGGTCGTAATAAGGGCTTAAACAATCGGCCTATATGGTCGTTTTGTAGGAGGAGGACAGGCTAGAGTGTATTGCAGCTTCCGGTTCAGGAGCATTCTGGCTGCGCAGCACTCATTCACCAATGGGTAATGTTTAGATGGATTTTAGGAACTTCCCCTCGATTCCATTGGCTCTAACAGTTAAAAAGAGATGTCAATCATCAACATCGACCGAGGGGGGCCAGAGATATGGAAAATGCACCCAAATGACCCCAGAAGTGAGTCTTTTTAACGGACACTATAATTTAAATTGTTTTACTATGTTCAATCTGAATTTACATTAAAATAAAAAAAATCTATATTGATTCTGACTTTTTTACATCCAACTCACAGGTTTATCATTACTTTGAGAAAAAAGATTATGCATTTACCCCTTTTAAAAGGGACGATATGGTCATTTGTTCTGGGAATGTCATTTTCGAGCCTGAGACCTGAAAAACAGGCTCAGGGCTTAACAGGTTAAGTGATATGTTTCAGCTGTGTTTATTAAAGTTCAATTGATTTTACAGATCCAATGTGTGATCCCAGTTATCTGGAATCTGACCTGGTGTGGAAGGATCTGAAGCCCTGGAGCTCTGGAAACATGCTGTGGTTCACCCTCTATAACAAAAAGGGCCTGATACAACATCGAATCTGTATACAATCCACTGAAAGACAATAACCAACCCCTTCTTTTCTGCTTATATTATTTTCCTTCAGCTGATCTAACAATGTCATTATTAAAAGTTGCAAATAAGTTCCTGCTCAACGTCTACATTGCACCTTTTGATGCTCTTGTCTCTCATCTCATGAACAAGATGTGTAACGTCTCTGAGGATATGTATCACCAACAGGAAAGAGTTATAAGAGAAGTTAGCACGTTATAAACATCATAAACATCATACATCATGAACAGCATGATAATAGTGATGCTCAATGAAACATTTTACTTTTATTGTTCTGGTATTTCAACCATTCAAGACATGTTTTGCTTAAAAATGTGGTGAACATATCTTTATTTTATATTTGTTAAAAACATACTTTTCTTCAGTCAAAACATTCTTATGAAAGGTGAGAATATGGAAATTAACAAAATAAAAGGCTTTGAGTTTACTGGATTTGAAATGTACATACGATCATTGCAGAACTTATGAATCGTGTATTGTTGTCATTGTATACGTTAAAACTATAATACAGCACTATATTTTCTGCTATGAAGATAAAAACAATTTCAAATTGTATTTTAATTTGAAAAGTTCAGATGCCGATGTACAGTTTTTATATTTCTTTTGGAAATACCAACTTCCAAATATGTTTCTGTATATATGTCCTGTCAGTTAAATTAACAATATACTAAAAATACCATTTTGTATTTGTAAATTGATTTGTGAGTTGTTGACCCCTTCAGTTACCCAATAAAACCATACACGTTTTGCTGTTTCTACAAAGCCTCTTCTACTCCCATTTACATACAATATGTTCTGCGGGTTGTGTCTGAGAAGCTGAAAAGTATCACCAGTATCTGTGGAGTCTAAAATAAAACTCAGAACAACCTACCCTCAGCTCGCCTTTTAAAATAAATGCATGTGTCAGTCAGTACCTCTGTGGTTTTTAACTTTGTCTCGAGTGTGAGAAAGTCTAACAGCTGCTGCTCGTACCATCATGAGACACAGAGAAGTTACCTCACACTCAACCTGAGCAGAAGAAGAGATACAACGCTGAAGAAGTGATCATGTCCTCGGCTCGTGGTGTTCTTTATCTTGATGACCAAACTATCTCTGATCTTTTTACATGAGTTATTTCTGTGTGACCCTGAGTTTCCCACAATGCAGCAGTCCCACCAGCAGCAGCAGCAGAGCCACCATCACTACGGTGAACACAGTCCTTAAGACGAGGAGGACGAGAAGGGAGTGATCCGAGGAGGGAACAGCTGCAAACACAACACAACGTAAATATATATATAACCCTAAACTCCAGATGTATCCCCAAAATGTTAGCTTTAATGCAATATCTCACCTCTGACAGCCAGCCAGCTCTCTGGTGATTCTCCATCTTCAGAGATGCTGCACTTGTAGAGTCCTTCATCAGATTTAGAAACCCTTTGGATGGTGATGTTTCCTGTATGGCTACTCCTGATGAGGCGGCCATCTTTATAGAAGTCAGCTGACAGGATGGAGGAAGTGGTCGTCTTGTTCCTGCAGCTCAGAGTCACAGATTCTCCCTCCATCACAGGAAGCACAGGACTCTCCAGGATCACAGAGCCAGCTGAACAACATCGGGATCAAACATTCAGTTTGAGTTTTGTAGAAGAAGTTATTTACAATAGAAAAACTGTTAATTTAGATGAAGCCATTGTGAAGATAATGTGATTGTTGTAACATGCCCAGAATAATTTATTATATCAGAAATAAACTGAACATATTGATGAATTAATCTGAAATCAAACAGTAATGTATAGGAGTGTATCGTCTGCATAGAGGTTCATAATATGAAACTGTTCCTGATTTCATCGCAGCATTGAACGTTGAGTGTGTTATTTAAATAATATTTGTTGAAAATTATTAAAATGACATCAGAGACAGGAGAAAACCACAATTTGGTTTAGATTTTAGAAACATATTTGTTTCTAATTGTATGACTTTAATCCAACAGTAGGCTTTGCTTAATGACTACGCTTTGTGCACGCTGTTTGCTTTCATTGCACTTTCTTGATGAATTCTGTTCTTTATTTACAATATTAAGATAAAAAAAAAAAGTTTGCTAAAAAAGGATATGTTTGTTTTAAAACCTTGGCATTTTTTTTGTTCTTCTAACAAAAAAAGGTATAGAAAGAATATATTGATGTCAACATACCGGTGATAATGACGTTCACATAGGTGCTTTTCTTCCCTCCAGCCTCACACCAGTAATCTCCACTGTCCTCTTTATAAGGAGATTTAATGTTGCAATTAGTCTCATTCAATGAACCCCATTTTGAGCCGTCACAAGTTTCCTTTCCTGCTTTGTTCCACCGTGAAATGTTCACATCAGTCAAACCATCGAAGCCCACACATCTTAAAGAGAAAGGCTCGTATTCAAAGACTTGAAGTCTGGATGGTTCGATCCAAACATCTGCATATGAAACTGAGAAATAAATTACATTACATTACATTACATTACATTACATTACATTACATTACATTGCATTTAGCTGACGCTTTTGTCCAAAGCGACTTACAATAAGTACATTCGACCAGGAAGACACAACCTTGAAGAAAACAGAATCATATAAGTATATCAGGTTTCATAGAGCCAAACATTTCAAGTGCTACTCAACTGGCTTTAGGTAAGCCAGCCCTTTATTGGTATAAAAGTGCTTCGTTAATCGTTCTAACGCTCGAAGTGGAGTCGAAAGAGATGAGTTTTCAGTTTGCGCCGGAAGATGTGCAAGCTATCTGCCGTCCTGATGTCAATGGGGAGCTCATTCCACCATCTTGGAGCCAGGATAGCAAACCCACGTGTTTTCGCCGATGGGAATAAATGTGTTGTTGAGATTAATATATAGCACTTTAAATAAAGTTATGATTTGTTTTGCTTTCTTTTTGGTGAACAAGCTTCTTACCAACTTTCTGTTCACAGAGCTGCAGAAACACCGTCATCCCTGCAGAGACAACAGAGACAAACATAACACAGAGTTCTTAAATTAGATTTTATTACCTTGACTTTATTGTTTACATGTATCTTTGATAGATATTACACATATAATTCACAATAGAGAACAGCACTAATGGCCATTTAGCAGCAATAAGTAATAGCATCTATATTTGCTCTTCTTTATCATACATATATTTAAATATTTAATAATAATTATAAAATAAAAACAAGTTATTTTATAAGAGATCTCACCTAGAAGATCCTCTACAACAAAAAACATGTATTTTTCATAAATGAAAACATTTGAAACATCTTGTCTTTATTAATGTGGAGGAAGATTTCTCTCAATATTTGGACAGATCAATAACCCGTGTGTAAATGTTTGAAGACCTCCAAAAATAAAAAAAGGACTTGTAAAATCACAAACTATTCATGAAAGATGTGTAAAAAACTTATAAAATCAAGCAATATTGACACAAATCTACCTCCATATGTTCCTTCAGCTAATATGATCTAGTATCATCTTGTATGTGAAAAACAGCAGATGAGGACTCAGTACTCACACAGTGTGATGCAGAGCGCTGTGGCCTCCATGGCGTCTGGCTGCTGACTGAGTGAACCTCACACTGAAATATAAAAGAAGAAGAGGGGTGGTCTCTTCCTGTGTGGCTCACTAATGAAACGCCTTGTAGCTCAGACGCGTGTCATGGGAGGAAATACGTGTCAGTGGTGGGGTTAATATTAGAGGCTGAGGCCAAAACTCTCATGTGAGAAAGACCACTTTACGTCTTGATGTGTAGAACAGACAAAAAGCATTATGACGGAAACATACATTTTAAATACATACAACTACTGACACAGAATTAAACACTGTTATGATGCGGTCTTTAAAATATGCAGTACCACGAGGCAGAATGGCCTGGGGAACATGAGGTTTGAAAGAGTACAAATTACCAGGAGATGGTCAAAACTGTCACAAGCAGACCTGGAAGGCAAAGTGTACGCCCTCTGACGTCACTCTACAAAGCAGAGCATCTCAGACATGAAGAGGAGGAGAGCCATCGAGACATCACAGAGGCAGAGGAGGAAGACTCACGACGGCTCTGGGTCAGGAAAAAGGTCTTTGGGGAGGAGCGAATATCATGTGAACAAGTCAAGTCGTGATGTGATCATCAACGTCTGAGTCAGCAGCATCACAGAGATGCATTCAATGAAATGTGCCCACAACTGAATGAGGAGTGATGAGGCTTCATCGTCATTCACAAACAGAGATCTGAAGAGTCTCAGCCTTAGACTGACCCAATGCAGGAAGCTGACCAGCTGCTGTTTGAGCTTCAACAAAGAAGGTGGATCTGAATGCTAGAGCAAGAATACACACATGAGAGAAGTGTGCTTCTAACTTGGGTCGGCCTGTTTCAACATGACCATAAGTTCATGCACAAAGTGAGTCATGTGTTTGTCTTGATGTTCTCAGCCACGTGTTCACTGTTAACGGTTTCATCTAGAGCTCTGAAACCACAGAGAGTCTGACCCCAGCCTCAGAAGCACTCTGCACAGGAAGAGGAAGTTCTCACTCACATTATGTTTCTGCGTCTCTCAGTGAGACGCTCAGACAGCAGGAAGACACCATGGAGGTCACAGCACTCTGCAGCCGACTGCGTGAGTCTCAGACTATACACTATTCACTTTTCACAAATACTAAGCATATTTTTTGCTAATAGAACATTTTCTCTATCTGCATATATAGTGACGTGTGTGATCATTCTGCTGGGTGCACATATTCAGAAGAGCTCTTTGCAAAGCTATGGTGGGTAGAAACTACTAAAGATTCACATACTCATGTTAATAGGAAATACCAGTGTGTCCGTGCATTGTGTTAAAATACATTTAGCTATATTCTTTATTAATCAGATGTTTTATTGTCTCTGTTTCTGTCCTCAGACGCTTTGCTCATCGTCACAGAGAGACTGCAGCTCTTTGAATACGAGCCCTTCTCTTTTCTCTGCGAGGGTCTTGGCTCTGCTCTGAGGGGGTTTAGGAACAACAATGAGTTAATTCAGAGTTGTTATAATATTGCTTCATCAACACTGAACTGCACCATTCAACAGGCCTATGATTCAGACAGCGGGGTTTACTGGTGTGAGGACGAGAAAGGAGAGAAGAGCAACTCCATCAACGTCAAGGTCACCAGTATGTTCATCATATTATATATGTTGTATTATACGTGTTATATGTGTAGTTATTTTACATTTCATTTGAATGTGTTTATGCAAGTACTATAATACACCAAAAGAAACTCCTTCTATGTGAAGACCTACTTGTACATTGATTCTGACCAAGTGTGTCATAAATATGCAGGAAGTGCACTGCCCCTTAGTTTTTTAAATATGTTGGGATCAGAACCCAGTTTTCAAAGATGAAACAATTTTGTATCCGAACATTTTAACGAAAACTGAATTTATCAATTAAATGATCAACTCAGGGAATTTTAAACAATATCAATCTCTATTCAGACGATACACTTCTCTATGTTACTATCTAATTTCTGATGTATTGATCATGTAGTTCTGTTTATTTCTGATATGTTCATTCAGTATGTGATGATGCCACATTTTACATTCACTGTATTTTCAGGATGACATTTCTTCCCTCGGTCTAAATCATCTCCTAATCTTTATTATAAATAACCACAGATGAGACTAAATGTTTGATCCCGATGTTGTTCAGGTGGCTCTGTAATCCTGGAGAGTCCTGTGCTTCCTGTGATGGAGGGAGAATCTGTGACTCTGAGCTGCAGGAACAAGACGACTACTTCCTCCATCCTCTCAGCTGACTTCTATAAAGATGGCCGCCTCATCAGGACCAGCTCCACAGGAAACATCACCATCCAAAGAGTTTCTAAATCTGATGAAGGACTCTACAAGTGCAGCATCTCTGACGGTGGAGAATCACCAGAGAGCTGGCTGACTCTCAGAGGGGAGATATTGCATTAAAGCTAACATTTGGGGGATTTATCTGGAGCTTCTGGGTTATATATATATTCACGTTGTGTTGTGTTTGCAGCTGTTCACAGAGAGACGTGTCCCTCCTCAGATCACTCCCTTCACGTCCTCCTCGTCTTAAGGACTGTGTTCACCGTAGTGATGGTGGCTCTGCTGCTGCTGCTGGTGGGACTGCTGCATTGTGGGAAACTCAGGGTCACACAGAAATAACTCATGTAAAAAGATTAGAGTTTGGTCATCAACACAATGAACACCACGAGCCGAGGACATGATCACTTTCTTCAGCGTTGTATCTCTTCTTCTGCTCAGGTTGAGTGTGAGGTAACTTCTCTGTGTCTCATGATGGTACGAGCAGCAGCTGTTAGACTTTCTCACACTCAAGACAAAGTTAAAAACCACAGAGGTACTGACTGACGCATGCATTTATTTTTAAAGGCGAGCTGAGGGTATGTTGTTCTGAGTTTTATTTTAGACTCCAGATACTTTCAGCTTCTCAGACATGTCTGTATAAATAAATGAATACATAAGTAAAGAGGCCTTCAGGGGGATTTATAGAAACAAGTAACTTATAGCATATAAAATAATTGTGAGGTTTGAACGTGGTAATACCTGCTAGATTGTTAGCGTGCTAACTTTGGCTTCTAGCTCAAAGGATGGCTGTGAGCCTCAGAGAAACAAGACATTAGACTGAAAGAGAAAAACTGTTTATTGGAACAGAAATCATGTCAACGTGTTTTCAGTCAACAAAACTAACTTAACTGGTTTTGGGTTCAAAACATCATATAATTAAAACATATCACCTTGAAATTAAACATTATCTTAAACATATTAAAAACATATTTGGAAGTTGGCCGTAAGCAATTATCAAAATTGTAGCATCATGTAAATTAAAAAATAAAACACATTTTTACATCTAAACTACATAAACTTGAATAGTGAATTATATTTTGACAATTTACACCGTCAACAATAATTACAAAGATCCGCCAAGATCTATTATACATTTGAAATCAGGTAAACAAACATTTCTTATAGTTGTTGAGGAAACTTGTATTTGATGATTTGCATTAGCTGACATTTTGTATTATTAAGAGTGGAGTTTTTTACATTTCATAAAGATATTTAGCACGATAAAAGAGTAGATTTAGTCAAATATAAAAGCAGTGGCAGCAAAATAAAGGCAGGTCACCTCAAAACATGTTTAAACTGTTAAATGAACCTGAATAGTCAAAGTAAAGTGTGTGATTCTATAAAATGAATGGCTGATCTCTGAGTCTTTCTGTTCCTGTGAATAATGCTCAGATATTTTATAACGTTGTAACTTTCTCTCATGGCTTTTTCCTGTTGCTGATAAATCTGCTCCGTCACTTCACACATCACAACACGAGGACAAGTTCAAATGAACTCCAGCTATTTGTTGCTAGGCAGGCAGTGAGCAGAAGTATATTTGTAACTTTTGATAAATGCAGGGTAAGATGAGCACAATGAGAGCAGGACAAAGTATAGTTAAAGTCTTTAAGGTATTGTCACACAGAGTTCATACTGGGTCTCTTGTTTGTGGTCGAAGAGGACGACCTGCAGTTTGTCTCCAGAGCTCCAGGACTTCAGGGCCTTCCACTTCAGCTCAGTGGGAGCATGATTGCGACCATGACCTTTAACCCACATCTGTAAAATACAAAGTCACCGATTTACAAACAGAATCATAAAATAATTAAATAAATAAAATAATAGTGCATTCTTTTTTAATATTCTTATTCTTTAACATATAATGAAGTGCTGAATGAAACAAATAAGAAAAGGGAAAATGCAACATAAAGTGAACAATCAAGAAGGACTCACAGTGACATCTGTTCCAGCCTTGAGTTTGAAAGATGGCGGAAATGTGTACGTGATGGATTTGTTGTTGTTAACCTGCAGATCTAACTTCCATATTCCCAGCTGTTTGTCCTGCAGGAGGTCACATACAGGGAGAGAGGGAGGGTGAGAGACAGAGAGACTAACACATGGAGGTGACCATTGAATTCACTTAAAACAATTTACACAAAAACAAGAGAAAAGGAATTCTTAAAGTTTAACAGGTCATTATGAGAGTTTGACGAAGAAGAATTAAAGTATGCTTAAATTATATTATTCACTCTCATACAGCACTCACACAGCGTTAATGCTCACAACATTACCTCAGTGGAAGAGTTCATGAGACGGATGTATTTGTGCTGTTGGTCGACCTCAATATTAAATCCTGGGTCTGAGGTCTGGGTGTTCGGGGAGAGGGGTGGTTCCACTGATCGAGAATTATCAGACCCTTCACAGTTTCCTGCGTCTGACTAAGGGGGAAACACACAGGAAATATTCATCCATCATCTTTGACTCAGCTGTTTGATCCCTGTGACACGCTGAGATCCATCTCATTTGGTGTCTCAGTGTGTTTTCAGGTCTAGTTTGAGTTGTCTTTGTGTCAAATATCAACTACTTGTAAATAAGATTAAACTATTTTTGAAAAAAACAATATAAACAATGCATCTTTTTGGTCCTTCACTTATTTCTCATTTGGTGTCTCAGATTATCTCTCAAGGTTAGTTTGATCACTTTAGCCTCCAAAACAAATCAATGTCTTTTGGAGAAGATGAAGTAAAGATTTGACCAAAATTGTCCACCTTCTTTGCAAATCCCCAAGCTTCCTTTCCCTTCTTCTCACGGGGGTGTTGGTTCCCCTTGGAGACACCATGTGAAGGAGACGAAGCACTGGGAGGAACTGTGAGCTTCAGGTCTTTTTCAGCGTCCTCTCTGCGGGTCTTCTCCTCTGGGACCGTCAGAACCTGCAAGATAAAGAGAGATACAGACATTTGAACCTTTACATTTTCTTGTCTGGGTAAAAGCTAGTTCCTGCTCTGCATCACATTTTCTCTCACAGGACAATCAATACTTTTACTGCTTCACAGTGGCATTTGAGTACAGTTTGAGTTGTTTGGTGTCTCAGTTAGTTTTATCACTTTGGCCTCAGCAAAAATTCTGTTTAACACAGAAAATAAAAAACGTTACCTTAGAATTCTTGTCCACCAGCTCTCGGGTCGATCTCTCAGCTTCCTCTTCTCTCAGCTTCTCGTTGAGCAGCTGTTTCAACAGGGAGGACTGAGGAAAAAAGGGTGAATGAGAAAATACTATACATAAATCTAACAGTAATCTCCGAGATAGGCCTGATGACCTTCATACACAGACAGTTGATCCAGTGATCCTGCTGTAACAGGAAATGTAATCTGTTTAAACTAAAAACATCAAAACAAATATGTTTCTGCTTCAGATTTCTAAAATATGATACTGTGTAAACTATTGATGTATATCTACGTAGATGCAATATTCCTTTTTTTTCCAGTGTTGACTCTCATAAAAGCACAACAGATGATGGTCACACCAAGTACTTTGCCGCACTTAGTGCCCAGCACTTAGTGCCCTGCACTTAGTACCCGGCACTTAGTGCCCTGCACTTAGTACCCGGCACTTAGTGCCCTGCACTTAGTACCCGGCACTTAATGCCCTGCACTTAGTACCCGGCACTTAGTACCCGGCACTTAGTGCCCGGCACTTAGTTCCCGGCACTTAGTGCCCTGCAGTTAGTACCCGGCACTTAGTGCCCTGCACTTAGTACCCGGCACTTAGTACCCGGCACTTAGTGCCCTGCACTTAGTACCCGGCACTTAGTGCCCGGCACTTAGTGCCCTGCACTTAGTACCCGGCACTTAGTGCCCGGCACTTAGTTCCCGGCACTTAGTGCCCTGCACTTAGTACCCGGCACTTAGTGCCCTGCACTTAGTACCCGGCACTTAGTGCCCTGCACTTAGTGCCCTGCACTTAGTACCCAGCACTTGGTACCCAGCACTTAGTGCCCTGCACTTAGTACCCAGCACTTAGTACCCGGCACTTAGTACCCCCATGGAACTAAGAGCCGATCGCGTTCACACCGGAATAAGTTCCCTGAGGGAAGATTACGCAAAATAAGCCGCTGACGTCACTTCTTCTTCTTCTGATTTGGGTTTACTGGCCGGCCGGAAACCACTTCACAGCGTATACTGCCACCCGAAGTCCCCGGCTGGAAGTCCCCGGAGTTGGGGAAGGCATCAGTAGAAGCTGCTTTCCGACTAAATCGCCATAAGTGCCGACACCTCCTCATCTCCACCGCTCCCATGTTTTTTTTTGTGTTGCCATAAGTTATTCTCTCTCCGTTGGTGTGCGGGGTTAATGCTAATGCTAATAATGCTAATGCCAGCAAATACAATGGCGGCTTAAAAAAACTTTTCCGAGGTTTACGGGCCGTGGTTTGCAATTCGCCCAGCCAATCAAAATTGGTACTTTTTTCTCCCCAGGATATTCCCACCTCTCTAGCAGGCACTACAAATGGGGGTAAAAGTTCTCGGAACTAAGTTCTCTTTTTGGTGTGAACGCAAAATTCCAGGCACTAACGGAACTAAACGGGAAAAGTACTCCGGTGTGAACGCGCCTATAGTGTATGTGACTCCTCTGTGTGTGTGTGTGTGTGTGTGTGTGTGTGTGTGTGTGTGTGGTTGTTTATGTCGTTGCAAATAAAAAAATTAAGTAAGAAAAAACAACGTCATTAATATCAAAAGAACTAAAAACCAACACATAGGTAGAAACTGAACCATCAATGGAAGATGAACCTCTTTTATCGTTGCCTCGAGTTCCTTTTGCACGTCTTCACTTTTCTGCTTTTCATCTTTCAGACTCTTGATATCAGCTAAAAGTGCATCCATCTGGGAGGAGAGATGGATTACAGAGAGAAGACACCTCCAGATACACAACCAGACATGAAGGAAGTGTGTGTGTGTGTGTGTGTGTGTGTGTGTGTGTGTGTGTGTGTGTGTGTGTGTGTGTGTGTGTGTGTGTGTGTGCGTGTGTGTGTGTGTGTGTGTGTTTACATGTCTCTTAAGCTGGATGATTTCTTTGTCCTTGCTGTCCAGGTGACTCTTTGCCTTCTTCAGCTCTTCATCGGTGATTTCCTCCAGCTAACCAACCAACCAACCCACACACACACGCACACACACACACACACACATACACACACACATACATACACACACACACACACACACACACACACACACATACACACACACATACATACACACACACACACACACACACACACACATACCATGTATACATCACTTCAGGGGACATTACATTGACTTACATGCATTTCCTGGAGACTTATCCTAACCTTAACCATAACCAACACATGCCTAACCCTTACCCTTAACCTTACACTTAACCTAACCCTAACCAAGTCTTCACCCTAATGTGTGTCATATAACTCGAGGCTCTTCAGCAGCTCAACTACAACATATATTGTTCTATATACTAGGAAGCACTTTAAACTGACTGTGTGCTTCACATCCGTCTTCCTGCAAACTGTGTCTGAATGAAGCTGACAGATATGTGAAGCAGCAGGAGCCTCTTCTAAAGGGCGCTGAACGTCTAGTTGATCCTGAACATGAGTCACTGCAGGACCTCATGCTGTGTGTGAAGGACTTTCAGTGGAGACGACAAACCTTTTTCTGCAGCTGCTCCTCCAGGATGTGAACGTTCCTCTCAGCTTCCTCCCTCCTCTGCTTCTCCTCCTCAAACTTCTGTCTGGACACCAGCGGCCGTTTTGACTGAAATACCGAGAGGCAGAGATCAGGAACATGTTGATAGGAGAATGTGACTCAACATGATAAGTATCAAGTATCAAAGCGTCTGACTTTGTGATTTTTTTCGGAGTACAGTTGAGAACAGAACAGAAACAACTCAAACCAAGTTACTTTGAATGAGCAAAAATCACAGGGATCCACATTAGAGCAGTAAAGACGAGGCAATGTGCCAACAACGAGAGCGGAGAAGACTGCAAACATGGAGGAAACCAAAGCTGGGTTTACGGTTATAAAATCTGATTAACGTGTGTTTTTAAAGCTTAAAATGGCTCATATCTTAAAAATAAACAATAACGTCGTAAGTACACTAAAACATTCAACAAATGTATTAATGATTATCCCCAGAGTGAACCAGGATGCTCAAAACCTCCACTTCCTCCTTCAGGGTCTGTAGGCTGGTCTCCATCCTCTGACCCTCCTCCTGGAGCTGCTGGACTTCAGCTTCCTTCACTTCAACCTGAGAGGAGAGAGAGAGACATGTTTTATCATTGATACCATTCTACATGTAAGGGCCGGGTCGATTAGTTACAGTTTAAACTCAGGACTTCAGCTCAGATTTCAGTAAAATATTCAAACAGAAACCTCTTTGGTTTTGATGTCTGTTCTCTCCTGTTGGGTCTCCAGCTTCTTCTGAAGGTTCTCCACTTCCTGTTCAGCTGTATCCTTCTTCTTCTGCAGTTTTTCTTGTTTGCTAAACTGGATTATATTAAGACATGTACAATGACCCGGCTAAATAACTAAGCATATTATATATAATATATATCTCTAAATTACTTAAATGTTGCTTTTCAATCAAACATGTTCTAGCGTAACTTTATTCTAGGTGGTTGAAAAAATAGGCTTCTGCTGGATATCAGCCTTTTAAACAGACTTATTACAGTAATGGATTCACTTTATGTTCTGGTTATAATGTATGTTGTACATTAGGAAAATGTATACTGTATATTTGATATATTGCATATTATATTAATCTCAAGCCAATTTACCAAATTATATTTGGTACCAAGGTCAAAGTCTTCTTGAGCTTTCACCAGCTGGGGGAAGGACATGTAGAGACAGATGAGTACCACATGAAACACTACAGCAGTGATAATGATAACATGTAAAGCCACAGTTACACTGAGTACAAACAAAGTAGCTTCAGTGCAGTGGGTCCTAAACATGGTGATGATTGAGTTCCTCAAACAGCTTCCTGACTGTCTGCAGGTTTACAGACGATCACATGAGAGGGGTCAATGAACCCAATGTCTCTCTCTCTATTCACATGAACATTAAAGTTCAAAGATGAAGACGTGAACCTCTCTGTTCTTGTTCCACAGATCTCCCTTCAGGCTCTGCAGCTCCTTCTCGCTCCTCTGTTTCTCTGCATGGAGATCCTGCAGCTCAGACTCTTTAGATTCAACCTGAAAGAACAGCAGGAAGATTAACATCATTTATTCACAGTCTAAAAGTAGGACAGTCTGGAGTTGGTCTCCACTTGGACCTGCACTGCAGGTTTGACCTTGTCTGCACTAAGGAGGACATTGAAAGAGACTTCAAACAGGAATCAATGTGTTTCATTATTGAAGTGGAGATGAACCTCTTTCTTCTTGTTCTGCAGCTGCTCTTCCAGAGTCTGGACTTCCTTCTCAGCATCCTTCCTCCTCCTCTGCTCCTCAAGCAGCTGCTGCTCAGATTGATTTTTCTATGAGAGGAACAGTCACGTTTCTTTAGTGATCATTTCTTAAGGTGCCACACAATGACACCTGTTTTCATGCATTTCTGGCAGATCCTGTATCTTGATGTGAAAGTCTTCCGTGCTTCTTGCTAAGACTTCACTTTTCATGTTGTTGTTTCTCTACTTACCTTTTTCCTCTTCTTTCTGACGTTTCCCTTCAAAGCCTCCATCTGCACAGCGTCAGGTTTCATCAGCTGTCCTCTTTCTCCTTCATTGAGAAACTGATCTTCATCCGAACGCTTTCTCTTTGTCTCTGTGTGAAAGTAAACGTGTGTTAAAAGAGAATTAGAGGAACTTTAGGAAGGGATCGAAGCACATGAAACTTTTCAGTCTAAATTTAACTGAACAATTGGTGATTGGTCAACAGCTTAGAGATGTCCTGCCCCTAGTGCTGGATATGCAAGTGTTACATAGTGATGTCACCATGCTCAAAACAAAGGGGTCCAATGGAGGCGTTTCAGGCAGGGGGGTTGGAGTTTGTGGGAGATATCATAGCCTTTGCAGACCATTAACATGCACACAGACCTGCAGAACATACAGCACTCAGCATAATAGGGCTCCATTAATTAACCAAACGACTGTTAGTGACTTACTGAATATGTGTTCTCTCCACAGAAAGAAGAAAGAAACAGCCAGCAGTAACAGAATGCAAACAGCCAAACTGACGGCCAGACCAGTAATGATGGAAGAAGAACTGGACTGGAGCTTAAAGAAATCCTCTGAAATGATAAAACACAGGGCATCACGGCATTTATGTAAAACTTGGTCTCTGATATTTAAACTAAAACATGTTAAATGAACAGTTTTTCTACCTGGAAAATGGATTTGCGTCTGTGTGGTGCGGGTGGTGTTGTGGTGCTGCACTCTGCAGGTGAAGCTGCTGCTCGGTCTCTTCTCCACAGTCACTCTGCTGCTGACAGTATAGAGGTCATCAGGACCTCTGACTGTCTCTGGAGGTCCAGCAGAGAGGAGCTTTCCCTCAGCGTCCAGCCACAACACCTCAGGCTCCGGATACCAGCCTGCAGACTCACACTGCAGCACCACTCCTCCGCTCTGACCGTCCAGCCCTGATAACGTTACGACTGGTGGGCGAGCAGCAGCTGATACTAGGAAAGAAGAACAGAGTGTAAGAATACTTGAGAGTTATTACAGACATCCTAACCAAGGAGAGCTGGAACAATCTCCTCTTTGACTTCAGGACAGCAGAGAGTCTCTGTCAGACACTGAAAACCCACCTGCTTTTACGGCACCTTAGAGAATAAAACCCAGAACACACAAAGAAGGTAAAGTTCTCGAAATGGTTTAGCTTATTTAAGGCTAATGCACTTGCAGGTAGAATTTAGGAAAACACTGTTAGTTAAGTGTTTATACAGATGACACCCAATTACATCTATCAATCAAGGTAGATGAAACCATTGAATTAACTTAACCTAAGCATGCCTTTAAGGACACTTGGAATACCAGCTACTATTGGATGTTAGACACAAAACTGAAGTTATTAAACTCTGCTCCAAACACCTAATCTAATCATATACTTGTATGGATCAGTTGATTAAATTAGTATATTGTTTCCTGCTATCAAACACAAGAGAAACAACCAATGCAACTGCAGGAGTTTTTGCACCTGTTGTAAGTTGCATGAAAGGATTTGCTTTGGACTACAACTAAATATACAATTGGTGGAACAGCAGCACCTGATGCTGTGCTTGAGGAAACAATGGAAGTTAAAGCTCATATTTGCATCCCAAAAATTATGTAAAAGTAAATACACTAAAAGGTTTCTCATAAGACGAATCTTGAGTTAAGCATTTGCTTTCTGTGTTTAAACTGCGTTCAACCCATTATTAAAAGTTACCCTAACCCTAGGAAATATTATTTATCCTGAAATTGAATTGTTTCCCAGTGTAATGGCTTTTTGCTTTGACAATAAAACATGTTTTGTATAAAGCGGTGACTTATACCATTTCCATACAACCAACTACAATCTGATACTCTCATCTTTGAGCGCTAGACTAGAGTATTACATTATCAGAGTCTTTTGGAACACAGAGATATAAATACAGTCCTTTCCTAGAGATAAAAGTCGGCACATAGCAACACATGCACCCTGAACACATACATTGTGAACTTACCACAAACTAGTGAAACAAAAGCTTGCCGGTCCAGTTCAGGAATGAAACATCTGTATTTCCCCTGATCGGAGAGTTGTACGTTGGAGAGTTTCATGGAAATGTTTCCGTTCTTCAGCTCATCGGTGAACATTGATGTTCTTCCCTTGAATAACTCGTGTTTTTTATCCACCATCTCGTGACCAAGCCGCATCACATGGACGAATCTGGGGTCCATGTCGGGCCTCGTCCACTCCAACGTCAAATCGGCAACATTTACCACCGGCACCAGATAACACGGCAAAATGATGTCACCACCAAGGTTTGCTACTATTGGCTGATATGAGCCAATCAGCTGAGACTGACCTGGGAAGATAAAGGAAGTACATTTTAATCTCTTCCAATTTAAAAATGTTTTCAAATAAACAAAAAAAAGTAATTGTACTTGAATTAAGACAGATTTGGATCTTTTGTATGTGTGATAGTAGAAAGTATAGATGGACCTAAATGATGGTAGCTCGAGTGTTCGACACATAGTATTGACATATATTTGGCGTATTTTGGAAAATAAAACCATAACCACCAATATATTGGAATTCAAGATGCCTGTCCTCTCTTTTCAGGATTTAGAAAGTCTTGGCAGTAGACAGTAGACTAATCAGAGAGGATTTGACAGAGAGTGTGGTAATGGACTCATTGTGGCTGTTCCCTCGGCAGCATGAGGCTCTTAGTCCATTTAGTGTCGAGGGATCTTTAGTTAATTATCACTCCTCAATGTTCTATGTAACAAATATACATTTGTGGGGATTGATGAGGGCTAAGCCAACAAGCTAAACTCAAACTATATTCTGCTGTTAATATACATTTAAATGCGAGTTTATGGCAAACATAAACTTCCTCCTTCCACTTTAAAATATACTTTTAAAGCTTGTATTTGTGTGTGAATTACCTCGACAGTGGTGTGTTAGGAGAAGAAGGAAAACCAAAGCACTGAGAGCTCTGAGAGGAGTTTTGAGGGGCTTCCCGTCTGTGTGGAGAAGCATCATGGAGAGCTGGAGATGAACAGAGAACAGATGACAGTGTGAACTTCCAGCTGAAAACATATCTTAAATTGTTTTTTATGTAAAACTTGGAAACAAGGCTTGTCAGAAAGATATCTGATAGTCATTTAAATATAAAGTGAAATTCACATTTGGACTTTACTTGTACTGAAAGCTCCGATAAAGAAAAAGTAAAACTTTGCTGCCATCTTCTGTGCTTTACATATAATTACACACATTCAATGTTTCCTCATGTCCTCTGTATCAAACACAGCCTACTTAAGAGAGAACAGCTTCACTTTTCTGTCATCTTCACTTCTGTGATGTCAAATATTCTATAACTATTAAAAAATAGTCATGTCATTGTGTGTCTGTCTCTACGCCGTTCAGAAAAAAATGACATTATACTTTCACTTTAGTAGCTTAAGACTTCAGTAGTGTTTTAAAGCTGCCATTATTGTTTAGATATTTTACAATATTCTAAATAAAGACTCTCTGTACACAATGACCAGTTTATTTAATTGTATTGATCTGTAAATATGGTTAAGATTTAACAATCAAACAAACATTTCAGAACAGTAGACTATAAATCAATGCAATTATAACCAATGTAGAGTCGAAACACAGACTGAGAGAGGGCAAAACTCAAAATGCAGACCCACTTTTTTAAATAAAATGTTAGACGAAGACCACATACCTGTTGAGTGTAGCACGTCTCTTCTCTTTGTCTCCTGACTGTCGTAAAATCTGTAAATCATTAACAGGCTCATGCAGTGTATCATGTGAAACAAGTAACGCCTAATCATTTCTTTATCATTTTTCTCAGTGTGCACATTTCTCTGTAACAGCAAGAGAAATGTTTTGCAAAAACTGTGTAATATATTCAAGTACAGTTCAAATGTTTGCACCCTATTGTTATCAGAGTTTCACCTTGAATGTCTCTGTTAACCAAATCTGAACTTTGGACTCACTCAGGTCATACATTAATACGTTCTAATACAATTGTGGCAACTGTTGAATAGGTCATCTTCATTAAGCAAGATTAGAGGCCTGATCTTTTACTGCAGGGGGCGGGACTTTCAGTTTTATAACATCTGTCAGACTTTATTTTAGTGTGTGTGTTTGATTGGCAGATAGATCTGGGAGTTAAATAGATTGAGGTGAAGAGAGATTAAAAATAAAGATGGCAGGGTTTTATATATCGGTAAATATTTTAGAACACACTATAAACCAGGATTTGGACAGGCGGATATTTAAGAGTCTCTGCAGGAGGACGAGCTGCAGCTGCTGAGGCTCTACACACCTGACTCACAGGACTCATCACACACACCTTTCTGCAGAACACTCTGCCCCTCCATGTGAGGTCGGCCCAGACCCTAGGGGTTTTTAAATCTACTCTTAAAACACACTTCTTCTCCCTGGTCTTCTAGTCAGAGCGGAGCACGACTCCTGACTTTTCCCTGTGTTTTTTATATCTGTTATAATGTATTGTCTTTTATTGTGATTGTAGTAATGTGTTTTTATTACATGTACTGTACAGCACTTTGGCTCGACCAAAAATCGCTTTTAAATGTGCTTTATAAATAAAACTTGATTTGATTTGATTTGAAACACACACACACACAAACAGCACAACCACCAATTTTCATGGTGCACGACTACAGCTCCTGAGGGTGGAGATCAATAGGAGGTTTCCTAAAGGACATTCAACATCCGAAACCTGGTTTTACTTTAAATATCAACCTCTATCTACAAGAACAATTTCCAGCCACTTTAGGCTTTGAAATATTCTTCCGTGTTTTTTTTCGAGGTTGTTGTCATCCAAGACATCACCTTGAAAATTCAAAAAAAGAAAATGTGTTGTTGTACTGTAAATTCAATAATATAATGGATATCATAACAAAATGAAATTAGTATTAGAAATATCAAAGTTGTGTTGAAGAATTTCCCTTGAACACCTTTGCAACCTAACCTAACCCAACCTAACCCAACCTAACCTAACCTAACCTAACCTGACCTAACCCAACCTAACACAACCCAACCCAACCTAACCTAACCTGACCTGACCTAACCTGACCTGACCTAACCTAACCTAACCTAACCTAACCTAACCTAACCCAATCTAACCCAACCTAACCCAACCCAACCTACCCCAACCTAACTCAACCTAACCCAACCTAACCCAACCCAACCCAACCCAACCTAACCCAACCCATGTTAAGCCTTACAGCTTTCACCTTGAATTAAAAATGGATGCAGTGTATTTCCTCCCTCTGTCCACCAGATGTCTCCACACTCTCAGAGCCATGTTGAACTCCTCACTTCTCAGAGTGCAGTCACATGACCCTGGTTCACCTGTTCACCTGTTTCCACTTCCCCTCATCAGTATACATTTCCTACAGCCTTTGTCTTTCTTTAAGCTGTTTGTAATTAAACATTTGTAACAAGCTTGTTTGCATGTGGGTCATTTCCCTTAGCAGCCACCGACAGATAGTGAACTTTTAGCAGACTTTTCTCCAACATGGGGGCCACTGTTCTTGCTCTTGTAGCTTTAGCCCCTTTTGACAGTTTTCGCTTCTTCTTCTTTAACTTTCAGAATAAAAACCACACGAGGAACCCACAGACAGAAACAGGTAGACGGGCCCCTCAGCTCACGTGCAGCCAGTGAATGTTATTTAGGTTAAAATCACCTTTTCTAACTGCCTTTTAATGTTATTGTTAATATTATGATTATGAATGAACACATATATTTAGTGGGTATCACGTGCATAATAGGGATTTAAAACTAAATCAAAACTGCCGAGGATGTTTCTCAGGGAAAACAACAAAAATGTTGCAATAATTGAGCCTTGTGGTACTCCATATTTTAAAGCATCATAACAATGTTTAATTCTGTGTCTTTAATTTTCCGTCATGTCATAATGCTTTTTGTTTGTCTGTTTAAACATTTTAAACATCAAGACGTAAAGTGGTCTTTCTCACATGAGAGTTTTGGCCTCAGCCTCTAATATTAACCCCACCACTGACACGTATTTCCTTCCATGACACGCGTCTGAGCTACAAGGCGTTTCATTAGTGAGCCACACAGGAAGAGACCACCCCTCTTCTTCTTTTTATATTTCAGTGTGAGGTTCACTCAGTCAGCAGCCAGACGCCATGGAGGCCACAGCGCTCTGCATCACACTGTGTGAGTACTGAGTCCTCATCTGCTGTTTTTCACATACAAGATGATACTAGATCATATTAGCTAAAGGAACACATGGAGGTAGATTTGTGTCAATATTGCTTGATTTTATACATTTTTTACACATCTTTCATGATTAGTTTGTTATTTTACAAATCCTTTTTAGGTTGTATTTGTACATTTACATACGGGTTATTGATCTGTCCAAACACATAATATTGAGACAAATCTACCTCCATATGAATAAAGACAAATTATTACAATTTTAAGATTTTTAAATGTTTTCATTCATGATAAGACGTGTAAACAATAAACTCAAGGTAATACAATCTAATACATACAAATATTTACAAGTATCTGTGTGATGTTTGTCTCTGTTGTCTCTGCAGGGGTGACGGTGTTTCTGCAGCTCTGTGAACAGAAAGTTGGTAAGAAAAGAAAAGTTTACCAAAAAGAAAGCAGAAAAAAAAGATGCAACAACACAAAAATAAAGGTCATAACTTTATTTAAAGTGCTATATATTAATCTCAACAACAAATGTATTTATCTGTTTCAGATACAGATGTTTGGATCGAACCATCCAGACTTCAGGTCTTTGAATACGAGCCTGTCTCTTTAAGATGTGTGGGCTTCGATGGTTTGACCGATGTGAACATTTTACGGTGGAACAAAGCAGGAAAGGAAACTTGTGACGGCTCAATATGGGGTTCATTGAATGAGACTACTTGCAACATTAAATCTCCTTATAAAGAGGACAGTGGAGATTACTGGTGTGAGGCTGGAGGGAAGAAAAGTGACTATGTGAACGTCATTATCACCGGTATGTTGACATTAACTCAGCAACAATCTCTTTCTGTGTGTATGTATGAAATATTAAACAACAACAATTCCCTGTATGTGGAAAACAACTTAGCAATAAACGTGATTCTATACAATGTTTGTTAGAAGAACAAAAAAAGTGCATGATGCCAAGGTTAAACTATACTATATAATAAACATGTACTTTTTTAGCACAACAATTTTTTCTATCTTAATATTGTAAATAAACAGCGTTCACAAAGCTGAGCGTAGTCATTAAGTATAGCCTACTCAAATTCCAAATCAATATTTTTCTAAAATCTAAACCAAAATGTTGTTTTTCTCCTGTCTCTGATGTCATTTTAATAATTTTCTACAAATATTGTATAAATAACACACTCAACGTTCAATGCTGCTACGATATCAGGAAAAGTTTCATATTATGAACCTCTATGCAGACGATACAGTGCTAAACATAACTGTTTCATTTCTGATTCATTCATCAATGTGTTTTGTTTATTTCTGATATTTTCAATTATTCTGGGCATGTAACAACCTGACTTTACATCACAGCATCTTCACAATGCCTTCATCTAGATTTAAAATGTTTCTATGAATGTTTGATCCCGATGCTGTTCAGCTGGCTCTGTGATCCTGGAGAGTCCTGTGCTTCCTGTGATGGAGGGAGAATCTGTGACTCTGAGCTGCAGGAACAAGACGACTACTTCCTCCTTCCTGTCAGCTGACTTCTATAAAGATGGCCGTCTCATCAGGAGCAGCTCTACAGGAATCATCACCATCCACAGGGTTTCTAAATCTGATGAAGGACTCTACAAGTGCAGCATCTCTGAAGGTGGAGAATCACCAGAGAGCCGGCTGGCTGTCAGAGGTGAGATATAACCTGTGAACTGATGTTTTAATGTTTTAATAAAGTCATTCATTCAAAAACTTAACTTAAAATAAAGGCTCTCCACAAGTAATAGGACAAAAGTAGTGGCATCAAAACATTTTTAAAGTACCAAAATGACAGCATATTATATATTATTTAACAGTTTTATACATATTGATTTATAATGTGTTTATCACTTTGATGATGCATGTTAAAATGATGTTAAGAAATACATGTGATTACCGTTTCAGCTAAAGACTCTTCCTCCACTCTCTCCCCGTGGATCTTTGTCTCTGTTTCATCGATGCTTCTGCTGCTGGCCGTGGGAATACATCGATTTTGCAAAAGTTATCGGCACAGAGGTACAGATACAATTCACCAACAATCTGCTACTATAGGCGACGGAGAGGAATGAGTCTTAAAAACCTGAAATGAGTCAGCATTTTAGCACTTCGTGTTCTCTTCTATTGAAGTTTTTTTTAATGAATGAATTGAATATTTGGTTGTAAGCCTGATATAAGGTATGTGGTTAACACAAGCTGAAGAGATTTTAATGTTTTGTTCTACCAAATCAAATACTTCAGTAAACACCCCACTGGTGAAAAAGGATGTTGCTACTGTAACAAGTGTCTAAATGAGACGGCTCAACGTCATCGCACACCAACATTAGCCACCTTTAGCTTAGCGGTGGTGACGTGAAGTCATGTGACCGTGCTGTAGTTCCTTTATATCCCAACATTAGCCTCCTTTAGCTTAGCGGTGGTGATGTGAAGTCATGTGACCGTGCTGTAGTTCCTTTATATCCCAACATTAGCCACCTTTAGCTTAGCGGTGGTGACGTGTAGTCATGTGACCATGCTGTAGTTCCTTTATATCCCAACATTAGCCTCCTTTAGCTTAGCGGTGGTGATGTGAAGTCATGTGACCGTGCTGTAGTTCCTTTATAGCCCAACATTAGCCTCCTTTAGCTTAGCGGTGGTGACGTGTAGTCATGTGACCATGCTGTAGTTCCTTTATATCCCAACATTAGCCACCTTTAGCTTAGCGGTGGTGACGTGTAGTCATGTGACCGTGCTGTAGTTCCTTTATAGCCCAACATTAGCCTCCTTTAGCTTTTCGGTGGTGACGTGAAGTCATGTGACCGTGCTGTAGTTCCTTTATAGCCCAACATTAGCCACCTTTAGCTTAGCGGTGGTGACGTGTAGTCATGTGACCGTGCTGTAGTTCCTTTATAGCCCAACATTAGCCTCCTTTAGCTTTTCAGTGGTGACGTGAAGTCATGTGACCATGCTGTAGTTCCTTTATAGCCCAACATTAGCCACCTTTAGCTTAGCGGTGGTGACGTGAAGTCATGTGACCGTGCTATAGTTCCTTTATAGCCCAACATTAGCCACCTTTAGCTTAGCGGTGGTGACGTGAAGTCATGTGACCGTGCTGTAATTCCTTTATAGCCCAACATTAGCCACCTTTAGCTTTTCGGTGGTGAAGTGAAGTCATGTGGCCTTGCTGTAGTTCCTTTATTAGCCGCCTTTAGCTTATAATAATAATAAGCATAAGAATAATGGGAAAACAGATTGCTTGACATTCATGATTTTAGGTGTTGATAATAGGCCAAGGAAACACTCAGCGTCCCTATAGATTTTATTTGTAATTTATCTATGTATTTTCTACCTCTTTAATAGATCCCTTTATGTTTGATGTCACAAAAAGAGGCATGGAAGAAAAGAGTTTCCATACTCGTTAGCCATGTCTGAATCTTCTTCTGTTTCTGGTTTGATTTTAAATGTTGTTTTTCCTTTACTATGCTGCAGTGTTTCTCTGCCTGTCCACAAAAACACCTGGACCGGCTGACCATCACACAGGTGAGAACACAAACCAGGTTGCATCCTTCATAGCAATCTAAAGTAATATAATTAGCTTACCTTAATATATTAGGACTTTAACTAGAAGTGTGCACCATAACTAGAGTGTAGTTATGTTGTGGTACACTGTCATTTAACACTCTGAGATAAGGACCATATGTTCACTGGCTCTCTGTGTTAAAATTGACACTGAAGTGTTAATTAAACACTTAAAGAGTCAATTTTAACACTGAGCCAGTGAAAATATGGTCCTTATCTCAGAGTGTTAAATTAACACTCCGGATTTGATTGTGTATTAAAATACAAAAACAAGGATGTTACATATCTAATTAAAATAATAACAACATTCTGTTATTGTTAAAGAAAATCAAATCATTATTAGACTAAATGGCTTAAAGGTCTCCTATTATACTGTTTTTCATCAATGTTGGGGAAATATTTTCCAAGGCCCATAACTGTGACCCAGTTTATCAGTTCAAACCAGGGTCGGCTCTAGAACAACTCGAATGGGGGGGCAATCATTTACCAAGGGGGGGCACACACTGCCGTCAACAACCAACACACAAACACCAACGCAACTTCAATTTAAAAAAACATGCTGTAAAGTCTATTGTCTTTCACACACATTGCAGGGGTGTAGTGCTATTGTATAGTGCACCTATGACTTGTGCATACATGCACGGTTGTGGCACGACCACCAAAACAGAAACATATAAGGACAGAGGGTGTCGTTTTCTCATACTGATATTCTGCACAAACTGTGCTGTTGTATTTGCTGTAAAGTGTCTTTACTGTAGGTTATTTTTGTATTATACTGTATATACAGCACTTTGGCTCGACCAAAAATCGTTGAAAAATGTGCTATATAAATAAAACTTGATTTGATTTGATATGGACATAGGCCATCATATAAAAAGTGTGCAAATGTATTTAGTATCCTATCCATGTGAACATGTTTTAGGTGGGGGTGGACCTAACCTCCTCTAGGAGGGTCTGGGGGCATGCTCCCCCGGGAAGATTATTTTTAAAATATTGAAGTTAAATGCATCAATCTGGTGCACTTTGAGAGCAAAGTGAAGAGATCTATGGATAGCCTACATCTCTCAGCATCCATATGAAACAGAACTGTACACAGATTTACTTTTTCTTTATGGATATTTCACTAATCATTCCCCTTTTAAACTGTATTCTTGTGTTACTGTCCTATAGTATTTCATACCCGTTTTTCATTTATTCTCTCTTTAATAACTATAATGATCATATAAAGGTATTCCTCGTAGGGCCGGGACTCGATTAAAAAAATTAATCTAATTAATTAGATGCTTTGTAATTAATTAATCGAAATTAATCGCATTTTTAATCACATATAAATATTTGACCTAAGAACAGTGAGAAGCAATTTTTTTCACATGGATTTTAGTATACCATTAGGCGCATTCACACCGCAGTACTTTTCCCACAAAGGTTCATGAGAATTTAGTTCATGAGAACTCTTTGAACCTGGGGGAGGATTAGGCAAATGAAGCCGCTGACGTCACTTCTTCTTCTTCTGCTTTGAGTTTACTGGCAGGCCGCAAACCACTTCACGGCGTATACTGCCGCCCAAAGTCCCCGGCCGGAAGTCCCCGGAGTTGGGGACTGGCTTCAGTAGAAGCTGCTGGGACTCCCAGCAGCTTCTACTGAAGCCTTCCGAGTAAATCGCCAGAACGCCGACACCTCCTCATCTCCACCGCTCCCATGTTTTATTTTGTGTTGCCATAAGTTAGTCTCTCTGCGTTTCTGCGCTGGGCTAATGCTAATAATGCTAATGCTAATAATGCTAATGCGAGGATAATAAAATGGCGGCTTCACAAAACTTTTTGGGAGTTTTACGGGGCGTGGTTTGCAATCCGCCCAGCCAATCAGAAATATAGCTCTTTTCTCACAAGAGAGCCGTACGAAAGTCCCTGCTCTCTAGCAGCTCTCTGCTCTCTAGCAGGGACTTTCGTGGGGGTAAAAAGGTTCTCATGAACTAATTTTAGTTTAGGCTTGATGTGCTGCGGTGGTATGCGAATTCCTTTTTGCATAATTTGGACACAACCGTGCTCTTATCGACGCTTCCATCCGTCCGTTTTTTAAAATAACATTTCCCACTGTTGTTCACTGTGGTTTGTTGTTGTCTGAAGTCATGAACGTTAGTTGGTGCTCCAGTATAATCGGTACGCCTGAAACTCATCCAGTGAGAAACGTTCCGCGGTGCAAAAATAAGTGCGATTAAAATGCGTTAATTTTTTTAACGCGTTAATTTTTGTGTAATTAATTAATCTTAATTAACGCGTTAAAGTCCCGGCTCTAATTCCTCGAAAATACTTACATAAATGGTGACCAAACCGTTTGAGACCCACTGAGATAACTTACACTAAAGTGAACTATCTAAACACTGAGAGAGTCCTTACCCCACTGAGCTGACGTTATAAGATCCTCTCAGTCTGACAGGAGAGGACTGTCCTCCACCTTGGTGTAGAAACAGCCCTTTATATCCGTTAGCATAGCTAGCTAACCAGATGCTAACCACAACATTCCACGTTACCGCTCGCGCACTCACAAAATGCGCTCGTGCCACACACACACAGAGCTTGAATGAAACACAGAGACCCATGTACTTGTACTGTACTGTATATCATATTATTTTTGATGGCTTTACTGTATAATCAGTGTAACAGATTAACAGATCGCCACTGGGCTTTCATCTAAACACTCAGCCACGTAATGATAACAAAAAAAAGTCGGGGGTCATTGGTCAAGCAACACACCAATCAGAGAGCAGCAGTGAGCACACCTCAGGCTGTGTTTTATATTTGTATTATTTATTTCTGATGTATTTCACACAAAAAACCTTTAGTGGAAACGTTTTCACTTAGCCTATATGATAAAAAAAAAGAAAAAATCGGCAAAGTGGCAAGGCTTGTCCACCCTGCGTTGGGCACAGTGACTCATTTGGGGGGGGCATGGCCCGCGAATGACCCCCCATGACGCCGACCCTGGTTCAAACTGTCCTGACTGAACACATGCACCTGTAACCTTGGCTGCTGTGCTCTCAGTGTTCTGTCTCCCTGTTCCTGCCTGTTGGCGTCAGCTGATAGAGGTGTTATCATTCTATCTTGTTATGCAGCATGTTGATTATTCTCTCTGAACTAGCTAAATACACGGGTCTGGGGTAGAGTTCTTCAGAATTGACGTGGCAACTCTACCGTGAAGTCAGAACCTCTGACTCTTGGACTTGTTTTGTGAATTCTCCGGCCAAAGCTCCAAATAAACCATCAGTGTTTGCCATCAAAGCTCCAGCTCTCCCCGTGTCTCCTTTTGAGTCGGTGACTCCCACTGCATTGCTACACAGAAGTTTCCCCCACAATCAGTATATCACAGGTCTCAGATATATACAGACATGTCTCTGATTGGCTGAAACACCAAACAGATCATTGCAGCATTACCCATGATCCCCTCTGTTTCAGCCCTGTTTCCAAAGTGCTGATTCTCTGTCTGTTACTTTAGATGAAAATAAGGAGCCCCTCCCCACGCCCCTCTGAGAGACATTTGGTTACAAAGAACACAATGGTGCTCTAGGAGGAGATTCAAGTGATAAGGGGGGGGGGGGTTACCTTGGTTGCTGATTGGCTAATGGTTACACAAGCCAAAACATCGTTATGACATCATAAAGTGGCCAAGATCTGATCAGCTCAATTTCAGACAGGTTTTTATATAAATAAACACATGTTTATGTATACAACACATGAAAAAGTGGATTTTGCATAATAAGTTACCTTTAATATGAAAATAAACATTGACTGCTTTTCTGTCTCATTATGTGTCCGTCTATTCTAGCCGTCATGTAAACTAAACAATGTTTTTTTTTGTTTCTGGTTTCAGTAGAGGCCAGAGCAGTGGATTCAGGCCAAATGACGAGTGCTGTGGTATCAAAAAACAGGAAGAAGAAAGGTACCTAAACCTGACAGTGTTACTTCTGCTTTAATTTCACTTTACATGCTTATCTTACTTATGTCAAGTACAGTTGTGTATTTAATTGGGTGAAAGGCAAACCTTTTGGACAATTATTGTTATTATTGTTATGGGGGGGGGGGGATTTTAACCTTTGCAGTCCATTTACCAAAACCTATTTAACACACTACAGGAGAGGGAAATCCACAAAAGCATAATTGGGCCTCTTTAAATACCTTGGGACTGTTTGTCCAAAGATAATCATGTTTTTGGCCCTTTTTTCTTTCTGTCAGTAGAGTATTGGAAAAACGATTGGCCTGATTTTCTCGTAACAGTAATATTTATATATCAGATGACTAACTATGTCTCTCTATCAGGTGTGGATCAATCATTTCCAACAGCCGTTTACTACACCTTGGGCCCGGGAGAAACTCAACAACAGGGTGAGCCTCAATGAGACTAGAACTATTTCAGTTATAACAGATTGTAAAGCTTTAAAGGCTTTATTGTGATGTTTAGTGTCCTTGGTGGTAATAAAAACATCCAGATGTTTTAGTCACCTGAATCAAATCCAAATTAAAATACGTCATATTTCTCTGTACGCTGATGATGTTCTTTAGTTTTGAGTAATCCCATGTCCTCCGTCCCAAGTCTTAACTACAATTAATGATGAGTTTGGGTTATTCTTTGGTTATAAGGTCAGTTATGGGAAGCCCTTGGCATTAACACTTGGACGTTTGAATGACTCTGATTTATTGGGACATTTTCTTTCTAATTAGATTAGATCTTTAGAATTGTGCCTTTTACCAAAATCTCTGACTCTTTTAACAGTGCAACATAAAATATACTAAAAACACATATTTGTGCAACCAACCAAGAAACCTCAAATGTTGTAATAAAGTAAAATTAATGTCCAAGTCAACTTTTTGGCAACACACTGACATATAACCTCTATTTTCAACGCAGAGCCATCCGTAGCAGAGGACGCCTTTTATTCTACAATCTCGCCGGTAAGACTGAAGATTACATTATTATAATTACTGCTGCGATTAAGTCATACTGGATGGATGGTAGATATGTAAACATCCTAATATTTACAACTTTGGACTACATGGGTGTGTGGTTGGTTGTATGAGGGTTTTAAACAATGTGCTTTGACTTTATACAAATATATGAATTTTGGTTTAACTAGTATATTATATATAGAACAAAAGGGTAACCTTCTAACATACATACCATTTTAATGGAGTCATGCATTCAACTTAACATTAGATTTTGTACCATTCCTCATTATTATTCTTGAACTTTAGAAATACTTATAATCGTGCTTACTACCCGTAAATGATATAAAAACATATATAACATTTTAACAAAGCCTACCTCTATAATACCTCTATATTCTATATTATTAACATTTGTTCTGTATTTGTTTTACAGCTGAAGATGGAGCTTTGAGAAACTGTTTCACACGTTGTACCTAAATGAAAAGCTGAATTTAAGAATGCACTGATATTTGTTTATAAATTTTAATAAATAAATAGTTCATTTTATTTTTGAAGAACACATGTAGTGGTTAGTTGTCAAAGAGAAATGCTCATTTACGTTTTAAGATATGAAAGTTTGTTGTGGTTTCACAGTTAAACCGACTTGTTCCATCTCAGACACACGGCTGATTCTAAATACTCTCGCTGTGGTTTACTGCAGAGTTCCTGCATCGCGCTGAGTCTGTGGTTAAACGTGTGTTATATTTACTGTCCTGTGAAAGTGTGAAGGTGAATGTGAGGACACATGAACTATACAACACGTCACTGTGTGTTTCTGTGTCACTGTTTTCAGATTAATTGTAATTGCAAATATTGCTTTAATGCGTCACATAATTGAACGAGGTTTTACCGCTCTGCCATAGAGAGCATATTCACTATTAAACCGTTTCTCTCCCAAAGCCATACACACTCTGAGCTTAACACACACACACACACACACACACACACACACACACACACACACACACATACACACACACACACACACACACACACACACACACACACACACAGAGACTCTGCAACCCACATCATGAACTCAAAACCTAATCTACATTTATACAGCCACATATTATTTTATCTTATCATATTATTGAACTGCCTCAATCGTTCACTAAAGCTCTTAAACGGTATTTTCCTCTTCTTCTTGTTTTTGTCTTTTGTTGCTTGTCTTTTTCTCAAATATTTTGTGAATTTGTTGTTTGTGTTTTAAGCCCTGCTGATACGGGCACTTTTTCATTGTATTTTTAATTGAAATGACAATAAAGGCTTCTATCTTAAACAGCATCTGCATTGATTAAAGAAACTCTGTTATTTTCATCCTGAAAGAGAAACCAGACGTATGTCACTGTGACACATTTGATCCAATAATAATAGTAATAAAGCACAGTTTTCAATCTATTTGTATTTATGTATTTGTATAATTTGTATATTTATTGTCTGCAGTGTTGGTCAACTGACTGCAGGTGAGCAGAATATGGATATTATATATGAGACAATAAACCTGCATTATTTGTAATGTTAACATATGCATGCTTTCAATAACCAGAGGTTGGAAGTAATGGAGTACAAATACTTTGTTATTATACTCAAGTACATGTTTCTGGTATCAGTACTTTAGTCCACTACTTATTTCTCTGACGACTTTTTACTTTGACTTCTTACATGTTGAACACAAATACCTGTACTTTCTACTTCTTACATGTTGAACACAAATACCTGTACTTTCTACTTCTTACATGTTGAACTCAAATACCTGTACTTTCTACTTCTTACACTTTGAACACAAATACCTGTACTTTCTACTTCTCACATGTTTAACACAAATACCTGTACTTTCTACTTCTCACATTTTGAACTCAAATACCTGTACTTTCTACTTCTTACATTTTGAACTCAAATACCTGTACTTTCTACTTCTTACATGTTGAACACAAATACCTGTACTTTCTACTTCTCTCATATTGAACACAAATACCTGTACTTTCTACTTCTCTCATATTGAATCCAAATACCTGTACTTTCTACTTCTCACATGTTGAACTCAAATACCTGTACTTTCTACTTCTCTCATATTGAACACAAATACCTGTACTTTCTACTTCTTACATGTTGAACTCAAATACCTGTACTTTCTACTTCTTACATGTTGAACCCAAATACCTGTACTTTCTACTTCTTACATGTTGAACTCCAAATACCTGTACTTTCTACTTCTCTCATATTGAACACAAATACCTGTACTTTCTACTTCTCACATTTTGAACCCAAATACCTGTACTTTCTACTTCTTACATGTTGAACTCAAATACCTGTACTTTCTACTTCTTACATTTTGAACACAAATACCTGTACTTTCTACTTCTTACATGTTGAACTCAAATACCTGTACTTTCTACTTCTTACACTTTGAACACAAATACCTGTACTTTCTACTTCTCACATTTTGAACTCAAATACCTGTACTTTCTACTTCTCACATTTTGAACACAAATACCTGTACTTTCTACTTCTCACATTTTGAACTCAAATACCTGTACTTTCTACTTCTCTCATATTGAACACAAATACCTGTACTTTCTACTTCTCACATTTTGAACTCAAATACCTGTACTTTCTACTTCTCTCATATTGAACACAAATACCTGTACTTTCTACTTCTCTCATATTGAATCCAAATACCTGTACTTTCTACTTCTTACATGTTGAACTCAAATACCTGTACTTTCTACTTCTTACACGTTGAACCCAAATACCTGTACTTTCTACTTCTCACATTTTGAATCCAAATACCTGTACTTTCTACTTCTTACATGTTGAACTCAAATACCTGTACTTTCTACTTCTTACATGTTGAACTCAAATACCTGTACTTTCTACTTCTCTCATATTGAACACAAATACCTGTACTTTCTACTTCTCTCATATTGAACACAAATACCTGTACTTTCTACTTCTTACATGTTGAACTCAAATACCTGTACTTTCTACTTCTTACACGTTGAACCCAAATACCTGTACTTTCTACTTCTCACATTTTGAACACAAATACCTGTACTTTCTACTTCTTACATGTTGAACTCAAATACCTGTACTTTCTACTTCTTACATGTTGAACCCAAATACCTGTACTTTCTACTTCTCACATTTTGAACACAAATACCTGTACTTTCTACTTCTTACATGTTGAACTCAAATACCTGTACTTTCTACTTCTTACATGTTGAACCCAAATACCTGTACTTTCTACTTCTCTCATATTGAACCCAAATACCTGTACTTTCTACTTCTCTCATATTGAATCCAAATACCTGTACTTTCTACTTCTCTCATATTGAACACAAATACCTGTACTTTCTACTTCTCTCATATTGAACACAAATACCTGTACTTTCTACTTCTCTCATATTGAACACAAATACCTGTACTTTCTACTTCTCACATTTTGAACACAAATACCTGTACTTTCTACTTCTTACATATTGAACCCAAATACCTGTACTTTCTACTTCTCTCATATTGAACACAAATACCTGTACTTTCTACTTCTCTCATATTGAACACAAATACCTGTACTTTCTACTTCTCTCATATTGAATCCAAATACCTGTACTTTCTACTTCTCTCATATTGAACACAAATACCTGTACTTTCTACTTCTCTCATATTGAACCCAAATACCTGTACTTTCTACTTCTTACATGTTGAACCCAAATACCTGTACTTTCTACTTCTTACATGTTGAACTCAAATACCTGTACTTTCTACTTCTCACATGTTGAACCCAAATACCTGTACTTTCTACTTCTTACATGTTGAACTCAAATACCTGTACTTTCTACTTCTCACATGTTGAACCCAAATACCTGTACTTTCTACTTCTTACATGTTGAACCCAAATACCTGTACTTTCTACTTCTTACATGTTGAACTCAAATACCTGTACTTTCTACTTATTACATGTTGAACTCAAATACCTGTACTTTCTACTTCTCACATGTTGAACCCAAATACCTGTACTTTCTACTTCTTACATGTTGAACTCAAATACCTGTACTTTCTACTTATTACATGTTGAACCCAAATACCTGTACTTTCTACTTCTTACATGTTGAACTCAAATACCTGTACTTTCTACTTATTACATGTTGAACCCAAATACCTGTACTTTCTACTTCTCACATGTTGAACCCAAATACCTGTACTTTCTACTTCTCACATGTTGAACCCAAATACCTGTACTTTCTACTTCTCACATGTTGAACACAAATACCTGTACTTTCTACTTATTACATGTTGAACTCAAATACCTGTACTTTCTACTCTCTACATGTTGAAACTCAAATACCTGTACTTTATACTTCTTACATGTTGAACTCAAATACCTGTACTTTCTACTTCTTACATGTTGAACTCAAATACCTGTACTTTCTACTTCTTACATGTTGAACTCAAATACCTGTACTTTCTACTTCTTACATGTTGAACTCAAATACCTGTACTTTCTACTTCTTACATGTTGAACTCAAATACCTGTACTTTCTACCTCTTACATGTTGAACACAAATACCTGTACTTTCTACTTCTTACATGTTGAACACAAATACCTGTACTTTCTACTTCTTACATGTTGAACTCAAATACCTGTACTTTCTACTTCGTACATGTTGAACTCAAATACCTGTACTTTCTACTTCTTACATGTTGAACTCAAATACCTGTACTTTCTACTTCTTACATGTTGAACTCAAATACCTGTACTTTCTACTTCTCTCATTTTCCAAACAGCTGGTTCCTTTAGTCTGAATGTGTGTTTTGGTGCGTGATCATTATTCTTTAGAGTCATTGCGTGCCTATTGATTTGAACACGATCCGTGTATCCATCATTTCCTGGTCTTCTCTAAAGAAGAGGGACCAATGGAAACGTTGTCATGTTGCCGTTGTTCAGCATGGAAACATTCATTAGCTAACAATGACATTATTGTTCTATTAATATAAAGGGAGGTCAGGTACTCTTTAAAGCAGCTGCTAGTTATGGGTACTTTTTACTGAAGTACATTTCAAAGCCTCTTTACTTTTACTTGAGTAAAGAAGTTTACTTCTACTTTCACCAGAGTATCTTTCAACACGAGTATCTGTACTTCTACTTGAGTAAAGGATGTGTACTTTTGCCATCTCTGATAATAACTACATTTTGATGTTAAGCCTTACAGCTTTGACCTGAATTAATAATGGATGCAGTGTATTTCCTCCCTCTGTCCACCAGATGTCTCCACACTCAGAGTCATGTTGAACTGTTGAACCATGTTTAACCTTAGCAGACCATTCACATGCATAAAATCTATATATCAGGAAAGTGAAACCCCCCAAAAAGCACAATAGGGCATCTTAAACACAACTCTTGTTTAAATGTGTGGACTTTAATGGCTTAGAAAGTTATGGAAGTTCAAAGAAAATACTTGCAAGTAAAAATTCACTGAATAAATGAAAACAAATAACACAAAGTCCACAGATATGAAAAGTTAAATGAGACCAAATACTCAGAGCTAACAAAAGAAAAATACAATGTAAATATAAAAAATGTACTTCCAGCTCTAGGTAGATTTGGTTTGAATATATTTTACTGAACATTGATCTGAGTTGAACTGAAAATCATTTCTGAGCAATTTGCTAATCTGACGGAGCGACTCTCAACTTGCCGAACGAGTCCTGAAAGATAAAAGAAAAACATTCGAGGAAACAATTCAATCATAACATTTCGTTTAATGTTTTAAATGTAAAATATATGTTCACGCCGTTATGAGGAACATTTATAGTCCTACCTTCATCACGGGGGCGTAGAGAGGATCCTCTGCTGAGGGTGAGTTTTTAAATCCTGATTCTGCACAAGAGACGAGTAATTCATGATAATATAATATATAAGAACAATAATCAACTTAAACAACTTCAATCAATGTTAATCCCTTGTTATTGTAAACATTTGACTCGGAAAAACACCTACAAGTAAAATGTAAAGGTCCCCTATTATACTGTTTTCATCAATATATCACAGGTCTCAGATATATACAGAGCCTGTCTCTGATTGGCTGAAACACCAAACAGATCATTGCAGCATTACCCATAATCCCCTCTGTTTCAGCCCTGTTTCCAAAGTGCTGATTCTCTGTCTGTTTACTTTAGATGAAAACAAGGAGCCCCTCCCCACGCCCCTCTGAGAGACATTTGGTTACAAAGAACTCAATGGTGCTCTAGAGGAGATTCAGGTGATAAGGGGGGGGGGGGGGTACCTTGGTTGCTGATTGGCTAATGGTTACACAAGACAACACATCGTTATGACATCATAAGTGGCCAAAATCTGATCAGCTCATTTTCAGACAGGTTTTTATAGAAATGGATCAAAAAGAGAGAAAATCTTTGTTCCTGAAACTTCAGAGTCTCGCTTTCACACAGAGGGGACAACATGTTGATGTAGAAGAGACATGGGAGAGAGGGGACACATGTTGATGTAGAAGAGACATGGGAGAAAGGGGACCATTTGATGTAGATGAGAATGAAGAAGAGGGGACACATCGATGTAGAAGAGACAAAGAAGAGGGACACATGTGATGAGAAAGACATAATGAAGAAGAGGGACCATGTTGATGTAGAAGAGACATGAAGAAAGAGGGGACAAATGTTGATGTAGAAAGACCATAGAGAGGGACATGTGATGTAGAAGAGACATGGAGAGAGGGGACACATGTTATGTAGAAGAGACATGGAGAAGAGGGGACACATGTTGATGTAGAAGAGACATGAAGAAGAGGGGACACATGTTGATGTAGAAGAGACATGAAGAAGAGGGGACACATGTTGACGTAGAAGAGACATGAAGAAGAGGGGACACATGTTGATGTGGAAGAGACATGAAGAAGAGGGAACACATGTTGATGTAGAAGAGACATGAAGAAGAGGGGACATGACGAACAGGGGACACATGTTGATGTAGAAGAGACATGAAGAAGAGGGGACACATGTTGATGTGGAAGAGACATGAAGAAGAGGGAACACATGTTGATGTAGAAGAGACATGAAGAAGAGGGGACACATGTTGATGTAGAAGAGACATGAAGAAGAGGGGACATGACGACAGGGGACACATGTGTGATGACGACAGGGGACACATGGATGTAGGAAGAGGGACATGACGAACGGGGACACATGTTGATGAAGAAGAGACATGAAGAAGAGGGAACACATGTTGATTGTAGAAGAGACATGAAGAAGAGGGGACACATGTTGATGTAGAAGAGACATGAAGAAGAGGGGACCCATGTGATGTAGAAGAGGACATGAAGAAGAGGGGACACATGTTGATGTGGAAGAGACATGAAGAAGAGGGGACACATGTTTGATGTAGAAGAGACATGAAGAAGAGGGAACACATGTTGATGTAGAAGGAGACATGAAGAAGAGGGGACCCATGTTGATGTAGAAGAGACATGAAGAAGAGGGGACCATGTTGATGTGGAAGAGACATGAAGAAGAGGGGAACACATGTTGATGTAGAAGAGACATGAAGAAGAGAGGGGACACATGTTTGATGTAGAAGAGACATGAAGAAGAGGGACCCATGTTGATGTAGAAGAGACATGGAGAAGAGGGGACACATGTTGATGTAGAAGAGACATGAAGAAGAGGGGGACACATGTTGATGTAGAAGAGACATGAAGAAGAGGGGACACATGTTGATGTAGAAGAGGACATGAAGAAGAGGGGACCCATGTTGATGTAGAAGAGACATGGAGAAGAGGGGACACATGTTGATGTAGAAAGAGACGTGAAGAAGAGGGGACACATGTTGATGTAGAAGAGACATGAAGACATGTGATTGTAGAGAGAGACATGAAGAAGAGGGGACCCATGTTGATGTGTAGAAGAGACAGGAAGAGAGGGGACACATGTTGATGTAGAGAGACGGAAGAAGAGGGGACACATGTTGATGTAGAAGAGACATGAAGAAGAGGGAACAAACATGTTGATGTAGAAGAGAACATGAAGAAGAGGGGGACCCACTGTTTGATGTAGAAGAGACATGGAAGAAGAGGGGGACAAATGTTGATGTAGGAAGAGATCAGGAAGAAAGAGGGGAACAACATGTTATAGTAGAAGAGACATGGAAGAAGAGGGGGACAAAGGGACATTGTTGATGTTAGAAGAGGACATGGAAGAAGAGGGGACACATGTTGATGTAGAAGAGACATAGGAAGACGCGGGACAGCATGTTGATGCTAGAAGAGACATGAAGAAGAGGGGACCACATGTTGATGTAGGAAGAAACAATGAGAAGAGGGGACACATGTTGATGTAGAAGAGACATGAAGAAGAGGGGACACATGTTGATGTAGAAGAGACATGAAGAAGAGGGGACACATGTTGATGTAGAAGAGACATGAAGAAGAGGGGAACACATGTTTGATTGGAAGAAGAGACATGAAGAAGAGGGGACACATGTTGATGTAAAAGAGACATGAAGAAGAGGGGACACATGTTGATGTAGGAAGAGACATGAAGAAGAGGGGGACACATGTTGATGTGGAAGAGACTTGAAGAAGAGGGGACACATGTTGATGTAGAAGAAGAGACATGAAGAAGAGGGGACACATGTTGATGTAGAAGAGACATGAAGAAGAGGGGACACATGTTGATGAAGAAGAGACATGAAGAAGAGGGGACACATGTGATGAAGAAGAGACATGCAGAAGAGAGGGGACACATGTTGATGTAGAAAAGACATGAAGAAGAGGGGACACATGTTTGTGATGAAGAAGAGACATGAAGAAGAGGGGACACATGTTGATGAAGAAGAGACATGCGAGAAGAGGGACACATGTTGATGAAGAAGAGACATGAAAGAAGAGGGGGACACATGTTGATGTAGAAAAGACATGAAGAAGAGGGGGACACATGTTGATGAAGAAGAGACATGAAGAAGTGGAGACACATGTTGATGTAGAAGAGACATGAAGAAGAGGGGACACATGTTGATGTAGAAGAGACATGAAGAAGAGGGGACACATGTTGATGTAGAAGAGACATGAAGAAGCGGGGACACGTGTTGATGTAGAAGAGACATGAAGAAGAGGGGACACGTGTTGATGTAGAAGAGACATGAAGAAGAGGGGACACATGTTGATGTAGAAGAGACATGAAGAAGAGGGGACACATGTTGATGTAGAAGAGACATGAAGAAGTGGAGACACATGTTGATGTAGAAGAGACATGGAGAAGAGGGGACACATGTTGATGAAGAAGAGACATGAAGAAGAGGGGACACATGTTGATGAAGAAGAGACATGAAGAAGAGGGGACACATGTTGATGAAGAAGAGACATGAAGAAGTGGAGACACATGTTGATGTAGAAGAGACATGAAGAAGAGGGGACACATGTTGATGAAGAAGAGACATGAAGAAGAGGGGACACATGTTGATGTAGAAGAGACATGAAGAAGTGGAGACACATGTTGATGTAGAAGAGACATGAAGAAGAGGGGACACATGTTGATGTAGAAAAGACATGAAGAAGAGGGGACACATGTTGATGAAGAAGAGACATGAAGAAGTGGAGACACATGTTGATGTAGAAGAGACATGAAGAAGAGGGGACACATGTTGATGTAGAAGAGACATGAAGAAGAGGGGACACGTGTTGATGTAGAAGAGACATGAAGAAGAGGGGACACATGTTGATGTAGAAGAGACATGAAGAAGAGGGGGCACATGTTGATGTAGAAGAGACATGAAGAAGAGGGGACACATGTTGATGTAGAAGAGACATGAAGAAGAGGGGGCACATGTTGATGTAGAAGAGACATGAAGAAGAGGGGACACATGTTGATGTAGAAGAGACATGAAGAAGAGGGGACACATGTTGATGTAGAAGAGACATGGAGAAGAGGGGACACATGTTGATGTAGAAGAGACATGAAGAAGAGGGGACCATGTTGATGTAGAAGAGACATGAAGAAGTGGATTTTGCATAATAGGTGACCTTTAACATTTTTAGATCCAACATTATCGCTGTAAAAAATAAAACTGTCAGCATTTTCTATGTTTTCTGGACTAACCTAAAAATAATTCAGAAAAATGTAACAATCTGAGAAAAAAGTCAAAATACCCGAAAAAAACTGAATTTGTGGGAAAAGTCATATTTGACTTATATCGCTCTTAAGGTTTTTCATTTGTCTCTTTGAATGCCTTGTGTCAAAACGTGCTCTATAAATAAATAAATACACTTGGCTTGAACATTCTGACTTTTCTCTCAGAATCATTCAGATGTATTTAAAAAAACTATTCAAATTTGGCCTCAATTCCTTACATTTACAAGAGTGTATGAAGTCATTCTTAACTGTACATGACTCAAAATACAAAGACATATTTGTAAGGTGCTAACAAAATAAAGATTATTATTTTCACTACTTTAATGGGTCAAAATAACTTCTACTGTTCAGATATCTGTAGCTATTCTAAATGGAAAGCTACAGATATCTGATGAGGATGTTGGTAGTGTGAGTTATTTGTGTGTGGATCAAATACAAACCGTGAGCTCGTGGAGTCTCATTTAAAACCAACGCAGAGTAAACTGGTTCAAATGAAGGTTCACCTGCAGGGACAGAATGTCAGTGAGCAAGAGTTGAAGAAAGCACAGTATAAATATATATCGTGACTAATAATTAAAGTCCCCTTTACCTGCTTCAGTTTGTGGGTTTCGGCTGTGGTCCGTCTCGATGCTGAGGCTCGGATTATCAGCAGCGTCTAAAATAAAACGCAGTGTGTGAAACGCTGAGAGAGCTAAAATAATTCACACGTCTCAACTGTCACTTTCAAGACCTGACAACGATCTTAAAGTAACACTCAAAGTAAACCTTTGTCTCTCAAAGTGAGCAGTATTTATGTTCTTTTAAGCTGGGTTCATAATAAAGAAACAGAGTATCTATAATAGTATTTTTTTGTTGCTCACATCATAACAAATAAAATAAAATGAGATTTTAAAGTGAAGTAAAACCTCGGTGATGTCTTGGTTTTGTGACGACGAGAGCGTAGGTGACGTCGCTCTGATCCTCCTCACAGGCTGGAAACACATCAAAACTACATTCAGTCACATGTTGGTCCGAACTATCTGGCGATCAGCTTTGACATGTATGACCCACCGTATTGATTATCCTCGGCGGGGCAAGGTGAATCTGCTGTTGGTGTCTTCGAGGAATCTTATGTATGGAAAAACAAAAATATGAAAACACAGGAGAAAAAAATGCATTTAAAGTTTCTATAAAAAAAGTTTGGAATATTAACAATTACTATTTAGTTATTCATGCTGTTAGTACAACATTGTCAAAACAGAACTGTATATATTTCTTGATTTGTACATACTGTACTATTCCACATAATTGGATTATTGTATGATTTATTTTTCTAATTTAATTTGAGTATATGTGTATTCAAACACAAAAAGAATAAGAACAAGTACTTCATTCATTCTCAAAGGTTATTTGTGAAAGAATTGTTTATTATGATATTAAATAATATTTATATTAATTAATGGTTTTGATAATTTGTCATTATAAGTAAATCTCTGAATAGATGTTTTGCTTTCAAGAAGTTCTCACTTTAATGCTCCTTAACATTAAAAGTGAGAACACTCATTGCATTTAGAAGTAAGTAAGCTATTATCAACGTAGTTGCGAGTTTACGTGTGTTGAGATACCTCTGTGTTTAATATGATGGACTCCCACCAGCAGCGCCAAAATGAAAATAATGATAGCGGTAAACAGCAGGACGGAGAACTGGAGGAAAGAACGCATTCCTTTATGAGGTAGGTCACCACTTCCTGTAATACACAAAACACAATGTTAGCATGTTAGCATTCACATAATCTGATATATATATATGATTTACATTTCCTCATAACTTAGTTTCAGTGGTGAGTAAATGTACTAAAGTACTGAACAAAAGTACACTTTAAGATACTTTTACTTTACTGGGGTATTTGAACTCCTACTACAATTTAGAGGGAAATATTGTACTTTTTTATGCATTTGTTTGAAAACTTGAGTTAATTTATGCAACACATTATATATTTAGAATATAACACCGATACATAGTAAATGATTAATCAGTGAAAAAGTAGTTAAAATAGCTATCAGTAGTTGTTTTCCAAAAACATATTTATTATAGAAAAACTGAAACCTGTATCTTTACTTAAATACGTACTAGATTTTGTTGTGTGTACAATCAAAATACAGGACTTTTACTTGTACCGAGTTTACAGAGCGGTTTAAGATAAGAAAAATATCTGTGTACTTTTTCCACCTTTGATTAATTCTTTATAGAATATGGAAACAAATTACTGCACATCGTAACACTTTGAAAGATGTGCGGCGAATGTGTGCAACCGCACTTTAGCAAAGCATTATTTCAGATCCATTCAAATCCCTTATGTGCATATATTTCAATTTGATATTTGTTATTCTTATTAAAAAGATGCTTCCATGAACTCTTACCTGTCCTATCCTGTGTTTCATTCTTATTGCTGTTGTTGCTCTCAGACCTCACTGTCCCTATGGGGATTATTCAATGAATGTCAATTGTATTAAACCGGCTCTTAAATTTGACTTCGAGCTGTGTGAGGTTAGCCCACATAGCAGAACATTTCATGAGGTTGTAATATTCGCCGGTATCATGTAAAGTAAATATCATCTTTTGTACTTTTTGTATCTTACGTATGACAGCAAACCGGCTCTCTGGTGATTCTCCACCGTCAGAGATGCTGCACTTGTAGAGTCCTTCATCAGATTTAGAAACATTTTTGAATGTTATGATTCCTGTATGGCTGGTTCTGATGAGACGGCCATCTTTATAGAAGTCAGCTGAGAGGAAGGAGGAAGTGGTCGTCTTGTTCCTGCAGCTCAGAGTCACAGATTCTCCCTCCATCACAGGAAGCACAGGACTCTCCAGGATCACAGAGCCAGCTGAACGGGATCAAACGTTTAGTCTAATGAACACATTTGGAGTTATTGACAAAAATGTAACATTATATAGACACAAGCATTGGAGAATACTGTGCATGTTAAGTTGGTTGCTAACATGCACAGAATGAATACAAAATATCGAAAAGTAATCGGAAAACATTGATAACAATTATTCAGTAATGTATATCGTCTGCATAGAGGTTAATATTATTACATGTTTCTTTTTTTACGGTGGCAGCGTTGACGGTTGTTTGTCATGCCTGTCATTTTTTATTATATTTTTAAACATCATCATAGACAAGATTTTTTAAACTTAAACCGGTATTTATTTGTACACGTTGCGACCCAAATCTAAGCATTCCGTACACTGTTTTGAGGTTTTCCTTTTCATTGCATTTCATTGTTAAATTCAGTTTTTCTTTACAATATTCAGGTTTTTTACTTTAATCAGATATTGTCACTCGACCAACAAACTTCTCTAACAAACTTTTTTGGAATCACTTTTATTGCCAAGTAGGTTTTCCAATATGAGGAAACTGCTTTAATATTGCTCAATAAGTGAAAAAAGAGCAAATGTAGAATTAGTTTTTTAAATACTGTAAAATAATATGATTAAGAACACGATATAAAAGTATTCAAAAAAGGTATATATGACAAATTACTGTGAAAAACGATGTTCGGAATCAACAAAACATACCGGTGACCTTGATGTTGATGGAGTTGCTCTTCTCTCCTTTCTCGTCCTCACACCAGTAAACCCCGCTGTCTGAATCATAGGCCTGTTGAATGGTACAGTTCAGTGTTGATGAAGCAATATTATAACAACTCTGAATTAACTCATTGTTGTTCCTAAACCCCCTCAGAGCAGAGCCAAGACCCTCGCAGAGAAAAGAGAAGGGCTCGTATTCAAAGAGCTGCAGTCTCTCTGTGACAATGAGCAAAGCGTCTGAGGACAGAAACAGAGACAATAAAACATCTGATTAATAAAGAATATAGCTAAATGTATTTTAACACAATGCACGGACACACTGGTATTTCCTATTAACATGAGTATGTGAATCTTTAGTAGTTTCTACCCACCATAGTTTTGCAAAGAGCTCTTCTGAATATGTGCACCCAGCAGAATGATCACACACGTCACTATATATGCAGATAGAGAAAACGTTCTATTAGCAAAAATATGCTTAGTATTTGTGAAAAGTAAATAGTGTATAATCTGAGACTCACGCAGTCGGCTGCAGAGCGCTGTGACCTCCATGATGTCTTCCTGCTGTCTGAGCGTCTCACTGAGAGACACAGAAATATAATGTGAGTGAGAACTTCCTCTTCCTGTGCAGAGTGCTTCTGAGGCCGGGGTCAGACTCTCTGTGGTTTCAGCACCAGTTGAAACCTTTTTTTGAATATGAGTATATAATAAGTATAATGTAAATAAAGATAGTTGTCATATATTCCACTGTCTTCGAAGACAAAGTCATTTTTCTTATTTATTTGATGGGTAATCAGGAGGCATCATGTAGGGCCTGTAAGTACAGGCACATCCACTTAACTTTATTAACACCTGAACATTACACTCGTGTGGTAATGAAACACTTCCATCCAGCAGTCAATGACATTTTTGTTATTTAGCTGTTCATGTTATCCACAGCGACTTATAATAAGTCCATTACATCATGAGGAAACAAACTCAAAACAAGAAGATTCATTCAAGTGGGTATCATCCTTAAACCAGACACACAAACTGAACCTCCTGCTGGTGGGTTTCTGCATCACAAGCAGGAGGGCCATGCACACAGCCTCATCAGAGTTTAATATGTGACAGTAACATTTTATTTTGCTGGCACTTTCATTTAAAGCGCTTTGTAATGAGTGCACTCAACCATGAAGATTCAGACCCCAAAAAGCAAGAATCCTGCAGGTGCATTGGCTTGTAATTCGCCAAATCAGTTGATACTGCAAAGGCTTTAAATGATTGTATGGGCCAAGGGTGAAATCATAACTAGCCCTTCTGACAAATCTTGCTTTCTTTTTTCTTGCTTCATGTCAATGAACCCTGACCATCAACGGCGCTGCTGTGGATCAGGTGAGCAGCACCAAACTCCTGGGTGTGGTATCACAGATGACCTCACCCAGTGGCGGATTTAGGGTTGTAGAAGATCCGGGGCTTAGCCCAGAATATTGAAGTCGTGTTGAGCGGGGAGGGGGGGGGTGGGTGGTTCATGAGCTGTGAACTCGCTGGAGCCTCGCAGCGGGGCTACTACGGAGTGCATAAAGCAGACTCTTCACGCGCTAACGAAGGCCCTCTGTTTCGCGAGCGTCGACAGGGGGGGGGGGTGTGCTGGGCGCTCGTGAGGCCTCAAGATTAGGCCCCCTCTGCAGACTGTGTGATCGGCCTGTACGGCGGGACGGCCCTGCACAAGACACTGCAGCGCATTGTGAACTCTGCCCAGAGGATCATCGTCTCCCTTCCTCCCTACCTCTGACATCTCTCCCTAGTCTCCCCTGACCTCTCCACCCTGCCTCCCACCTTTCCCCCCTGCCCCAAATGGACCTGGACTTTACGCCCCCCCCCACACACACACATACACACCCTTCCCTCATCAGCAGCAGTCGCCTTTTTACTCATCTCCGCTGCTACTGCACTGTAACTGTACTTCGAACATCATTTGTTTTGCACTAATTTTGATTACTTGCACTAATGTCACATTCATGTTTCTGTTGATTGTGTTTTAAATATATTTATTACCTAGTACATATTACTACTTATTACTTAGTTGTTATACCCCTTTTATCTAGGCCCTTTTCATATCTTGTTATATGTACTGTATATATGTCACACTGTGGGACTGCGAGAAACGGTATTTCAAATGTTCTGTATGTATAACACGTGGAATTCTTGACAATACAATTTACTTTGACTTTTGAATATATTGTTCAGTCTTTGCCAGTCACACACACACACACACACACACACACACACACACACACACACACAACACAACACACACACACACACACACACACACACACACACACACACACACACACACACACACACACACACACACGCGCACACACACACACACACACACACACACACACACACACACACACACACCAACACACACACACACACACACACACACACACACACACACACACACACACACACACACACACACACACACACACACACACACACACACACACCCACACACACACACACACACCACAGTGCACAGAAGAAAGTGCTATATAAACTGAGAAGTCCCGCCCCCTACGGTAAAAGATCAGACATTTCCTTTGATAGAGAATTGCCTATCAACCGTTGCCACAATAAAACAATTCAAAGGTCCATCGCAACTGATTGTATTGCCATGTATTAATTTATAACCTGTAACCAAAACACTGAATCCAAAATTCAGATGTTCATAAACCCAGACACTCAAAGTGAAACTCAGATAACAACTCAGTGGATAGATTTGAACTAAACTTGAATATATTACACAACTTTTGTAGAAAATGCCTCTTGCTGCTGGAGAAACATTTGCACACTGAAAATAAATATTAAGCATAACATTAACCGTCAAGAAGAAGAAAAATGAATTAGGCGTTACTCTATTTGCTTCATACTCTGCATGAAGCTGTCAGTGATTTACTGACTTGTCCTCGCAGTCAGAGACGGTGACACGCAACATTCAACAGGTATGTGTTTTTCAATTTGTTAACATTTAATACATAAGATAAAATATATGCAAAACCTATTTCATGAAAAGTCTGAATATTGAGTTTTGGTGAACCACAATTTTAGATTAGATCAGATAACAACATGTATTTCATACGTTTGTGTCCGAGTGAAAACTGCGTAGGCTACAGACTAGGTGATAGTCGTAACACTGAACTGGGTGTGCAGAGAGTCTTTAGTCTACTACTGTAACTAAATTATCATTATATGTCTTAAATAGAGGATATGATATAATGAAATAGGATATGTAGATTATGAGTAGAGCAAAGAAGATGGTCATAAAGTTGTTTTTCCATTTATTGGAGCCTTTACAATTAATGCCCAAAGGTACAATTCAGTTTATAACTCAGACCTTTGGATTGACCACTTGTTGTCCAGCCTTTTTAAAACGTTTTACCTAAAGAATTGTTTTAAAGCATGTTGTCCTGAAAGTTCACACTGTTATCTCTGTTTTCTGTTCATTTGCAGTTCTCCATGATGATGTTAAACACAGACGGAAAGCCCCTTAAAACTCATCTGGGAACTCTCAGTGTTTTGGTTTTCCTTCTTCTCCTAACACACTGTAGAGGTAAGTAACAAATACAATCTTCAAAAGTCACACTTACAGCTTTGGGAAGACGTTTATATTTGGCATAATTAGGCAAACATTAAGTAACCTTTGAGCGTATTGTCATGCAAGTGGTACCCCAATATATGTTGTTACTGGAAAACCTGGTAGGGCCTACTATAAAGCATGTTACTATATCGAATATATATTAACGTTAGCTTACAACGCAAGACTAAGCTGTTCGATTTTTTTTTTTTGTTGAGCTCTTTTTTGAGTTGCTTTTGTAAGCAGTTGTTGCCAATGGGAACACATGGGAATATGGAGAACAGCCTATAACAGCCCTCTTAAAATATAAAAAACGTACAATTAGCCGGGGTTGTCTTGAAAGACTCTTTCGCAAAAGATGTTTGAAGACATCCGCGTTCTTGTGACACGTAAATACTACGCTTCCTATGTTTTGGTGCGGACTGCGTTCACACCAGCAATGAACCGCTCCTGAGTTCGCAAGCAAGCGTTCCGAGACCACCTATTTTAGCGGACCAGAGTCCGGTTGTTTAGTTCACTTCAGAGGTCTCGGTTTGTGTTCACACCGACCCAAACGAACCGCACCAAGCGGCTAAACGCACCAGGGTTCGATTCAACCGGACTATACAAGGCTGGTGTGAATGTCTATCGTCACCGGTTGCATTATATAATATACTTCCTTTGTATTTCCAGGTCAGTCTCAGCTGATTGGCTCATCTCAGCCAATCGTAGCAAACCTTGGCGGTGACATCATTTTGCCGTGTTATCTGGAGCCGGCAGTAAATGCTGCCGGTTTGACGTTGGAGTGGACGAGGCCCGACATGGACCCCAGATTCGTCCATGTGATGCGTTCTGGTCACGAACTTGTGGATAAAAAACACCAATTATTCAAGGGAAGAACCTCAATGTTCACCGATGAGCTGAAGAACGGAAACATTTCCCTGAAACTCTCCAACGTACAACTCTCAGATCGGGGGAAATACAGATGTTTCATTCCAGCGCTTGGCAGGCAAGCTTTTGTTCAACTGTTTTTTGGTAAGTGAGCAATTTATGTGTTCATGGTGCATGTTTTGACAAGTCTTTATCTTGAGGAGAGAGTTTTAGTTATGTCTCTGTCTTCGGAGAAATAAAAAAAAATACTGCACGCTACTTTGTTCGTATTTAAGGATCTTCGAGCTTAACACACTCTATGCTATAGAATATAGCATAGAACATATTTTACTCCCACAGAGCAATAAGCCAATAAACTTGGGAGCTCATTGGAACAGTTTTAAGTGAGGATTTTGGTAGAAAGGAAGCTCCATCGGATTTTAAATCTGCAAATTTATTTCCTCTTTTTCCTGCTTTGTTTTCAGCATCCGGCTCTTCCTCTCCGCCTGTCATCAGTTTATCAGGACTGGACGGTCAGAGCGGAGGAGTGGTGCTGCAGTGTGAGTCTGCAGGCTGGTATCCGGAGCCTGAGGTGTTGTGGCTGGACGCTGAGGGAAAGCTCCTCTCTGCTGGACCTCCAGAGACAGTCAGAGGTCCTGATGACCTCTATACTGTCAGCAGCAGAGTGACTGTGGAGAAGAGACCCAGCAACAGCTTCACCTGCAGAGTCCAGCACCACAACACCACCCACACCACACAGACACACTTCCATGTTCCAGGTAGACATCAAAATATTAATTTAACATGTTTTAGTTTAAAATATCTGAGGTCCATTTTTATATAAATGCCGTGATGCTCTGTGTTTTATCATTTCAGATGATTTCTTTAAGCTCCAGTCCAGGTCTTCTTCCGTCAATACTGGTCTGGCTGTCAGTTTGGCTGTTTGCATTCTGTTACTGGCTGTTTTCTTTCTTCTTTCTGTGGAGAGAACACATATTCAGTAAGTCACTAACAGTCGGGTGATTTGATTCATATCTCCCACAAACTCCACCCCCCCCTGCCTGAAATGCCTCCATTGGACTCCTTTGTTTTGAACATAGTGACATCACTCTGTAACACTCTCTCTATTGGCTAGCACTAGGGGCGGGACATCTCTAAGCTGTTGACCAATCATCCAACTGTTCAGCTAAATTAGCCTGAACAGTTTCATGTGCTCCGATCCCTTCCTAAAGTTCCTCTAATCTTAACACACGTTTAATTTCACACAGAGACAAAGAGAAAGCGATCTAAAACTAAAGATCAGTTTCTCAATGAAGGAGAAAGAGGACAGCTGATGAAACCTGACGCTGTGCAGATGGAGGCTTTGAAGGGAAACGTCGGAAAGAAGAGGAAAAAGGTTAGTAGAGAAACAACAACATGAAAAGTGAAGTCTTAGCAAGAAGCACAGAAGACTTTCACATCAAGATACAGGATCTGCCATAAATGCATGAAAACAGGTGTCATTGTGTGGCACCTTAAGAAATGATCACTAAAGAAACGTGACTGTTCCTCTCATAGAAAAATCAATCTGAGCAGCAGCTGCTTGAGGAGCAGAGGAGGAGGAAGGATGCTGAGAAGGAAGTCCAGACTCTGGAAGAGCAGCTGCAGAACAAGAAGAAAGAGGTTCATCTCCACTTCAATAATGAAACACATTGATTCCTGTTTGAAGTCTCTTTCAATGTCCTCCTTAGTGCAGACAAGGTCAAACCTGCAGTGCAGGTCCAAGTGGAGCCCAACTCCAGACTGTCCTACTTTTAGACTGTGAATAAATGATGTTAATCTTCCTGCTGTTCTTTCAGGTTGAATCCAAACAGTCTGAGCTGCAGGATCTCCATGCAGAGAAACAGAGGAGCGAGAAGGAGCTGCAGAGCCTGAAGGGAGATCTGTGGAACAAGAACAGAGAGGTTCACGTCTCCATCTTTGATATTCTGCATTTATTGTTAAACAGAAAAGCATTTGAGGAAACCCCAAAACAAGTCATCAGGAGCAGTGACACAGCATGCCACGCTTAGGTTTAGGCTTACAAAGTGAATTGTAGTGCACTATGTTTACTTCAATACATGTTCTTCCATTCAGTAACATTGAGCATAACAGATCCACCTAACTGTATGAGCATCTATAATGATCACATGCTGTGATGTAGTGCTCACGTGTCTCTTCATGTGTCTCCTCTACCAGCTGGGGAGAATTCAGAGGAGCCTAAACAGCGTTTCCAGATATGATCAGGTGAGTGGAAATGATGTTAGTGCATCACGGCTGTGGATCCTCAGATCAGGGGCGCTGGGGAACCGGTTCAATCCGCCCTGACCCCCACTGCAGTCAACATGCCTCTGTGTCCTTGGGCAAGGCACTTCACCCTAAATCACTCCTGTGGGAATTGTCCACAGTATTGATGTTACATGTCTGATATATGTCATATGTAATGTCAGCACTTTGAGCATTTGGAAAAGCGCTGAATAAATGTAATGAATTATTATTATTATTATTGTATAAGATAACCTAAAATAATAATTGACTTCCTGTTGTGTCAACATAACAATGTAAACACAACAGGAAGTCAATTATCTTAATATCAATGTACATCACTAATAGGTTGTAAAGAGATAATCAGACTGGATTGTTTAACACATAAAACTGTGCAACACTTTGAAGATTGAACAGTATGTTGAGTCACTTTTCTCTAAAAAATACAGACTTCGGAAAGAGAAGAAGAACAGAAGAAGAAGGCTGAAGCTGAACAGGAAGTGGACACACTGGAGAAGGAGCTGGAGAGCAGACAGAAGGAATCAGACACCAACATCACAGAGGTTACTGTTTGAATATGTTACTAAAGTATAGTTTTCAGTTGATCTTCTCTGTATGTACAGTTTATATGGATTGGTGCAGAAAGTAAACGATGTATTTACATTTAGATTCTAGACGTGTTTGGGGCAGAGTATAATAAATGTTCACGTCACCCAAGAGTTTTTTTCCTTAAGGCATGCTGGAAGTTTAGGTATCTGAGTCATTATCAAGATACAAATGAACTTCTGTTTCCTTTTTATTTTTACCTAAAGGAAGCATAACTAAGTTCAATAGAAAAGGTCCTAGTATAAAAGCTTGCTTGACTCCATGACTAACTCTTTAATCATAAATCAGGGTTCAGTCCTGCAGTGTAAACTAGACATTAGTTTAGTTTCCATAACAGATGCAGATGAGTCACTTTAGTCCTGATACATACGAACAAAGGTTTATGATAAAACATGTCTCTCAGTTATCCTCTCAGTGTGAAGTGAAGGAAGCTGAAGTCCAGCAGCTGCAGGAGGAGGTTCAGAGGATGGAGACCAGCCTGCAGACCCTGATGGAGTCCATCAACACGGAGGTTAGACTTCCTGCATGAACCTTGCTGTTTATATGAAGTCTGATTCTAGTTCAAAGGAGCCACATACACTTGTAGATGTGTTGAGCATCCTGGGTCACTTGAGTGTTCAATCAGAAATCCTGTTGCTGAATGTGATTATGGTTTCAACGCTTCATTGTTTCTATACATGAAGTTTCACAGATATGTGCACTTCATTAAAACATTTCCAAAGCAGATTTTTTGAGTTTATAAATCCAGGTTTGGTCACCTCCATGTTTACAGTCTTCTCCTCGGTCATTTGATGTCCAATGCAGGAGTCTTTACAAACACATGGACCTAATCATAGAAGCACTTCTCCACAGAGCTTCCAGTGGAACTGATGATGTGAAATGAGAGTTTTAGTTGTTGAGATAATAACATGTAAAAACCCATGAACACGTCTGTCTTCATCTCTCCTTCTCTCCAGCTGGAAAGAAGCCGAGCTGCTGAAGCCAGTTCTTCCTCCTCTTCACGGGTCAGTGGGTTCAGATCAATACGATCAATACTCTCTTCTGGTTTCCTGACCTAAATAAAGCTTCCTTTATAATCTCTGGCTGCAGAAGAGCTGGAGGAAACCTGTGAACATGAACTTACTGAGAGTCATTTGGTCAAACGTGATATTTCATCTCCTCTGTCTCTTCTTTTAGTTTAAATGGAAGATATTATCCAGAAATGAGTCTCAGGAGGATCAGAAGAGGAGGGAGGAAGCTGAGACAGAAGTTTCCATCCTGAAGGAGAAGCTGCAGAATGAGTCCAGAAAGGTTTGTGTTTTATATCTCCAATCAAAGTCATTCAGAGACAGCGTATGATATCCAGTGAAGCTACTCATGTCTTAGATCAAATCCTTTCACCTCCTTTCTCAGATAAAGTAACAACATGCATTTAAACCTGGTTTCACTCTTTCTTCACTCTTCTGACTTACTGACAAAGACACACCTCTGACTCTGCTCATCTGGAAGTCCAGCTATAAAGAGTTTATCTGGAGGTCTCTCTCCTTCTGTCTGTGTCTCCTCTCAGGTGGAGAGACTACAGGCTGATCTGCAGAGAGGAGGAGAGGAGACGAGGAGGAGGGAGGAGGAGCTGAAGGAGGAGCTGAAGGAGATAAAAGAGGTTCATATTTCATTGATGATTTTACTTTCCCCTATCTGTTTGTTAAAGTTTAAATCTCACAATAACTGCTTTATATCATAAACGTATTAAAACGTGTAACAACACGTAGCGTCATCTCTCAAAGAGTCAAAGTATTATGAGATTGTAAAATTGAATTGAAGCCATTGATCATTATTCTCTTCTGACTTCAAAGTATAAAGTATATAACAGTATAACTTAAATGAGCTGTTGATTAGAATTAGAATTTGTACTTCTAAAAAGTCCAACAAGGCAAAATTGCAAATACATTTAAATGGATTTTTGTGTTTGATTTTAATCAAAGAAATCTGTTGAAATCAACATCTGTGTGTTCGTCAGGAAACTCAGAGAAAACTAGCTGACCTCTGGCAGATTGAGGAGAAGCTGAAGGAGACACAGAGTCTACTGGAGATCCAGAGAGCAGAGAACATCAGAGTGAAGACAGAGGTACACACACACACACACACACACACACACACACACACACACACACACACACACAGGACATATAGTAGATACACAAATGATTTAATCTTGTGAGGATTCATTTGAAGGTTCTGCATGGACCTTCTCCATCCCTTCATCACCAGTAGGTCCCTCAGGTCTTCAGACCAGAGCCTTGTCCCACGGTCTCCTTTAGAAACTAAAGGCGTGGGTTTGAGGTAGTGGATCAACACTGTGGAACTCTCTACCTACAGACATCCGGTCTGCTGTCTCTGCAGAAGCTTTTGATTGGCCTTTGTGTCTCCTTGACATGTGTATGATGTGTTGTGTTCTTTTGTTTGTTTCTTTGGACTCTTTGTTGTTTTGTTTTTATGTTAACCTTAACTTCTGGCTCTTAGTTTTATTGTATTCATGTTTATGTGGTTTTATTTTTCACTTTGTTTTTGTGACGCACTTTGATTATTTCTGTGATAGGAGCTGTAGTAAATAAACAGGAGGTTCATCTTTTCCATATGGCATTGATTTGTTTCTGAGGGTTATACTGCGTCAAGGTATTTACTGTTCCTCCTGTGAGAGAAAATATGATGCAGATCAGGAACTAGTTTTCATCAGGACCAGGATGTGCTGTTCCCTAAATAAAGTTCAAATGTCTTTATCTCTCTTTCTCTCAGTTTGAGAAGAAGCTCCAGGAGGAGACGACCAGAAGAGAGGAAGCGGAGAAACAAGTGAAGGACCTAAAGGAGGAGGTACACACACACACACACACACACACACACACACACACACACACACACACACACACACACACACACACACACACACACACACACACACACACACACACACACACACACACACACACACACACACACACACACACACACACACACACACAGTGGAACAACCAACCCCATGATAAGAAGCGGAAGGAAGAGGAAGCTGAGAGATTTGTGAATGACGTGATGAAAAACAAGGAGGTTCGTCTTTTAATCTTGACTTCATCTTCTCCAAAACACATTGATTTGTTTAGAAGTGATATCTCTACCCATGAGAGACAATCTGAGACACCGAATGAGAGAGAAGTGAAGGAACAAAAGGTGGTGCCTGTTCATTTTCATTCATTCTGTTTTGGTCTCACATTTTAGTTTAATCTTCTTTACAAGTTGATATTTGAGACAAAGACAACTCAAACTAGACCTGAAAACACACTGAGACACCAAATGAGATGGATCTCAGCGTGTCACAGGGATCAAACAGCTGAGTCAAAGATGATGGATGAATATTCTCTCTGTGTTTTCTCCCTTAGTTTCAGGCAGGACATTTTGAAGGGTCTGATAATTCTCGATCAGTGGAACCACCCCTCCCCTCGAACACCCAGACCTCAGACCCAGGATTTAATATTGAGGTCGACCAACAGCGCAAATACATCCGTCTCAGAAACTCATCCACTGAGGTAATGTTGTGAGCATTAACGCTGTGTGAGTGCTTTATGAGAGTGAACAATATAATTTAAGCATACTTTAATTCTTCTTCTTCAAACTCTCATAATGACCGGTTAAACTTTAAGAATCCCTTTTCTCTTGTTTTTGTGTAAATTGTTTTAAGTGAATTCAATGGTCACCTCTATGTGTTAGTCTCTCTGTCTCTCACCCTCCCTCTCTCCCTGTATGTGACCTCCTGCAGGACAAACAGCTGGGATTATGGAAGTTAGATCTGCAGGTTAACAACAACAAATCCATCACGTACACATTTCCGCCATCTTTCAAACTCAAGGCTGGAACAGATGTCACTGTGAGTCCTTCTTGATTGTTCACTTTATGTTGCATTTTCCCTTTTCTTATTTGTTTCATTCAGCACTTCATTATATGTTAAAGAATAAGAATATTAAAAAAGAATGCACTATTATTTTATTTATTTAATTATTTTATGATTCTGTTTGTAAGTCGGTGACTTTGTATTTTACAGATGTGGGTTAAAGGTCATGGTCGCAATCATGCTCCCACTGAGCTGAAGTGGAAGGACCTGAAGTCCTGGAGCTCTGGAGACAAACTGCAGGTCGTCCTCTTCGACCACAAACAAGAGATCCAGTATGAACTCTGTGTGACAATACCTTAAAGACTTTAACTATACTTTGTCCTGCTCTCATTGTGCTCATCTTACCCTGCTTTTATCAACCGTTACAAATACACGTCTGCTCACTGCCTGCCTAGCAACAAATAGCTGGAGTTCATTTGAACTTGTCCTCGTGTTGTGATGTGTGAAGTGACGGAGCAGATTTATCATCAACAGGAAAAAGCCATGAGAGAAAGTTACAACGTTATAAAATATCTGGGCATTATTCACAGGAACAGAAAGACTCAGAGATCAGCCATTTTATAGAATCACACACTTTACTTTTACTATTCAGGTTTATTTAACAGTTCAAACATGTTTTGAGGTGAACTGCCTTTATTTTGCTGCCACTGCTTTTAGATTTGACTAAATCTACTCTTTTATCGTGCTAAATATCACTATCAAATATTCCACTCTTTTTAATACAAAATGTGAGCTAATGCAAATCATCAAATAAAAGTTATTTGTTTTGTATTGCTGTCCGTGTAAATTGCCAAAATGTAATTCACTTCAAGTTTATGTAGTTAAGATGTACAAATGTGTTTTATTTGTGTATGTACATGTACTGATGTACAATTTTGATATTTGCTTACGGCCATGTTAACTTCCAAATATGTTTTTAATGTCCTGTGAGAGATAATGTTTAATTTTAAGGTGATATGTTTTAATTATATGATGTTTTGCAAAACCAGTTAAGTTAGTTTTGTTGACTGAAAACACGTTGACATGATTTCTGTTCCAATAAACAGTTTTTCTCTTTCAGTCTACAGTCTTGTTTCTCTGAGGCTCACAGCCGTCCTTTGAGCTGTAAGCCAAAGTTAGCACGCTAACAATCTAGCAGGTTTTACCACGTTCAAACCTCACAATTATATTATATGCTATAAGTTACTTGTTTCTATAAATCCCCCTGAAGGCCTCTTTACTTATGTATTCATTTATTTATACAGACATGTCTGAGAAGCTGAAAGTATCTGGAGTCTAAAATAAAACTCAGAACAACAAACCCTCAGCTCGCCTTTTAAAATAAATGCATGCGTCAGTCAGTACCTCTGTGGTTTTTAACTTTGTCTCGAGTGTGAGAAAGTCTAACAGCTGCTGCTCGTACCATCATGAGACACAGAGAAGTTACCTCACACTCAACCTGAGCAGAAGAAGAGATACAACGCTGAAGAAGTGATCATGTCCTCGGCTTGTGGTGTTCATTGTGTTGATGACCAAACTCTAATCTTTTTACATGAGTTATTTCTGTGTGACCCTGAGTTTCCCACAATGCAGCAGTCCCACCAGCAGCAGCAGCAGAGCCACCATCACTACGGTGAACACAGTCCTTAAGACGAGGAGGACGTGAAGGGAGTGATCCGAGGAGGGACACGTCTCTCTGTGAACAGCTGCAAACACAACACAACGTGAATATATATATAACCCAGAAGCTCCAGATAAATCCCCCAAATGTTAGCTTTAATGCAATATCTCACCTCTGACAGCCAGCCAGCTCTCTGGTGATTCTCCACCGTCAGAGATGCTGCACTTGTAGAGTCCTTCATCAGATTTAGAAACTCTTTGGATGGTGATGTTTCCTGTGGAGCTGCTCCTGATGAGGCGGCCATCTTTATAGAAGTCAGCTGACAGGATGGAGGAAGTGGTCGTCTTGTTCCTGCAGCTCAGAGTCACAGCGCTGGCCTCTCTCACAGGGAGGACGGGACTCTCCAGGATCACAGAGCCACCTGAACAACATGGAGAAAGCATGTGAGTTATGTAAGAACAATTTGAGAGAGGACAGAGATGACGTCCTGTAATACTGTGAATGAGTTGAAAACATGCCTCCCTGAAAATATTAGAAAGAAACAACATGATAAGTTAATCAGATTCTAAAGTGTCTGCACAGAGGTGAATATTAATCACAGCCCTCTCTCACAGGCAGGACAGGACTATCCAGATCATTAAAACTCTGTTATTGTAGTAAAACACTTGATTGCTCACTTTATGGTTTTCAATTTGACACTCTATCCGTTAAATCTCTTCTTTGAGCTCTCTCATTGTCTTGTGTTGTTACATTTCTGAAGATAAGTAAAGACATTTCATTCAATGTACTTAAGAAGCCTTTAACCCACCATTGACAGAGATGGTGACACTGTGGCTCCTTTCTCCTCCGTCAGCCTCACACCAGTAATCTCCACTGTCTCCACTATAGGCTCTTTTAATGGTGCAGTATAGTACGGGGGTCCTCTCACTACAAGTGGAAATAAAGTCCCCAGCATCCCTGATCCCTCTCAGCCGAGTGGAGCCGTCGAGACCCTCGCAGTGAAAGGAGACTGGCTCCTGTTCAAAGAGCTGCAGTCGGGTTGGAACGATACGGAAAGCTGCTTCTGATTGAAAAACAAATATAAAAACTCATTAGAAAAGTCTGGCATGAATCACGTATCAATACAAATGCAGCCGTAGTGATATTCCCTCAATGTGCAGTTAGTGTAACAAGTCCTGCTTACCGTTGTTCTGAACATGTGCAGCGAGGACAATGAGCATCACTGAACAGACCAAGGAAGGAAACTGAGTATTAACCATTATCTCTTTTATTACTCTGTAAACTGGAAGAAGTGAAACTCACACGGGGTGAAGCAGAGAGCTGTGACCTCCATGTTGACTTCCTGCTGAATGGCTGAGCATCAGACTGAAATACATGCAGATGAACACCTCCTCTTCCTGCTCAGCTTGTTTCTGAACACGTGACACTGTGTGTTTCTGCTCAGTGCTGTGAGGCTGACCTGAAAGCATTCATGACTTTCAGAGTTTCAATGCTTTTGCAGAAACATATATTTTGTAATTGTTTATTTGGCAGGGACATTGCATATCAATGAACACTTAAAACAATAAATGTGTCAAATGTAAATATGCCAGATTTAGCTTTGAACTCATTTCCATCCGCAGTCCCTCATAAAACATTTAAGAAAATGACATTTACAAACAAAGCAAAAACAAATACATGATATGCAAAAAGTGCAAAAGAGCAGCTACAAGTATTTACCACAAGACTTCACTTTAAAATAGGGAACATATTATTAGATATAAATACATAATTTTGAGTTATTTAGACACAATTAACACTTATAGTTTCAGGTCTTGTTAAATAAGAAGAGATCATATTTGTTAAGTGTTATTATGGGAGAATAACTATTATTGTGGTACTACTGCCTTATTAGGCCCTTATTGAGCAGAGCATATTGAGAGCAGAACTCATGGACAACAACTTCCTTAGTTGCAGCAAATCAGCACTAATTAGAGGGTTATTGAGGAAAAACTCTCAACTAATGGCTTATTAAATGTAGAATAAGGTCATGCAGAATAAGGCATTAATAAGTGTTTTCTAATGACTACTAACGAGCCAATAAACTGCTAATATGCATGTTAATTAACGACTAGTTGATGGTTAATTTGTGTACCTTAATATAAAGTGTTACCGAAATACCTAATTTTGAGTTATTTAGACACAATTAACACTTATATTTTCATGTCTTGTTACCTAAGAATATATGATATTTGTTAAGTGTTATTATGGAAGAATTGCTATGCTTGTGGTACTACTGCCTTATTAGGCCCATATTGAGCAGAGCATATTAGGACCAAAACTCATGTACAACAACTTCCTTACTTCATGTAGAATAAGGCATAATAAGTGTTTTATAATGACTAATAAAGAGCCGATATACTGTGTTGAGATCTTCATATGAAGTGAATACTTAAAACGAAAGTTAATTGAGATCATGGTATGAAGTGAATACTTAAAAAACAAAAGTTAATTATAAATCATACATGATCAATCATATTCTTGTATAAACCCATAATGAGAATGCTTCTTGACGGTTTTTGAATATGAATCTATGCTTACAATTTTTTCTGTTGCTATTTGAGAACTTTGCGTTTTGAAAAGAGGGTGTTGTGAGTTTTCATAGTATGTTTAATACTTAAAAACGAAAGTTAGTTATAATCAAATATAATCAATTATATTCTTGTATAACCCACAATGAAAATGCTTCATATTTTAGGTTTTCTATAGTTACAGTATAAACAAAACAAAGTGGGTTGTTTAGGTTGAGTTTTCTTCCTCTCCTCTGGCAGCAGTCCACAGGGAGGGGCTTCACACTAAGGGGAGAAACATTAAGAGGCCAAAGAGAGTTCATGTCCTTTTCACCCTAACATGAGAGGAGGAGTTTTGTTTTTTTGGGTTTAGGATCCAGTTTTTTTAGCATAAAGAGACTGGTTTTTTGAGAGAGCGCGAGAGAGGGGGGGTGACCCCTGGTAGACTCTCTCCGGGTAGGCTGTGTGCTTCAGAGCTGGGTTAATAGCTCTCGGTAAGGTCTTTCTAGACGGGGTAAATATCTCTCGAATTTATTGGTTGTTGGCTGAGTGGAATGATTTGATGAGAGAAAGTGTGTGAACCTTTATAAATACCGCGACCTGTGGGGAAAATCTGGTCCCCCGAATTTTGCGGACAGGAATGGGTTTTTGAGTGTTAATCCGCCGTCTGTGTCGGAAAAAGTGTATGAAACTGATGTGAATAAATGGGTGAATGAAAAGTTGAATGCGCTTTTTATTGTCACCGGTCTTTTTACGAGGAAATACCTCTAAATTCTATCGGGAGAATTTTAAAATGTCACAACTGAAATGGGCAGTTGAAATTAAAACATTTTGGTAATAAATGTAAGACTGTGAATTAAAGTTTCATTTGAACATGATCACAGCACGGTTTTTTTTTGTTAGTATGATTATAATGTTGTGAGAGAGAAGGTAAAAACCCTGTATTAGTTTGGACCTATTTTTCTTCAAATAAACTGAATCCCACCTGTTGGATTGGGATCCTTTAAAAGACAATAAACTGACTCCCACCTGTTGGATTGGGATCCTTTAAAAGACACCTGTGCCCTCCTCTCCTGCGTCAAAGGTAAGATTGCACCCTGCCACACACACTTAGGTAGGAGCACACTCCATTTACTGATATCAAAATCCTTCGGGATCGCTTAAACAGATTAAAAGAGAGTTGTCTGAATTGAAACAGCAGTTAATTGAACCTGGTTCTTCGGGGGGGTTAGGAAGAGGTGAGATCTTGCTGACGTTGGTGGATCTGAGCCACGCAGCAAACTTACATAGACTCAATAATCTTCGGAAAGGTCAATTAGGAGGTCAGAATAATTTACCGGAATAAATTATCAGGACCTCTCAAAACTCTAAACATGGCGCCCAACGTGGGGCTCTGTGAAAAGTAATATTTTTACAGAGTCAAAATACAAGAACCAAAACGACCTAGTGAAAAAAGTCGAGGAATATAAATCAGCGAAATACAGGCTGAAAGTCTTGTTAAAATACCTACCCCAAATCCTAGAATATATATAATTAAACCTGAAAGTGTAGTAATTTAAGTTAATACTATTGCACCGGACTGAGGGTTATATTATATCGGATATAGCTGTCTGATTAAAGAAGCTAAAGAAGGTTCATTTTCCCCTAGTCAAATTGAGAAGCCTGTGGTCCCTTTAACACAGGTTTAGGTGGCTAAAGTGAAGTCAGCCGTAGGAGCACTGCTCAGTACTTGTCCAATTACTTTGAAACTTATAGGTAGGACTTGACCAAGAGCTGCGGTTTGAACTTTTGCGTTAAAACATAACGTGGGGAAGAGTTAATAGGAGATTTAATAAAGATAAACATAGGTCTAAAGGTACCTATGCTGTTTAAAAAATTCGAAGCTCGGTAAATACAACTCTTAGCTGAGGTACCCGCATGTACTAACTGAATCCAGAAAGAGAACTTAGAACCAAGTGACGGTATAGTCGGACTGATCACCCGTCAAGAGTAAAGCCTAGGAACTTGCATGTGTATAAAAGAGTGAACTTGAAGCCTTTAATACATTTTTGTGTTGTTTTTTAAAACAAACAAACAAAGATAAATGGCGGACGAGGTTAGAACGCAGTTTTTAATGACTCGGAGCCAACCACACAGGGGGGATACACAGAAGCAAAATCCGGAGCTTCTGCCCGCCCAGGTCAGCTTAGCCCAGACCCACGGGCGTACCGCGACCAAAATACTTTCCTGTCAGACTACCGTTTGACAGAGAGCAACAAGCAGGTGGTATAATGTTTGAGACCCTATCTCCACCATACAGGGATAAAAGCTCAAAAAATGCCATTTAGGAGTATCCCATCTACTACTCCTAGAAAGAAAAAAAAAACACATTGTTAGACATGATATTCAGGAAAAAGGAATGTTGGAAATAAATAATGTCAAATATTGAAAATCCTAAAACTGGATCAACAAACCAGGTTAATAAACCCTGCTAATAGGAAGCTAAAACATGCAGGAGAAATAGCAGTAGCTCTGGCAAAGAGAATAGGTCCTAGCATGCAATAACAGTGTGATAATATGATAAGGACTATTAAACTGTCAGAAGGCGATGTGGTGATCAGATGACCCACAAATACCGGTTGTTTTGAATGTACTTTTAAGAAAAAACCTATGTGGGAACTATCAGCAGATAATCAAGCCCCAAAAATATCTTCAAAACTAATATGAGAAAGTTTTTGCGAAGCTAAAGCTCAAATACTTTACCAAAATCAACTAAACTATTTACTTTTGACCCCTTTTTGGGAATGGGATTTTCCGTTACACAACGGAAAACTCAATTCAAGCCTTAAAGAACATCATAAAGACAAGTCAATGAGAGTTAAATGTGGTGCTATTTTGCTCATGAAGGAGAATACACTTTTGGAAAAAAGGTTTCCTCTTTTCTCTGCTCCCGAGGTGCTGCAGAAACACGCAGCACACAGGGTCAAAGACAGGCGTGACCTCTGGAGGGGAAGAAAATTCGAGCAGACCACGAAAGACCATTAAAAGTTTTATGGCCTCAGCTCAGAGGAAGATCTGGAGATTTTAAGGAACTCTCCCAAAGCATCCCCCACCCCAGCACAAGGGAAATAGTGTTCCTCTCACCAACTCTTAACCAAGTCGAATCTAAAATAGACATAGCTCCAGTTGTTAAGAAAAGAGGGAGATTCAAAAAATTATCTTAACACCAGAACAATAATATCAAATATCAAAAACCAAAATAGTATGTTGAGACCCATTCTCAGAAACTAACAGTGTGGAGATAAGGAACCAGGGTGATAGAAAATCTGTGTTATTCATGTCCATGACTTGATCAGGAACAGAGGGAAAATTATCACCTGAAGAGAAGCATCTTGCACTTGCATTAAAAATGTATCCAGCTCTGAGGGAAATGTCTCAAGGTACCTAAATGTGCATATACACTCTTTATTTTTCAATATCTGAAGCTACTAAACAAACTGTTCAGGGAGCAGAAACAATGATGAGTAGATGGAGAAAATGGAAGATGATAATGTCTGATCCAGATGTGGGGTGCAGAGGACCTCAGGAAGTAAGCCACAAAGGGAAACATTGAAACCCTTACAGAAAACCGCTACTCCACAGATAACACTGTTTACAGATGGGAGTTTGCGAAAAGGTGACCAAGCAGCCACTTGGGCCTTTATAAAGAAAACTAATTCAGGTGAAGTACTTTGCAAGCAAAAGGGTGCAATACCAGGTACAGCCTGCTGAGGAAAAGGCCATTTGTTGAGGGACTTCCTTTTGCTAAAAAAGGAAAAATAGCACACATCCGTATTATTACTGATAGTGATTATTATTAAAAAGCGGGTAAAGAAGAGCTTAATAATTGGAAACAAAGGCAGTTCAAAAATGTGAAAGGTGAAACGCTGACACATGCCCATCTATTGAGGGTCTTATTGCAGAGTTAAAGGCAGGCATGTAGAATGGAATCATGTCCGTAGCCATATAGATAAGATATAATTTAACTATCAGGGTAATAGAGAAGTTTGACCTTGCTTAAAGCACGGGACGAGTTAACCACCGGACTGCCATATTCCCTAGAATATGGAAAAAGGGTGGAAGCAGTCACGTACCACCTGAAGAAGCTCCTTAGGTTGTGCGTGAATTACACAGCAGTTTAGGCCATGTGGGCCTATTTCAGATGAGAAAATATTGTCTCCACAATAAAATCCTCTTACCAAAACTGCGATTGCACCTACAACACACATGGTCAACATGTCTTCAATGTGTAGAGGTGGATGGGTTTAAGAAAGTTCATCCTGAGCATCTTAAAATAATAGAGGAAGAACCACTAACCATTTTTAGTGCTGGCATAAGCAGGTCCTTTTCTGACCCGCACTCCCAGTGGGAATAAGTATTTCCTTGTGACCTTTGATAAATGGAGGGAGTCATAAACATGTTTATCCTCTGACCAGAGCAACTGGAACACAGTGTCTGCTAAAATGGCGGAACATATAAGTATTTTTCCTAAAAACTGAGGAAATAGGAATGGATAATGTCACTCACTTTAAAAATGAGAAAGTTTTTGTCACCCTTGCAGGATAAAGAAATCACACCTATCTGGTCTTTACCATATAAGTATCAGGCGTTAGAGCCAAAGAGTGGAGTATAAAAAACTGTAAAACAAATTGGGACATTCCAATCAATTTGACAAGGCTGAATATATTTCTATAAGTATGGAAAAGCTACCTAGGGCAAAGGTCAGGTCATATCTAACTATCACACCTTTTCCGTTTAAATTCAGAAATCGTGTATGGGTGACCAGAAAGGGGCAAAGTCCAGAGAAGGGTTAGCTTAAAACTAAATCAGAAGGTTTGGATACAGTGAAGTCAATCTCTGGGAAAGTAGTTTCACTCCAGAAGAGAGGACCGGTTCACCCGAGCCAACAGAGTTTAGAATCAAGATAGGAATATGACTGCGGCCTACCCATCCACTATTGATGCTATCAGTCTCACATCACATGACATGTTTTGCACACACACGTGGCAGTTAATGTGCTTTCTTCCACAGGAGAGGATGGCTTTTTGTGGGATCTTCCCGCAATAAGTTAGAATTTGTCTTGGTGAATTCTGTACCAAGGGATATTTTATAGAGCAAAAGAGGGAATTTAAATCTGAGTAACAAGCAATAGCTCCAATGCAAAGGATTTAGCAGTAGAACTGTTAGAATCTATAGTGAATTATGCAGAAAGATGGCAAGACGAAACTCTGTCTATTAAGCATATGGATCATTAGAGCTTGGATGGAGAATACCTCAGTATCAAAGAGGAAATGGAAAATAACCTTTATATTATTTTTCTCATTGTTTTTTAACTTTACACTATTAGTTTTCTTTTCAGTTATTTTTAATTGATATACGCTTACACCCTAAAAAGAGTATTCATTTAAATTAGATTTTTTGAGCACATCTCTCCTTCTTTTTTGCTGGTTCTCACACAGCATGAAGGTGTAGGGCTGTCAGGTCGTTAAACTGATAAGAGTAAATTATGGCCCAGTGCTTTCTGCCATTAGAGGCCAACTGAGTAAGAGGAGAAACAATCACCTTGCTGTGTATAGAAATTACAGAGAAATATGGAATACACGACTCTCTTGAGAAAACCCTTGGGGAAGTTTTTATTTGAACTGAAACAACTTTTTATGGATCAGAGAAATGATTTAAACTTGAGTTTAGCTATATTGTTGAGATTAATACCTCAGCAATCTACCAAGAGGATTTGAACCTGCCTAGCGGGGAAACTTCAGTCACAGTGCCTCAAGTGAAGCTAAGTAGACTCCTGGACCCAGGAAACCTGTGCAGAAGGACCGGAAGGGGCAAGCGGTGAAAAGGAGGAGACTCGTAAGAGAAAAGAGCGATCTGATTCGGAGGTCTCCCCGGGTGCCCAAGCCAAAAAGATGTCCTTGCTGTCAATAGAAATTCCAGAGGAACATGGAGTACCAGACCCCTTGGAAGGATTCCTGGGGGAAATTGTTTCAATTGAAACAATTATTAATGGATCAGAGGCTGAGTCACCTATGACCCCGCCAGAGAAGGAGGATGATTCTTCCAGCTCTGTGGGACAGGCTGCATCTCTACCCGCTGAGCCACTCAGATCGCAGTGGATTTCCCAGGAAAGGATGACAACTACCTGATAACTGCATGGTCAGATATCAGACGCCAGGTAGCAGCAACCCTACCTACCCCCGGCCACTGGTCCACTTCACCATCTCCAACCCGGTGACTTCGTGCTGGTCAAGGACTTCCGGAGAAAGAGCTGGAAATCCAACCGTTGGCAAGGTCCCTACCAGGTGCTCCTCATCACCCAGACAGCGGTCAAGGTCACCGAGAGAGCCACGTGGGTCCACGCCAGCCACTGCAAGGTCGTAGTCACAGGCCAGGAGAGACGGTAGAAACAGACGACAACAAGTGATGTGTCCTAGTCACCAACGAAAGACGACAACAAGTACCACCAGCACCACACTGGCACCACATACACCTAATCTCACACTGCACACACAGGATGTCATGAGCGAGGGCCAGCTAAGCTGTTTCATATGCCTCTGGTTCCTCGTTTGTGCTATCATTGTGTGGGGACTCATTGACCTTGTCACAAAGTCATGAGCGATTATTGACGAGGTCTAAAAAATCCATAACAACTGTCGACCGAGTTATCTGGTTTTTCGTTTGGAGATGTCGTCCAGCGAAAAACTGCAACCCCTCCATGGTCAGGGTCAAGGATATACATCAGATAGCAACATGGATTTAGGAGTCTACAACAGATGGGCCCCTCGCCCAAGGACATTCCTGTACGGTACTATGTTTTCGGTGTTTTTTCACACCAGGTTCATCAAAGGGTCATCCTGATTACACATACTGAAGAACTTTTCATGATATTGATGCGTGGAGTTTTACGGATGTAATATGTATGTGTTTTTACGATTTTATCTGTTGATATTTGAAAACTTTGCGTTTGAAAAGAGGGTGTTGAGATCTTCATATGAAGTGAATACTTAAAACGAAAGTTAATTGAGATCATGGTATGAAGTGAATACTTAAAAAACGAAAGTTAATTATAAATCATACATGATCAATCATATTCTTGTATAAACCCATAATGAGAATGCTTCTTGACGGTTTTTGAATATGAATCTATGCTTACAATTTTTTCTGTTGCTATTTGAGAACTTTGCGTTTTGAAAAGAGGGTGTTGTGAGTTTTCATAGTATGTTTAATACTTAAAAACGAAAGTTAGTTATAATCAAATATAATCAATTATATTCTTGTATAACCCACAATGAAAATGCTTCATATTTTAGGTTTTCTATAGTTACAGTATAAACAAAACAAAGTGGGTTGTTTAGGTTGAGTTTTCTTCCTCTCCTCTGGCAGCAGTCCACAGGGAGGGGCTTCACACTAAGGGGAGAAACATTAAGAGGCCAAAGAGAGTTCATGTCCTTTTCACCCTAACATGAGAGGAGGAGTTTTGTTTTTTTGGGTTTAGGATCCAGTTTTTTTAGCATAAAGAGACTGGTTTTTTGAGAGAGCGCGAGAGAGGGGGGGTGACCCCTGGTAGACTCTCTCCGGGTAGGCTGTGTGCTTCAGAGCTGGGTTAATAGCTCTCGGTAAGGTCTTTCTAGACGGGGTAAATATCTCTCGAATGTATTGGTTGTTGGCTGAGTGGAATGATTTGATGAGAGAAAGTGTGTGAACCTTTATAAATACCGCGACCTGTGGGGAAAATCTGGTCCCCCGAATTTTGCGGACAGGAATGGGTTTTTGAGTGTTAATCCGCCGTCTGTGTCGGAAAAAGTGTATGAAACTGAAGTGAATAAATGGGTGAATGAAAAGTTGAATGCGCTTTTTATTGTCACCGGTCTTTTTACGAGGAAATACCTCTAAATTCTATCGGGAGAATTTTAAAATGTCACAACTGAAATGGGCAGTTGAAATTAAAACATTTTGGTAATAAATGTAAGACTGTGAATTAAAGTTTCATTTGAACATGATCACAGCACGGTTTTTTTTTGTTAGTATGATTATAATGTTGTGAGAGAGAAGGTAAAAACCCTGTATTAGTTTGGACCTATTTTTCTTCAAATAAACTGAATCCCACCTGTTGGATTGGGATCCTTTAAAAGACAATAAACTGACTCCCACCTGTTGGATTGGGATCCTTTAAAAGACACCTGTGCCCTCCTCTCCTGCGTCAAAGGTAAGATTGCACCCTGCCACAGACACTTAGGTAGGAGCACACTCCATTTACTGATATCAAAATCCTTCGGGATCGCTTAAACAGATTAAAAGAGAGTTGTCTGAATTGAAACAGCAGTTAATTGAACCTGGTTCTTCGGGGGGGTTAGGAAGAGGTGAGATCTTGCTGACGTTGGTGGATCTGAGCCACGCAGCAAACTTACATAGACTCAATAATCTTCGGAAAGGTCAATTAGGAGGTCAGAATAATTTACCGGAATAAATTATCAGGACCTCTCAAAACTCTAAACAACTGCTAATATGCATGTTAATTAACAGTTAATGGTTAATTTGTGTACCTTAATATAAAGTGTTACCAAACATGTTCTGTGGGTTGTGTCTGAGAAGCTGAAAGTATCTGGAGGCTAAAATAAAACTCAGAACAACCTACCCTCAGCTCGCCTTCTAAAATAAATGCATGCGTCAGTCAGTACCTCTGTGGTTTTTAACTTTGTCTCGAGTGTGAGAAAGTCTAACAGCTGCTGCTCGTACCATCATGAGACACAGAGAAGTTACCTCACACTCAACCTGAGCAGAAGAAGAGATACAACGCTGAAGAAGTGATCATGTCCTCGGCTCGTGGTGTTCATTGTGTTGATGACCAAACTCTAACCTTTTTACATGAGTTATTTCTGTGTGACCCTGAGTCTCCCAGAATGCAGCAGTCCCACCAGCAGCAGCAGCAGAGCCACCATCACTACGGTGAACACAGTCCTTGAGACGAGGAGGACGTGAAGGGAGTGATCTGAGCAGGGACACGTCTCTCTGTGAACAGCTGCAAACACAACACAACGTGAATATGAATATATATATATATATATATATATATATATAACCTAGAAACTCCAGATAAATCCCCCAAATGTTAGCTTTAATGCAATATCTCACCTCTGACAGCCAGCCAGCTCTCTGGTGATTCTCCACCTTCAGAGATGCTGCACTTGTAGAGTCCTTCATCAGATTTAGAAACTCTTTGGATGGTGATGTTTCCTGTAGAGCTGCTCCTGATGAGGCGGCCATCTTTGTAGAAATCAGCTGAGAGGAAGGAGATCTGGTTTCTGCAGCTCAGAGTCACAGATTCTCCGTCTCTCACAGGGAGGAGAGGACTCTCCAGGATCACAGAGCCAGCTGAGAAACAAATGTTTTAAAGCATTTTCATAACATTTAAAAACACCAGTTCAGAGCCTGTCCAGGATGTGGTCGTGCCGCAGCTTCTTGGGTTTAAAGGGTGGGTTGAAGTCCAAGAAGGGAAGACCAGGTTTTTACAGTTTTCTACAGAACTGCTGATTCAAACGGCTTCAAGCGGGGCACTAAAATCCCTCTGAATAACACACGCCTGGCAGGAAGTAGATCTCTGCACTTCACTAGAGAATCGTAACTCAGAAACATACAAACAAAGAAACGTCTGTCATTAATGTGACTCACATGATTTCTCAGTTTCTGGGCTCTAGATTTGAGTTATCTCTTCTTTGAGCCCTCTCTTACCGACTTTGACGTTTAATTAGATAATCTCATACATGTTATTTATATATCTCACCTCTGACAGCCAGCCAGCTCTCTGGTGATTCTCCAACTTCAGAGATGCTGCACTTGTAGAGTCCTTCATCAGATTTAGAAACCCTGCGGATGTTCATGTTCTCTGTAGAGCTGCTCCTGATGAGGCGGCCATCTTTATAGAAGTCAGCTGAGAGGATGGAGGAAGTGGTCGTCTTGTTTCTGCAGCTCAGAGTCACAGATTCTCCCTCCATCACAGGAAGCACAGGACTCTCCAGGATCACAGAGCCAGCTGAACAACATCGGGACAAAATGTACAAATGTAATCATAATAGTAATTCACATTAAAGAAAACATGAGATAACTTAGACAGAGGGCATCATGAAATACTGTGAATGTAAAGTGGAAGAGTAACATGCACAGAATGAATGAAAATATTAGATAAAATAGAACAAAATGATGAATATATCAGAAAAAAATCAGTAATGTAACGTGGTGTATCGTCTGCATAGAGGTTCATTCTAACCAAATGTCCCCTGAGACAGCATTACATGTTAAGCATAGATTCTGTGTTACTTATACTAAACTAATCTAAAAGGTTTCATTGCATACTAAGAACAAACCTAGACCTGCCAGGTGGGTTTTCAAATAGGAGTTTACCTTGCTGTAAATATATATATGAACACATTTTGCAAAACTATTATAAAATGTGTACAATAAATATTAATTTAAAAAAAAGAAATGAATATATAGATGTAATATTAAAAAGAGGGGTTATATAAAATGTTATAAAATATCTGCAGTATATCTCAATTCAAGGAAAAGAGCATTGCAGTTTAAAAAAAAAATCGTAATTATGATAAACATACCGGTGACCTTGATGTCGACAGAGTTGCTCTTCTCTCCTTTCTCATCCTCACACCAGTAAACCCCGCTGTCCGGTGCATAGGCTGATTTAATGGTGCAGTTCAGTGTTGATGAAGCAATAATATAACAACCCTGAATTAACTCATTGTTGTTCCTAAACCCTCTCAGAGCAGAGCCAAGACCCTCGCAGAGAAAAGAGAAGGGTGTGTATTCAAAGAGCTGCAGTCTCTCTGCGATCATTTGCAAAGCTGCGTCTGAGGACAGAAACAGAGACAACAAAACATCTGATCAATAAAAAGAACTATGATAAAAATCGGAAGAATTGAAAATTGTCAAAGTGAGCTGGAGGTTTTCACAATCTGGAACGTTTGGTTTTATGTCAACCTACGATTCAGGTAAAAGAATATAAATAATGTAAACTGCATTAACATTTCTCTAAAAACAGATGCATTGAAATGTTTATTATCAGCCTTGTGGGAATTAAAGACTTAAAATAAGGAAATAATTATGTATGGTATTTTAAAAGTGTATCTTTAGTAGTTGTTACCCACCATTGTTTCTCGTAGAGCTCTTCTGAATATGAGCACCCAACAGAATGATGACACACGTCACTGGATATAAAAGTAAAGAAAACTGTAAATCAGCCTCATATGTGTTTGATATAAAAGAATAAATGCAAGTTGAAAGAAAGCTGAGACTCACACAGTCGGCTGCAGAGCGCTGTGACCTCCATGATGTCTTCCTGCTGTCTGAGCGTCTCACTGAGAGACACAGAAATATAATGTGAGTGAGAACTTCCTCTTCCTGTGCAGAGTGCTTCTGAGGCTGGGGTCAGACTCTCTGTGGTTTCAGCTCAGAGCTTTAGCTGAAACCGTTAACAGTTAACACGTGGCTGAGTACATCATGAAAAAAGAAACATAGTTGAGCGTTATAGACAGTGGACAATATGTGCTCACTTTGTGCATAAAGAAGTATGGTCATGTTGAAACAGGCCTACCCAAAAACTAGCCCTAATAATGTGATCAACTCCATTAAATCACGAGGAAACAAACTCAAAACAAGACGATTCATTCAAGTGGGTACCATCCTTAAACCAGACACACAAACTGAACCTCCTGCTGGTGGTTTTCTGCGTTACAGGCAGAAGGGCCATGCGCACTGCTGAAGTGTGTCATGTGTCTTTACCTGTTTGCTCTTCTTTTCCACTTTTCCCTGCAAACTGTGCATTGGCACATTTTTATCTGTCATAAGATGTCCTATTTCTTCTTCTTCATCTTCAGAGACGTTCTTTCCTGCTTTATCAACTTCATCCATATGGTTTCTCTTTGTCCCTGGGGGAAATAAAATCAAGATATCAAATACAATAAGTTGCACTTGAGGAAGTCTTTGAAGCATATGAGACGTTTAAGTCAAACATGAGCTATACAATTGAGTGTATATTTAAAAAGAAACCACCATTTTTTGTATCAACACCAGATCCTGTAAAACACCGACCTTGGGATTGTTTGAAAGATGGCAAATAAAGCTCAACAAGGAGAACTATTTATGTTTCCTTTACATGACAAACTATTGAATAACCTTATCTGAATGTTCAATCTTAATTATGTGCTTGCAGTATTATCATACACTTAATGCATTATATATATAAAACAATCCATTATGTCTTTTGCTCACCTGTCTTGGTTTGTCTCCATTTCCAGACAAAAAGTACAGCAGCGATCACAAACATGAATCCGAGTGGGTACCATCCTTAAACCAAACCCACAAACTGAACCTCCTGCTGGTAGTTTTCTGCGTTACAGGCAGAAGGGCCATGCGCACTGCTGAAGATATAAACACAGGGCCGGCACATGTATATCGTATCTTATCATAGGAAATGTAGGCGAATGCTCATCCATCCAAATAGGGGGGGGCAGAAAACAATGAAATATCAAAATAATTAACTTTTAGTATTTCTTTACAATTGTTTTTACTAATACTATTAATAATAAATATTAGATAACAACAACATAACTAGCCCTAGAGTAAATTGCATACAGAGCCCACTGTGGTGCCCCCCAGAGACAGGTGGTAGGACCTGCACACTTTGTATATGTTTTTTGAGACCCCAAAGATTTAGTCTCTTAAAGTTGCCCTCAATGTGCACCAGATTGAAGCATTTCACTCCCGGGGTCATGCCCCCGGTCCCCCCTAGAGGAGATGAGGTCCACCCCAATTAAGGGGGGAAGTCAGCTAAAATCTTGCCAGGGGTAACAAAAATGTGAGGGCCGGCACTTTTTAAACACACTAGAGTAGCTGCACAGCCTCAGGTCAGAGTTTATTATCTGATGGAGATGGTCGGGTTTAATCTGTGTTCAATTCTACGAATGAGCTGTACAAACACTGGAGACGAAACAGCTCCATGAACACCATCGTGCAAGGCTACTAGTCCTTCAAAATCCTGCCATCTTTATCTTTTATCTGTCTTTACCTCACACACACACACACACACACACACACACACACACACACACACACACACACACACACACACACACACACACACACACACACACACACACACACACACACACACACACACACACACACACACACACACACACACACACACACCAGAAGAAAGTCTGAAAGATATTATTCAAACTGAGAAGTCCCGCCCCCTGCAGTAAAAGATCAGACATGTCCTCTGCCTTAATAGATAATTGCCTTTCAACCATTGCCACAATAAAACAATATAAAAAGTCCATCGCAACTGATTTTATTAGCATGTATTAATTTATAACCTGTAACCAAGATACTGAATCCAAAGTTCAGATATTCATAAAACGAGACACTCAAAGTGAAACTCAGATAACAACTCAGTGGATAAAATTACACTAAACTTTTTTTTTTGTGAAACTTTAGTAAGAAATGTCTCTTGCTTTTGCAGAAACATTTGCACAATGAACAAATATAATACAAAACATTAAATAACTACTTAGAAGTTCAGTGGAAGAATTTAATGAGTCATTACTATATCTAAACTGCCAGAACCTGTTAATGATTTACAGACTTTGTCCTCGCAGGCAGGTGAAGAGACTCGCAACATTCAACAGGTAAGCGGACTTCGTCTAACATTTTAGCTAAAACTGATTATAAATGTTTGGAAAAAAGTGAGTCTGAATTGGAGTTCTCTGATAACCACCATTTCTGATTATAGCAGATAATAAAAGCTTTGTTAATGTTTCAGTTGTAAGTCAATTATGTTTTGCTATATTTTTTCATAGCAGAAGAATTAGTAAAACACATTTGAAGTTCAGTTCTAACTCTGGTCTTATTATTTCTGTTTTTGGTTCGCTTCCAGTTCTCCATGATGCTTCTCCACATAGACGGAAAGCCCCTTAACCCTCATCTGAGAACTCTCAGTGTTCTGGTTTTCCATCTTCTCCTAACACACCACTGTAGAGGTAACTAACACACAATACAATATCGTAAATGTTTTATTTCCAAACGTATAGCACTGTAAACCCTTTTGAGATTAGATACTATTATCTGAAAGCTTGGTTCAGTTTCAGAAAAGTGTTTCAGACAAACATGCTGTTATTTTGTTTCCTGCTAACCACTAAGTTGTAGAAATCCAAACTTAGCCACGAGGCTAGGGTTAGCTTATAAGTTTGTCTCTTCCCTTGGAAAAGTGGCAAGCAGAGCCAAACTTCTGTAATGGCCCAAAAGCTGCTACGACAACAGTTCTGTCAGTATTTTTTGGGGGCGAGGGAAATCAACTTCCTTGTACAAACAGTTGAACATCCCTTATGGGTGTCACGATCTGTCTGTGTTGTGTTTTGTTTTGTCTAGATCTGTCTTTGGTTTCCTGTTTTATTTTCAAAAGTGTTCACCCCCCGTCTTGCCTGTTGCTTCCTGTCTGTGTGTTCCCTCCTGCCTGATTACCCGATTGTGTTCACCTTGTGCCCCTGTGTTTTCTCCTCCCTCCTCATCTGTGTCTTGTTTGTTTCATTAGTCCTGTGTGCATTTAGGTTCTGCTTTTTCTGTTAGTCTTTGTGAGATCCTTGTTTGTTGTTGACTGTGTTCACGGGTGAGAGAGTTCTGCTCTGGATTTTACTTGTAGCCTTGAAATAAAGGTATTTTCTGTTAAATCTGCATTTGGGTCCTGCCTGCTTCGCTCAACCCTGACAGAAGGATCTCACCAAGAATGGACCCAGCAGACTGTATGAGGTTAAGTACAATTTAATTTGCTTTAAAAATGACTGTTGATACGGCTCCAGTAGAGAGGAAAGGCAGTCTATCATCTCTACGGCACACCAAGAAGTAACCTCGGGGCCTTGGTTAAGGGACTTACTACCCGAATGGGTGGAGTACTTTTTCGGTAGCTTTGAGGTCAAACCTTTTTCCCGGCCTGCTAGCCCCAGGCATGCCAGCCGCCTGCCTACAACAGTTCCCAACAAGGCTCCTTTCAAGGACCCTTTCGCTGGCCTTTGGAGGACCTCTGAGCCTCCGCAAGGTTTCAAGCCAGCATGGAAAGAAACGCAAGGCCAGGATTCCAGTTCCCGGCCCCAGCAGCCATGGTTCCGGCTCCAGTACCGCCCCCTGGAGCCATGGTTCCGGCTCCAGTACCGGCCCCTGCAGTCATGGTTCCGGCTCCAGTACCAGCCCCAGCAGCCATGGTCCCTGCTCCAGTACCGGCCCAAGCAGCTGTGTTTCCGGTTCCAGTACCGGCCCCTGCAGCCATGGTTCCGGCTTCATTTCCGGCTCCAGTTCCGACTCCAGTTCCGACTCCAGTACCGGCCCCAGCAGCCATGGTTCCGGCTCCAGTATGAGCCCCAGCAGCCATGGTTCCTGCTCCAGTACCAGCCCCAGCAGCCATGGTTCCGGCTTCAATTATGCCTCTAGTTCCGACTCCAGTACCGGCTCCAGCAGCTATGGAGCTGCTGCGTACCGGCTCCAGTTCCGGCTTTCCGGCCCACTCCTGCCATGGTTCCGCCGGGGGTCCTGCCGACACCATGTCCTGTCCTGTTGGGGGTCCCGCCGACACTTGTCTCGCCGGGGGTCCTGCCAACTCTATGTCCTGTCCCGTTGGGGGTCCCTCCGACTACTGTTCTGCCGGGGGTCCTGCCAACCCCATGTCCTGGTCCGTTGAGGGTTCCACTGACTACTGTTCTGCCGGGGGTCCTGCCAACCCCATGTCCTGTTCCGTTGGGGCTCCGGCTGACACCTGTCTCACCGGGGGTCCTGCCAACTCTATGTCATGTCCCGTTGGGGGTCCCGCCGACTACTGTTCTGCCGGGGGTTCTGCCAACCCCATGTCCTGGTCCGTTGGGGGTTCCGCTGGGGCTCCTGCCAACTCTGTGTCCTGTTCCGTTGGGGGTCCCGCTGTCACCTGTCTCGCCGGGGGTCCTGCCAAGTCCTTGTCCTGTTTTCGTTGGGGTTTCCGCTGGGGGTCCTGCCAACTCTGTGTCCTGTTCCGTTGCGGATCTGGCCGACGACTGTTCTGCCGGGGTCCTGCCATCCCCATGTCCTGTTCCGTTGGGGGTCCGGCCGACGCCTGTTTCGTCGGGGGTCCTGCCGACTCCATGTCCTGTTTCGTTGGGGGCTCCGCTGAGGGTCCTAGCAACTCCATGTCCTGTCCCGTTGGGGGTCCCGCCGACTACTGTTCTGCCGGGGGTCCTGCCAGTCCCATGTTCTGTTCCGTTGGGGGTCTCGACGGGAGTCCTGCCAACTCCGTCTCCTGACCTGTTAGGGGTCCCACCGACACCTGTTCCATCGGAGGTCCAGCCAGCTCTGAATCCTGTTCAGTCAGAGGTCCCGCTGCCGCCAGATCCTGACCTGCCAGGGGTCCCACTGACTGCAGCTCGTATTCTGTCCTGGGTCCCACTAACACCAGCCCATGTTCTGTCCTGGGTCCCGTCTGCACCTGTCCCGACGGCTCCGGTTCCTGTCCCACCGGTGGTCCCGCCATCTCCAGCTCCCTGTGATCCTGCTCCGGCGGTCCAGCTGACCCCGGAGGGGCCCCATCGCGGCCTACGCCGTCTCCCTGCCCGTCGTCCGGAGCTGTCCCGGCACTGCCTTCCTGCCCGTTCTCCGGAGCTGTCCCGTCGCCGCATTCTTGCCCGTCCTCGTGCCCAGCCCCCTGAGTTCCCCAGCCGCGGCCTTCGCCCTCGAGCCCGGCCCCCTGAGTTCCCCAGCCGCGGCCTTCGCCCTCGAGCCCGGCCCCCTGAGTTCCCCAGCCGCTGCCTTCGCCCTTGAGCCCGGCCCCCTGAGTTCCCCAGCCGCGGCCTTCGCCCTCGAGCCCTGGCCCCCTGAGTTCCCCAGCTGCTGCCTTCGCCCTCGAGCCTGGCCCCCAAATGTATATATATAGAAATGTATTGATTGGGATAAACCCCTTGAGATGCACCATCTCCTTTTCAAGGGGGTCCCCGTCGAGGCCTTCACCCCTGTCTTCGGCCCCCTGGGTTTCCCCCGCCGCGGACTTCCCTGCCCTTTTGCCTTGCCCCCGGGCCACCTCCTCGTTCTCCACCATGCCCCCGGGCCGTCCGCCCGAGTCCCCCTTCTCGGCTTCTGCTTTGCCCCCGGGCTGTCCGCCCCTGTGTTTTCTCCTCCCTCCTCACCTGTGTCTTGTTTGTTTAATTAGTCGTGTGTGCATTTAGGTTCTGCTTTTTCTGTTAGTCTTTGTGAGATCCTTGTTTGTTGTTGACTGTGTTCACGGGGGAGAGGGTTCTGCTACTTAAATAAAGGTATTTTCTGTTAAATCTGCATTTGGGTCCTGCCTGCTTCGCTCAACTCTGACAATGGGTCCTAAAAACTCTAAAATAAAGCTTTAAACCTGGGGTGGGGTATAAGGAAAATGCCCATGGAATGGGCGGAATGGATGAAGATTGGGGTAATGTTGTACTGGAAAGACAGGCCATTTTGACTTCATGTACAACTGACAAAAGGTTATCTTTATACATTATTGGTGTATATTCCTTTTTCTGGTTGCTTTTTAAGCTCTTGTTGCAATGCTGAATGTGCTATAAGGTAGACCAGCTAAGAGGTGCAGAAGTCAATGTATGTTGCCATAAGTCAATATATGGGGTGACTAGATCTTATATTGTTGTCGTTTGCATCCACTGTCTACTATCCCTTGTTAAAATATTGCTCTGTTTATTCCAAAAAGATAATGTATACATGTTATTATTTCCAGGTCAGTCTCAGCTGATTGGCTCACCTCAGCCAGTAGTAGCAAACCTTGGCGGTGACATCATTTTGCCGTGTTATCTGGAGCCGGCGGTAAATGCTACCGATTTGACGTTGGAGTGGACGAGACCCGACCTGAACCCCAGATTCGTCCATGTGTTGCGTTCTAGTCATGAACTAAAGGGGATGAAACACACAATCTTCAAGGGAAGAACATCAATGTTCATCGATGAGCTGAAGAACGGAAACATTTCCCTGAAACTCTCCAACGTACAACTCTCCGATCAGGGGAAATACAGATGTTTCATTCCAGAACAGGACCGGCAAGCTTTTGTTAAACTAGTTTTTGGTAAGTGTGTAATGTACATATGTGTTTACGGTGCATGTTTCTCTACTTTCACCTCCAGGCAAGGATTATAGTTGTGTCTCTGTGTTTCAGAGACTCTGACGATATGAAAATATTTACACTACATTTTCTAGAGTTGGTAGACAAACGTATCGGATTCCAGTTGTATGGAAAGCCAAAAGTGACATAATACTCAGTTATTTAGTTTAATACTCAGTTATTTATATAATAATTGAGAAATAACTGAATTTGAGGATACATATTGTTGAATACACCAAAAGTATGAAGAATGTAGTCTTTCCTTATGTTTTACCTAAAGGAAGCATATATATCAGTTCAATAGAATCCATCCAAGTAAACAATTTACAGTACTATAAAAAATGTTTTGTGTTAGTGTGAGATTTTGTTGTTTAAGTTGCAGTGGAACAGGCGGGTTTTCAGTGTGCGTCTGATAAAGTGTAGACTTTCTGCTCTCCTTAAAGGAGACCTATCATGCTATATTTGCATAATATATAGTAGGGCCATACCTATATAAGGTATATTTATACGGTTTTTTTTCAAAATACCAAACAGATCATGCATTTTAGCCTTGCCTCATTTTGCTCTATTTTTCTCTCCTCCACCCTGTCTTTGCATGCGCTGCAGCTGACCACGCCCCCCTGCAAAGGAGGGGCCGAGTTACGAGCGTCATGTTACCATGCTGTTACCATGCCACGGCAACCTCTCATTCCCCTGATTGGTGGAGAGTTGGCCATATAGGCGGAGGTCCTTGTCACTGACGTCACACTATTTTCAAATCTGGTTGCAGCCCCGTTTTTAGAGATTTGGGTATGGAGGAAAAGAGAGACGGTTGTGTTTTCTGACACTTGGTGAGTTCCCTGACACACCGGGGACACATATTCATGTATACAAGACGTACAAAAGTGCATTTTGCATGATAGGTCCCCTTTAAATGAATAGGGAGCTTGTTCCACCATTTTGAAGCCAGGATAGTAAACAGGCATGTTTTAGTAGAGGGGTTACTTGCTCCAACTCACAGTGATGAGCCCATTGGACACTTACGTGAGGATTTGGATAGAAATGAGGCTGTAAATTGCACTAGGATTATAACAATAACATATTTTTCTGTGGCATCTACTCACCTGCTATCAGATATCAAATACTTCCTCTCCTTTTGACCAGCTTCAGCTGCTGCTCGCCCACCACTCGTAACGTTATCAGGGCTGGACGGTCAGAGCGGAGGAGTGGTGCTGCAGTGTGAGTCTGCAGGCTGGTATCCGGAGCCTGAGGTGTTGTGGCTGGACGCTGAGGGAAAGCTCCTCTCTGCTGGACCTCCAGAGACAGTCAGAGGTCCTGATGAACTCTATACTGTCAGCAGCAGAGTGACTGTGGAGAAGAGACCCAGCAGCAGCTTCACCTGCAGAGTCCAGCACCACAACACCACCCGCACCACACAGACACACTTCCATGTTCCAGGTAAAACATTAATCTTATGATACACTTACTGCTTTAGTCTCCAATATCTGAGACCAAGTTTTACATAAATGCCGTGATGCTCTGTGTTTTATCATTTCAGATGATTTCTTTAAGCTCCAGTCCAGGTCTTCTTCCGTCATTATCGGTCTGGCCGTCAGTTTGGCTGTTTGCATTCTGTTACTGCTGGCTGTGTCTTTCTTCTTTCTGTGGAGAGAACACATATTCAGTAAGTCACTAACAGTCGGGTGATTTGATTCAGTTTGTTTAAAGGGGCCCTATTATGCTGAGTGCTGTATGTTCTGTAGGTTTGTGTGCATGTTAATGGTCTGCAAAGACTACAATATCTCCCACAAACCCCCCCCCCTGCCTGAAACGCCTCCATTGGCTGTTTGCATTCTGTTAATGCTGGCTGTTTCTAATTCTCTTTCAACACATCTCAACACACGTTTCATTTCACACAGAGACAAAGATAAACCGATCTAAAACTAAAGATCAGTTTCTCAATGAAGGAGAAAGAGGACAGCTGATGAAACCTGACGCTGTGCAGATGGAGGCTTTGAAGGGAAACGTCGGAAAGAAGAGGAAAAAGGTAAGTAGAGAAACAACAACATGAAAAGTGAAGTCTTAGCAAGAAGCACAGAAGACTTTCACATCAAGATACAGGATCTGCCAGAAATGCATGAAAACAGGTGTCATTGTGTGGCACCTTAAGAAATGATCACTAAAGAAACGTGACTGTTCCTCTCATAGAAAAATCAATCTGAGCAGCAGCTGCTTGAGGAGCAGAGGAGGAAGGATGCTGAGAAGGAAGTCCAGACTCTGGAAGAGCAGCTGCAGAACAAGAAGAAAGAGGTTCATCTCCACTTCAATAATGAAACACATTGATTCCTGTTTGAAGTCTCTTTCAATGTCCTCCTTAGTGCAGACAAGGTCAAACCTGCAGTGCAGGTCCAAGTGGAGACCAACTCCAGACAGTCCTACTTTTAGACTGTGAATAAATGATGTTAATCTTCCTGCTGTTCTTTCAGGTTGAATCTAAAGAGTCTGAGCTGCAGGATCTCCATGCAGAGAAACAGAGGAACAAGAAAGAGCTGCAGAGCCTGAAGGGAGATCTGTGGAACAAGAACAGAGAGGTTCACGTCTCCATCTTTGATATTCTGCATTTATTGTTAAACAGAAAAGCATTTGAGGAAACCCCAAAACAAGTCATCAGGAGCAGTGACACAGCATACCACGCTTAGGTTTAGGCTTACAAGATGAATTGTAGTGCACTATGTTTACTTCAATACATGTTCTTCCATTCAGTAACATTGAGCATAACAGATCCACCTAACTGTATGAGCATCTATAATGATCACATGCTGTGATGTAGTGCTCACGTGTCTCTACATGTGTCTCCTCTACCAGCTGTGGAGAATTCAGAGGAGCCTAAACAGCATTTCCAGATTTGATCAGGTGAGTGGAAATTATGTTAGTGCATCACGGCTGTGGATCCTCAGATCAGGGGAACCGGTTCAATCCGCCCTGACCCCCACTGCAATCAACATGCCGCTGTGTCCTTGGGCAAGGCACTTCACCCTAAATCACTCCTGTGGGAATTGTCCACAGTATTGATGTTACGTGTCTGATATATGTCATATGTAATGTCAGCACTTTGAGCATTTGGAAAAGCGCTAAATAAATGTAATGAATTATTATTATTATTATTAGATAACCAAAAATAACAATGTAAACACAACAGGAAACGAGTCAATTATCTTAATATCAATGTACATCACTAATAGGTTGTAAAGAGATAATCAGACTGGATTCTTTAACACATAAAACTGTGCAACACTTTAAAGATTGAACAGTATGTTGAGTCACTTTTCTCCAAAAAATCCAGACTTCGGAAAGAGAAGAAGAACAGAAGAAGAAGAAGGATGAAGCTGAACAGGAAGTGGAGACACTGAATAAGGAGCTGGAGAGCAGACACAAGGAATCAGACACCAACATCACAGAGGTTACTGTTTGAATATGTTACTAAAAATATAGTTTTCAGTTGATCTTCTCTGTAGATACAGTTTATATGGATTAGTGCATGATAACGGTAAACGATGTATTTAGATTCTAGAGGTGTTTGGGGCAGAGTATGATAACTGTTCATGTCTAACATCAAACAGTTGATGATCATCCAAGAGTTCATGTCCTTAAGGTATGCTGGAAGTTTGGGTTATTGATTGGTATCATCTAGATAAAAGTGAAACTTCTGTAGTGTTTCCTTTTTAATTTGACCTAAAGGAAGCATTAATAAGTTCAATAGAAAAGGTCAAACCATGACTAACTCTTTAATCATAAATCAGGGTTCAGTCCTGCAGTGTAAACTAGACATGAGTTTAGTTTCCATAACAGATGCAGATGAGTCACTTTAGCCCTGATATACATATGAATAAAGGTTTATGATAAAACATGTCTCTCTCTCTCCTCTCAGTGTGAAGTGAAGGAAGCTGAAGTCCAGCAGCTGCAGGAGGAGGTTCAGAGGATGGAGACCAGCCTGCAGACCCTGATGGAGTCCTTCAACACGGAGGTTAGACTTCCTGCATGAACCTTGCTGTTTATATGAAGATGTATCGTCTGATTCTAGTTCAAAGGAGCCACATACACTTGTAGATGTGTTGAGCATCCTGGGTCACTTGAGTGTTCAATCAAAAATCCTGTTGCTGAATGTGATTATGGTTTCAAAACATCATTGTTTCTATACATGAAGTTTCACAGATATGTGCACTTCATTAAAACATTTCCAAAGCATATTTTACGAGTTTATAACCATAAATCCAGGTTTGGTCACCTCCATGTTTACAGTCTTCTCCTCGGTCATTTGATGTCCAATGCAGGAGTCTTTACAAACACATGGACCTAATCATAGAAGCACTTCTCCACAGAGCTTCCAGTGGAACTGATGATGTGAAATGAGAGCTTTAGTTGTTGAGATAATACAATGTAAAGACCCATGAACACGTCTGTCTTAATCTCTCCTTCTCTCCAGCTGGAAAGAAGCCGAGCTGTTGAAGCCAGTTCTTCCTCCTCTTCACAGGTCAGTGGGTTCAGATCAATACGATCAATACTCTCTTCTGGTTTCCTGACCTAAATAAAGCTTCCTTTATAATCTCTGGCTGCAGAAGAGCTGGAGGAAACCTGTGAACATGAACTTATTGAGAGCAGTGTTGTGCTAGTTACTGAAAACCAGTAACTAGTTACCATTACTAGTTACTTCATTTCAAAAGTAACTCAGTTACTTTAAAAAACAGTACTGCGTTACTGTGAAAAGTAACGTTTTTTTACTTACAAAAAGGGCTCCCATTTATTATTCTCCAATGCAATACTGAAATGAAGGCTATAAGGATAGCCTTCACTTTAGTACTGTTATTGCATTGGAGAATAATACAATCTGTTGATCAATTTGACATGCATTATATGCAATCTGGATTGCATCGATATTAGCTGGCTTTCCATTTTTGTATATTCTTTCTCCAGGTAGTTGGAAAAAGTGTTCCGTCCCATATGCCGTGTGCCGCCCGGACATGCTATCATGCTAACTAGCTCCCTGAAAGCGGGTGACTCCACTGTAGCAATAGCCTGCATGTGTTCTACAACATACCGTGCAATGGCTTTATCCACTTTTCCCTGGCTAGCAGTCCCTTGGTTAAAATCCAGCCGCTGTTGCTTAGGTGGAGGTGGAGTGGTGTCGGCTGAGTCTCTGTGGTCTTAGCTACTAGCTTCGTCCCAGCATGTTGTTTTTGCAGATGTTTTAAGAGATTTGAATTACTGGTTTGGGCAGTAGATAGGATCTTTGACCCGCCAAGACACAACTTACATTTAACTAAAACGTTCTTTTCTTTGTGCTCGACAAAAGTGAAATAGTGAGAATATCTCCAGGTGGAGAAACTAGACTTGAGCTCCGCCGCCGCCATGATAGTCTTGTTAGTAAACACAAACACGCCCACAGCGCGTCTCCGCATGTGACACAGGAAGTATCTAAGTACATTTACTCAAGTATTAAGTACAGTTCTCATCTCTGTTCGCCTGGCTGTTGACTATATAAAAAAAACTAACGGAATAACGCACCATGTAGTAACGGTACCTGAGTTACTGAATTAAAAAAGTAATGCGTTAGATACTAGTTGCTGCCAAAAATAACGGCGTTACAGTAACGTGTTATCCCAACACTGATTGAGAGTCATTTGGTCAAACGTGATATTTCATCTCCTCTGTCTCGTCTTTTAGTTTAAACAGAAGAGATCTTCCAGAAATGAGTCTCAGGAGGATCAGAAGAGGAGGGAGGAAGCTGAGACAGAAGTTTCCATCCTGAAGGAGAAGCTGCAGAATGAGTCCAGAAAGGTTTGTGTTTTATATCTCCAATCAAAGTCATTCAGAGACAGCGTATGATATCCAGTGAAGCTACTCATGTCTTAGATCAAATCCTTTCACCTCCTTTCTCAGATAAAGTAACAACATGCATTTAAACCTGGTTTCACTCTTTCTTCACTCTTCTGACTTACTGACAAAGACACACCTCTGACTCTGCTCATCTGGAAGTCCAGCTATAAAGAGTTTATCTGGAGGTCTCTCTCCTTCTGTCTGTGTCTCCTCTCAGGTGGAGAGACTACAGGCTGATCTGCAGAGAGGAGGAGAGGAGACGAGGAGGAGGGAGGAGGAGATGAAGAAGGAGGTGGAGAGACTACAGGCTGATCTGCAGAGAGGAGGAGAGGAGAAGAGGAGGAGGGAGGAGGAGCTGAAGGAGGAGCTGAAGGAGATAAAAGAGGTTCATATTTCATTGATGATTTTACTTTCCCCTATCTGTTTGTTAAAGTTTAAATCTCACAATAACTGCTTTATATCATAAACGTATTAAAACGTGTAACAACACGTAGCGTCATCTCTCAAAGAGTCAAAGTATTATGAGATTGTAAAATTGAATTGAAGCCATTGATCATTATTCTCTTCTGACTTCAAAGTATAAAGTATATAACAGTATAACTTAAATGAGCTGTTGATTAGAATTAGAATTTGTACTTCTAAAAAGTCCAACAAGGCAAAATTGCAAATACATTTAAATGGAATTTTGTGTTTGATTTTAATCAAAGAAATCTGTTGAAATCAACATCTGTGTGTTCGTCAGGAAACTGAGAGAAAACTAGCTGACCTCTGGCAGATTGAGGAGAAGCTGAAGGAGACACAGAGTCTACTGGAGATCCAGAGAACAGAGAACATCAGAGTGAAGACAGAGGTAACACACACACACACACACACACACACACACACACACACACACACACACACACACACACACACACACACACACACACACAGGACATATAGTAGATACACAAATGATTTAATCTTGTGAGGATTCATTCGAAGGTTCTGCATGGACCTTCTCCATCCCTTCATCACCAGTAGGTCCCTCAGGTCTTCAGACCAGAGCCTTGTCCCACGGTCTCCTTTAGAAACTAAAGGCGTGGGTTTGAGGTAGTGGATCAACACTGTGGAACTCTCTACCTACAGACATCCGGTCTGCTGTCTCTGCAGAAGCTTTTGATTGGCCTTTGTGTCTCCTTGACATGTGTATGATGTGTTGTGTTCTTTTGTTTGTTCCTTTGGACTCTTTGTTGTTTTGTTTTTATGTTAACCTTAACTTCTGGCTCTTAGTTTTATTGTATTCATGTTTATGTGGTTTTATTTTTAACTTTGTTTTTGTGACGCACTTTGATTATTTCTGTGATAGGAGCTGTAGTAAATAAACAGGAGGTTCATCTTTTCCATATGGCATTGATTTGTTTCTGAGGGTTATACTGCGTCAAGGTATTTACTGTTCCTCCTGTGAGAGAAAATATGATGCAGATCAGGAACTAGTTTTCATCAGGACCAGGATGTTCTGTTCCCTAAATAAAGTTCAAATGTCTTTATCTCTCTTTCTCTCAGTTTGAGAAGAAGCTCCAGGAGGAGAAGAGAGGAAGAGAGGAAGAGAGGAAGCTGAGAAAGAAGTGAAGGACCTAAGGGAAGAGGTACACACACACACACACACACACACACACACACACACACACACACACACACACACACACACACACACACACACTGATTAAAATAACCAGTAAATGAAATCTGAGACAAGAATAACTGAAACTGGAGTGAAACTGTGTCACAGTAAAAGTATCATTAAACAAAAGTTGAAATGTCCTCATCTCTCTTTACAACCCAGTGACTGAAGAAGCTCCAGGAGGAGAAGGAGAAATAACAGAAGGACCTAAAGCAAGAGGTGGGAGAGCAGGAAAAAAAACATGAGACAAGTTACCACATTATAAACAATATAAACGTTAAACATCAGCAATGACTCAGATTGATGGTTAGTGAAGAGAATCACACATTTCTACGTTATTATTCTGGTCTATTCAACAACTTAAAACGTCTTTTGTTTAATGGTGGTGGAACAGCCTATGTTTTATATATTTTAGAAAACATCTCAAACATTGAGCTTTAATAAAGACAAAAGTTGAGCTAATGCAAGTTAGCAAAATAAAAGTGTTTGGTTTCTCAGTAATTTTAATTGTTTTATGTTTGCTAGATTTATAATGTATATTTGATCTTAACATATTTGTTTTTCTCTGTATTTTATAATGTCATAATCTACCGACTACTGAATTTTCTGTAATGAACAGATTCAACTTTTTTTTAAATGTGTTTTATTTTGAAAATCATTGATGATGATTTACAGTTTTGATGATTTTTTGCTTTGGATGCATCAACTTCCAAATATGTTTTTTATATATATGTATGTCCTGTGAGCAATAACATTCAATGTATGTGGTAGAGTTGTATGTGTACATTAAATGATGTTTTTTTCAAAATCATTGACAACATTTTTTGTTTACTAGAACCACTTTTTTAAGTTAAGGACAAGTCTGTCGTCTGTCATGCTAGATTCATAATTATTATCAAATGATTAAACTCCTTTAAGATGTTGCTGATCCTTCACTACCAGAAATACAACACATTGTCATTAATAAATTCATGTTTAAATAAATGTATGGATTAGAACAGTATGTTGGCACATTTCTGAACAATGTGTTACTCATTCATTACTAAGAATTTTAAAATGTATTAAAAGTAATGTAGAAATATATTGAGTCCATAATAATACGAATTACAGAGGGTTAAGTTATTTAACAAAAACACAGGCTAAGTTATTTTTTATGGTAACATTTATTTTCTAAAACAAAAAACATTTCAATTATGTCATACATATGTCTCATCTGTATGTTTCTATATATTATTATTATTATTATGTATTATTATTTCTTTAATTCCCGTTGTTTTAATCTATTTTTCATACTTTTAATTTATTCACTTATTCACCACCCAGCCGGCAGTTTGTCTTGTTTGTAGTCTCCACTGAAAGGCGGTTTAAATAAAAAGCTACACTCCCCATGATGCATTGCGCGGCGGTCCGTTGCCAGGATACAGCACTCAGAAGCTATCAGACGTTGATGCAGATTTACGGAGTTTATAGCGAATTGAACGTGTTTAAGAGAACTTTTTAAAACACACATAAAGGGTTAGTTTATCCTTACATGTGATTTTATCCGAGCTGTTTTCCGTTAAAGTGTTGTTTTGTCGCCGCGGACGGATTTAAGGCCTCCTGTGGTTCGGTTTGTGTTTAGCTTGTTATGCTATGTGGCTAATCGCTAAACATAAATAAAGGGATTTGAATGTGCTTGGGGAGTAACGAAATTACTTAATCACGATACAGACAATAAGGTAACTATATTTGATCATAATTACGTTACAAAAATAAGTAATCAGATTACATTCTTTAAAAACGTGGATTACCAGCACTCTTACGATGCATTTTGAAATACAGATAGAGATAGACTTTGGTTGTAGATGGATATAATAATACTAAATATACAGGGGTCCAAGCACAAGGTGGTGAAAAGCAATATTTAACAGCTGTACTGCAGACTAGATGGGTGAATGGCTCCATGCTGCTCAAGGGCCTCTGCGCAGGTGAGTAAGTATCCTTCAACACACAGGTCAGAAACGCAAATGAGAGGCTCTGGTAATCTGAGCATACACGATGGAGTTACAGTCACCGTGACTTGACCCTCATGACCGCCATAATAGCTTTGTGTCTAGCGCTGCTACTGTTTTTACCACTTCACATGATCAGTCCGTATTTCAGAGAGGCAAAACAAAAAACATCCGACATTTCCAACTGCTGAGGTCTGCTTTGAAGATAGTAAAGCTTTGGCATGTGGAACACTTCAGTTCAATTGGCCGCGTAAATAGACGTACTGCCATAATTTGCGTTTTGCTTTTTATTTCAGCTACTTCCATTCTTTGAGTTGTTTAATGCAGCACATGGACACCCTGATTTATGAAACAAAAATACTGTGTTTCCTTTCAATTGAAGCTTAAACTCAAACAGGCATTATAGTAGTGTGTGTAGCCATGTCTTCATTTGAGATGACACTCATATCTCAAGTATAAAAACACTTATTTAGTGTCTTGTATTGATTTGTACAAAGTAGCAGGAAATGGAAATACTCAAGTAAAGTACAAGTATATACAAGTTTATATGAATGGTCTTTATTTGAACTGCTGGTATATTGAAAAGGAATACTGTTTTTTTAATTAAATTAGTTAATTAGTAATATTAAAAACAACTTTATTTTTGTTCCTTTCTGTAATAGATTATTATACTACTTATTATATTTTGTATGTATTCTTTATTAGAGCAACTGTCACAAAACCACATGTTCCATAGGATACAATCGGCTTTCATTTGTAGCTTGTGAATTTACTCCAGGTGGAACTAAAGTCTGATTTAACACTTGATTATATTTCACATCATTCATCCACAATCTGTAAAGTAACTAAAGGTATTAAATCAGTAGTGGAGTAAAAGTACACAATTTACCTCTGAACTGTAGAGGAGTAGAAGTAGCATACAATGTAAATACTGAAGTAAAGTACCTCTATAGTTGGGCTTAAGTACAGTACTTGAGTACATGTACTTCCCACCTCTAACTGCTAAGCTACTTCTTAGACCCCGGCCACACGAGGACGAAAACGGCTTAACGCATAGGATTAACGCAAACGCAATCACAAACAAGCTTCCGTCCACGCAATAGTTATCCGGATAGCCCACACGAGACCCGCTCCGTTTAGCTCCAACCGCTGGAGAAGCTGCAGTACTAATGTAGGAGCCTGTACGTGGCGCTGTAACTTCCCTCACAATAGCAGCGAAGAAGCATGGTTGTCATGGTTGCCCTTCTGTTTATTCTCCGCGGTGGCGGCCGAGGGAACCGGGCAGAGTTTTTCGCCAGTCAACGTGTATTAAAGTTTAACCTTCCGACAAAATTATAAAAGTGCCGGTCCAAAGGTGGTCTCGAGAGAAAGATAAATAATCTGAATTCAGTGTGCAGTTACTTTGACGCGGGGGTGAGGCAGCAGAGGTGGGGAGAGGCGGGGAAATTGCCTCATCATTATCAGAAAATGATCGCTGAAGCTGCAGTACATATCCACAAAAGCAGCGAGTAAGATCCCCCCCCGGATGTGTAAGTCTGCTGTAGATGTTGCACAAAGAACTGTAGCATGGTCAGTGAGCGTCCGGAGCACGATAGCAACTCTGCGATCCGCCATTGTTGTTCGGTGGCGAAAGACATCAGCAATGGCGGCGGGGGTACGCGGAGGTAAGCAGCAGAGGTGGGGAGAGGCGGGGCTATTGCGCAATCATTATCAGAAATGATCGTATAGGGCGCACACACGGAGCTGTTTGACCCCCCAGGCGTTGCGTATGCCGTTCTATCCACCTTGGGACCCGTTATCGTTTCCTCAGTCGTTTAGTGCCGTATGCGGTCGTCCTCGTGTGGCCGAATGGTCTATATGACACTAAACAGTAACGCAAACGGCCGTTTTTGTCCTCGTGTGGCCGGGGCATTAGTTGTAGATTGGTTTTGTGTTGACTGTAGTGTTAATACTTATTTCAGAGACCCAGCAGGAGAAGGAGCACTGAGAGCAGCATGGAGGAGAACAACGAGACCCCCATAACTCAGGTCAGTGTTCACTTCATCACAATATATTCCTAACACTGTTATCCCTTACACTGGGGGACATTTGGGTTATTTAAGGACTTTAAACCTGTACTTTTGTTTAAGGATAAACAACCTTGAACATTGTGGGGTTTATTTGACAGACTCTCATATTTAGATATGGTTCAGGTATATAACGCCAGTTTCTTAGCGATCCTTGCGATTTATAAAAAACAAACTTGACTGGAAATTGTGCGGTCCTCCACGCAAACTCTGTCCCATGAGTACGCGGTATGCACAAAAACGGGAGAGACGAGAAACTCTGACACCGTTGGCAGAAGGAAGAATGGAGAGAAATATGTTTGAATAATACCATAAATAAAATATTACCTCTCATGTATGATATATGAATAATTAATTTTCAAAAATGGATTAAAGCCAATCTTAAAATTATTAAACAAACGCCGCTTTGAGACTCCTCCGTGCACACAAAAACATAACTTGGAGAAATAAATAAATACGGAAATGTTTTTGAAAACTACCTCGAATATGTTATGTATTCTCATAAATGATGCAGTAAGCAGAAAGACAGAATTACTTTAAACTGACGCCGCTTTTCTCTAGGTTGTATAGATACGAGTATGGTTTATACGATCATGTTTAATCATGTTTTATGCCGTTTGCCAATACTTGATAAGTCGCTCGTAAAACACAGGATTTGGTCAATTGTACAGCTAATATAACACAACACATTAGTTTTATTTCCTTTAACTGGTGGATATAGAGTTGCTGCTGGGGGGGGGGTTAAGACACAGGCTGCAGTGGAGACGCTGCGCACAGCTGATCGACAGCTGGAAAACAAACCACGAAAAAAATTCAAGATCCAGTCGTCATGACTCCTCTCCGGAGAGTTTCTTACAGTTTCTCATCATATATATATATATATATATATAT